TCGCCAACTTCGATGCTGATCTTGTTAAGGCTCCCGCCAATTCTCATCTCTGGCTGCATCCCTGTAAAGAATTCTAGCCGATGAATATTCGTACAGAGATGAGGCAATTAGTATACAGAGAGATGAGGCAATCTTTAGCAGCCCTAATTCGTGTGGCTGGGACGTGTCGAAAGCCACCTCAATGGCGAGCATGTTCCAGGGATGTGCTCGATTCAGAGTTAAGGGCTTTTACATTGCATCCTCCACTATCATGCTTGACTTGTTTCCCGAAAGGAAAGAAGTGAAGGATGTTTTGAAGAAGGCAATAGTTCTACCACTAACAGAGGTCGCGGGCTGGAAAGCTGGGACGTGTCAAGTGTGACCGATATAAGTTACATGTTCTCGAACACTGAGGTGCACTTCGATCCGCCCCGGGGCTTGGGTCGCTGGGACGTGTCCTCGGTACGAGACATGAGCGGCGTGTTCAGGAACGCCACTGCGATGACGGGGGGAGGCATAAGTGCGTGGAATGTCGCAAACGTCACATCGATGTTTCACATCTTCTCTGGGGCTAGTCGCTTTAACGAACCAAATTTAGGGAAATGGAATGTCGCTGCCGTGGAAAGATTTGACGGCGCCTTCCATGCTGCGACACAATTCGCGCAGCCGCTAAACGATTGGGATCTATCAAAGGCCTTCGAGGTTTGGCGAAATGAGAGAAGAGCACGCGATTGTGGTTCCCCCTTTCCTCCCTTGTCCCTCACTTTTGATTCTTTCATCTTTTACGTTTGGTGTGACATCTACTCTTACGACCCTGAGGACGCTTGCAAGCTTTCTCGCGCTCTCTGGCCGCGCGATCCCACGAAGAAAACCACAGAAGGTCGCATTGCAGTGTCTCCCACTTCCCGAACCTCTGCGTCTTAATCTTCTCCATGGACTGGTGAGTCGACGGAAATGTTATCAGGACTTTCCCGAGAACCGCTCCCCTCGTGGCTGGAGACAGCGGCTCCGCCTTGCTGCTGCGGTCGCAAGGCCGCTTGATTGAGCTCCTTATATATTTATAAGATGGAGGGGCTGCAGCTTGGGCGTGATTTTGCTATGATAAGTTTGCTCTAACATGCACACTTATTTGGATTTAGGTGTGCCTTTGTGCTCGTTTGTAGTTTGCTTCCGTCTTATTTCGTCATGCTCCTAAAAACGTTACGCAGGTAGAGGCCTCGACACCCACCAAAACACGAAAAGGGCACCTCAAATCGACTCACTGACTTCTACCACAGCACAGTTTGCTGCTGACCGTGGCGCCTCTATCACACTGTAAAAAGCAGAAAACAGAACAAAAAATCAGAAGCATAGCCATAGGGGTCCCGCAATTTGATCATCTGGTATTATAATTCTCCCCTTGACCAGGAAAGAGGCAGTTTCAATCTGTAAAGATCGAGTTTCAACTTCTAAAAACTGGGTCTTCGCTCGAGAGGCGGCATTCAGCTTCCATGAGTGAAAATCTTTGCGATTGTTGAGGAGCGCTCGCTGTTAAGTCTGTCACAGAGAGCTGTAGCTGTAGGCTCTTTCAAGGTCGTGCCAAACTGTACCGGAGAAAAGAAGTTGAGTCATTGGAGAAGAGATATTGAATGAGCAGTACCATAAAAGCTTAGGTGGCACGACGGAAAATGATGCAGACGGCCGTCTGAGGGCCGATATGCACGGCTATATCAAAATCCATTTTTGACTCATCTGTTGAGTGATTCACGATGAGACGAGGAAAATTGAGATGAAGAGTCAAGGCCATCGCCGTAATGTTCTTATACTGTTGTTGCGAGTGTAGCTGCTGAGTTTATTGTGTGATTTGACTTGGTATTGATAACTGGTATTGATAACTCACTGCAGCTCCAGGCCCACCTGCTGAAATAAAGGAATGTAGCCTGATAAGAATTTTTGGAAATTTTTTCAGCGAGTTTCTCCCTCTGAGACGCTCCCAAAGATGCAGTTAGATGAGCCCCCCGCAATGGTTTGTATACTATAATGCATCTACAAGTACAAGAAGCAAACAGGTTTGATGAAGAATATTCGATACATTGACTCACTGACATTTTTATAGACATTGATAGTTAGATATAGACTCTGACCATGAAGCGACACGTGATTTGACTTGTTCTTTCTTTTCCTTCTCCTTCAGCCTTTGCACGCGTCGTGAATGGACAACATGGCATCTCCGAAAAAAATTCATGTCGTTGTGCGGAGTGCGCTCACTGCTGATGCTCTGTCTCCTGTCGCAAGTGATGAAGACCACGACGTGCACGAGGCAGCCGGTGCCCGCCATTCTGAAGGTGCGCTCGGTCGAGGAAGTTTAGGTGAGGACGGTGAACAAGTGGATGATCTTGTGCCGTTTTTTTGTAGCTTCGAGCCTCGTACCATGTGCGTCCGCGATCTCAAGCGCCTAGTGGCGAGAAAGCTGACATCGCGACTGCGGGAAGAAGCCCAGCCAGGTGTACCAGCAGACACGATTCATCATGAGAACGTAATTCTTTTCGGCGAACATCACCCTGAGGAGGAGGAAAATTCAAAGTCGGCAAAAAACACTGAGAGCGAGGAGGAGGGGCAAGGTGAAGATGCTGCAATGACAATGGAGGCGGAGAGAAACAGCGAGAGCGATAATTTTGTCTCGGATCCGTTTGCGGAAGATGTGACAATGTTCATAGAGGATCGCTTTGCAGCTGACCAATTATGCTCTGAAGATGTGGCAGAGGAGAATAAGCACGAGCAGAACGGTGGCCGAGGAATGAGAGAGAATCGCAAACACCTAGAAACAACTATTTCAATCGCCTACGCTGTTCGAACCTACAAGCCCTTCGAGTCAAAGGCAGCTTTGCAAGTCGCTATAGCCTGTCACGCATTCGCATCTTTGACTTTGTCGGATCTAAGAGGTATCAGTATTGAATACGGTGATCTTGATTTTGAGGAGCTCGACGAGCTTCGCCTGAGACTTCAACCGCATGCGGCGCGCGCGTGGAGGAGTGTCATATTGGCCAAGTACGGCCCAGTGCGAGTTTGGAATCTTTCTCAAGTGGAGGATCTGCGCGAAGTCTGCCCCGAAATCCAATGGAGTTTTGGCTACCGAAGGTTATGGAGGTTCATTGCAAGTGCCGAGCAAAAGAAAGCCCATAAAGCGTGGCTTGTTGACTACCCGGGAGACTATGACGACCGCAACTTCTTGGCCAGGGGCCTTAACTGTATTTTGGAGATGAGCAAGGTGGTATTTGCGAGAGCGGACGTAAGTGCATGGAACGTTTCCGGAGTGAAATTAAGGCGCAACTTCTTAACTTAAATTTTGAAACGTCAGTCCTTCTCACTCGTGTTTCCCTTTTTTAGCATTTTGAGAAAATGGAAGCAAGAGGTGATAAGTACACTCGGCGCGCTAAGGAAAAACTTTGTTGGGATGTTCAGTGGCTTCGCCAACTTCGATGCTGATCTTGTTAAGGCTCCCGCCAATTCTCATCTCTGGCTGCATCCCTGTAAAGAATTCTAGCCGATGAATATTCGTGCAGAGATGAGGCAATTAGTATACAGAGAGATGAGGCAATCTTTGGCAGCCCTAATCCGTGTGGCTGGGACGTATCGAAAGCCACCTCAATGAGGATGATGTTCCAGAGCTGTGTTCGATTCAGAGTTAAGGGTTTTTACATTGCATCCTGCACTATCATGCTTGACTTGTTTCCCGATAGGAAAGAAGTGAAGGATGTTGTGAAGAAGGCAATAGTGCCACCACTAACAGAGGTCGCGGGCTGGAAAGCTGGGACGTGTCAAGTGTGACCGATATGACGCACATGTTTGAGTGCAATTTCGCTCTTGATGCGTTCTTGGGTAGCTGGGACGTGTCCTCGGTGCGAAACATGACTGGCTTGTTCATTGGTGCCATTGCGATGAAGGGGGAAGGCATAAGTGCGTGGAATGTCGCAAACGTCACAGATATGAGCTCCATCTTCTCCAGAGCTTCTTCGTTCAACGAACCAAATTTAGGGAAATGGAACGTCGCTGCTGTGGAGAGAGTTGGAGGTGCGCTCCGGGGTGCGACAAAATTCGCGCAGCCGCTTAATGACTGGGATCTATCAAAAGCATTCAACACTTGGCGAGATGAAATAAGTAGAAGTCCCGCTCGTCCCTTTTTTCTTACGTTTGATACATTCATGTGTCACATTTTGTGTGACACTGACATCTACTCGGACGACCCTGGCGTTTGCAAGCTTTCTCGCGCTCTCTGGCCGCGCGATCCCACGAAGAAAACCACAGAAGGTCACATTGCAGTGTCTCCCGTGTCCCGAGCCTCTGCGTCTAAATCTCCTCCATGGACTGTTGAGTCGACGGAAATGTTATCAGGACTTTCCCGAGAACCGCTCCCCTCGTGGCTGGAGACAGCGGCACCGCCTTGCTGCTGCGGTCGCAAGGCCGTTTGATTGATGTCTTCATATAAAATAGAGAGGCTGCAGCTTGAGGTTGATTTTGCTATGATACATCACCAAGACCTAGAGGTGGTGATCGACGCGTGTTGGGCGTTGAGCTACTTTTCCGATGGTACTACTTACAGCTGTTGATGATGTTGAATTTAAAGGAGTTGCATATCGTACAGGGGTATAGACATTGAGAAGTTATACGTCGACGCACAGCTCCTACTTTGATTATGTATAATAGTTCAACTCTCTAACTCTATTGATAAATGAAAATGCCAGGTGACCGTGCAGGAGAGCGAATTGACGCTATAATCAACGCCGGTGTTTGTAGACACTTGCGAGCTGCTATCTCATGCCGATTATCTCGTTGTCCAGTGTTGCGTCCAGTGGGGAACATTTGCGTGGGGAACGATTATCAGACTGTGATGTATTTTTTTTCATTTTGTCTTTCAATGATAATTTCTGACTTTATGATCCTTCGTATCTGAAACTGCATGTACTACAATGTATCAACATCTTCATCGGAAGTTCTGATTTTTAATTTGAGTTTCTTGAGTGAGATCTTTACTTGCAACCAACATCATCTCTCCTCATCTATCACTTGCATCGTCACCATCTCTATTCAAACAAAGTCAATTACGTACTGATAAAAAACACAGCTCATCCTCGAATGTGACGCGTTGCCAAATTTGTTTGGGTTATTCTCGCACGCGAGAAAGCATATTAGGAAAGAGACTTGCTGGACGATATCGAACATTACAGGAGGAAAGTCAAGCCAAATCCAAAAAGCAGTAGATAGTGGGGGTCTGCCAGCGTTGGTGACGCTATATAAGAAAAGACCAGATTTTGATGTGAAGGAGGAGGTATTAAGTTTTTGACTACAAAATCTGATTGGATACAAGCACAACAGCATCCGTTTATGGGATGCAGCTTTGGTTTAGTTTGTAGTGCTTCTATGCCCGGTCGTGACGACTTTGTGAATTGTTTGTGATTCAAAATATATACTCATCCTTTTCCTGTCCTCCTCCACATCAATTAGTTTCCTTTCATTATCTATCATCTGTCTACTTCGTATCCAACATAATCTGTTTCTATAGATCGTGTGGGTCTTCCGTAACGCCTTAGCCTCTGGCCTTTCGTCACAGCTGAAGTATATGCTAGAACGTGGCTGCCTGGAGATGCTAGTGGACATGTTGGACATATCTCAAGGTGGCTCTTTGACGGCATCAGGCGCCGCCATCCAGCAAGCGGACAAGCGCATCCTCATGGCCGCTATCGAAGGAATTCACATTACGTCCTGGAACGAGGCGTGGCGCTCACAAACAACGACCCCAGTCCTTTCTGCGTGCGCTTGCAGGAAACCGAGGGAGTGGAGAGGATGAGGATACTGAGGGACGAGTTTACATCGGAAAGCGTGTCAGTGGCAGCAAATTATCACATTTTCCAAATGTACTTCCCAGAAGTGGACGATGCCTGTGTCGCAGACGAACAACCAGAGTCACAGAACAATTTCGCACATCAAGGGCCTCATGAGACTACTGTGCATCAAAAGGGCATAACATCAAGCGGAGGTCGTGTAGTTCCTAATACTGCAGGAGCTTTCGGCTCTATGCACCAGCAGGAGGCTTTTGGTTCGTCTGTAAAGACTGGCGCATTCTCCTTTGGAACAAGCAATTAGAAAGTTTCAGACGTCCTACTTGGAGTACATCAGTACATGACTTAACTCGAATCAAGACTCCAGCAACCCAACATTTCGTCTTTCCTCAAAAATGTTCAGAAAGAACGTCTCAGATGATTGTCCTGTCCTCCAGCCTCACCTCCACATAGCAAGAATCGATCCACAGATAGGTTCACAGAGCAGTTAAGTATATTAATATAACGAAGAGACACCTCTAGTTCTGCATCGGATTGAGGATGATAACATTGTCAAAGCATGAGCACTAGAGGAGGTGCAATGATGATGACATCCATCATTGTTGCCTGGATTTGTCGCAGAGAGTAGCTGTTCAGCCAGAGTCTGTGAATCTGTATGACTACCGGGCCCATTTGTTCTTTTGAGTGTGTAAAGTCGAGTATTGAGTAGAAGGAGAGTTTTTGGATTTATCTGTGATCGAGTAGAAGGAGAGCTTGAAGTTATTTCTGATCCATCTGGGTATCATCAATGTCTTCAATATTATAACCTATGATCATAGCTACTGCAGCGCCACCTTTTGAAAGATAAAGGGTGATGAAAATTTGTTCGTAGAGTCTAGTTTTTCTGGTCCGTTCTAGTTGTTGCTTTGAAGAATATCCTGTTCCTCCCGGTGGTAAAGGTAAGATAGAGTGACGAGATCATGAACCCGTGAACCATAACACCCACTCGTTTTTCAACAGGGAATTTCTTGTGATTGAGCGACGAATGCCTGCTTGTTATGGCGAATACCTGTTTAGTAAATGAAAATAGATCAATTCATTATTGTTTGCAGCATATTTTTACCGTGCGTGTGCGTCTAAAAGACGAAACTAGCAGGTACACTGATCAAAATCGGATATATTTCCTCAGTGGCATAGAAATTGATGGATTGAATAAGAATGGGATGTGATGAAGCGACACGCAAGAATTTGACATTTTCCTCTGTTTTCTTCTCCTTCACTCAGCGTTTTTGCGCGTCGTGAATGGACATTATGGCATCTCCTAAAAAAATACATGTCGTTGTCCGGAATGCGCTTACCGGTGATGTTCTGTCTCCTGTCGCAAGCGATGATGACAACCACGATGAGACAGCTGGCGCACGCCGCTCCGGAAGTGTAGCTGGTCCAGGAAAGTTGGGTAGTGATGATGTTGAAGGACATGATTTTGTGCCGTTTTTTTGTAGCTTCGAGCCCCGCACCATGTGCGTCCGCGATCTCAAGCGCCTAGTGGCGAGAAAGCTGACATCGCGACTGCGGGAAGAAGCCCAACCAGGTGTACCAGCAGACACGATTCATCATGAGAACGTAATTCTTTTCGGCGAACATCACCCTGAGGAGGAGGAAAATTCAAAGTCGGCAAAGGATGCTGAGAGCGAGGAGGAGGGGCAAGGTGAAGATGCTGCAATGACGATGGAGGCGGAGGGAAACCGCGAGAGTGATAATTTTGTCTCGGATCCGTTTGCCGAAGAAGTGAAAATATTCATAGACGAGCGCTATGCTTACCAACACCGGGCAGGCTCTGAAGATGTGGCAGAATTGCGATTGGAGATCGAAGAGGAGAATATGCAAGAGCAAGCTGACCACCACCGAGGAGTTAATTATAAGAATCCTAGACAAGAACACGTGGGACCAATTATTTCGATCGCCTACGCTGTTCGGACCTACAAACCCTTCGAATCCAAAACAGCGGTGCAAATCGCTATAGCCTGTCACGCATCCGCATCTTGGCCGCGTCCAAATGTGATCAACGTATTGAGGGGTGACGAGTTGCTTTGGTTTCAGGAGCTCGACGAGGTTCGCCGGAGACTTCAACCGCATGCGGCGCGCGCGTGGAGGAGTGTCATATTGGCTAACTACGGCCCAGTGCGAATTTGGAACCTTTCTCAAGTAGAGGATCTGGCCAACCTCTGGGAGCACGCAGAAGAGCCGCGTGGGTACTATCAAAGATTATGGGACATGGCTAATGCCGAGCAAAGGGAAGCGCATAATGCGTGGTTGGTTCGTCCGCCACGGGACCGTGCCGCCACAGGGGCGCGCATAATCGACATATTGGAGGCGAGCAGGAGGACATTATTTGCGAAAGAAGACATCAGTGCTTGGAACGTCTTCGGAGTAAAAGACTTAGCTTTCATGTTCAGGCGCAACAACGAATTCGATGGTGATCTTGTTAAGGTTTTCACTGAAGTATCTCTAGCTGCATCCCTGTAAAGTATTTCAGCCGAATACGAGAGAGAGGCACCTAGAAGCTGAATTAATTTTGGACAGCCCTAATTTTGGTTGCTGGGACGTATCGAGAGCCACGTCCATGGCGGGGATGTTCGAGTCTTGTTCCGACTTCCAAGGTCGCGGGCTCGAACACTGGGACGTGTCAAGTGTGACGAATATGAGCCGTATGTTTTGGGGCAATCGCCGCATCGCTGCGCCCGATTTGGGTCGCTGGGACGTTTCCTCGGTGCGAGACATGAGTCACATGTTCTGCGGTGCCAGTAGGTTGACAAGAGCGGGCCTAAGTGCGTGGAATGTCGCAAATGTCACAGACATGAGGGAAATCTTCAACGGAGCTAGTCGCTTCAACGAACCAAATTTAGGGCAATGGAATGTTGCTGCTGTGGAGAGAGTTCAAAGGGCATTCTATGGCGCAGAAAAATTCGCGCAGCCGCTGAACACGTGGGATCTCTCAAAAGCATTCGAGGTTTGGCGAAATGAGGAAAGCGCACAAGACTTTACACCCTTGTCTCTCACTCTCTTCAAGTTCACTTTTGATTCTTTTCTCGAATCTCTTCAGTGGGGTCTCAGCGAAAGTACTTACGATTTTCCTCCTGAATTCTGGCCGCGCGAACCTCCAAAAAAAACCAAAAAAGGTCACATTAAAGTCTTTCCCACTTCCCGAGCCTCTGCGTCTAAATCCTCTCCGTATAATGAGGTTGCTGAGTCGACGGAAAGGCTTTCAGGACTACTTTCCAGAGAACCGCCCGCCTCGTGGCTGGAGACAGCGGCTCCGCCTTGCTGCTGCGTTCGCAAGGCCGCCTAATTGATGTCCTTAAATAAGATAGAGGGGCTGCAGCTTGAGCGTGATTCTGCTATGATAAGTTTTTTACAACATGTAAATTATTTAAGTAGCTAGATCTACCTCTATGCACGTTCATGTTCACGGCGCTTTTTCTCAAACTGCTCCTTCAAATGTTACGACAGAAGAGATATCGACACCCAAGAAAGCACTTATCTCCTCATGAGATGACGTCCTCTAATATCCGATTTGCACACCTAGAAATGAGAACGAAAGAGATGTTCTTGTCGAGCGAAAATCGAAGAGATTACACTCTAGGTAGGTTGAGCAAAAAGTAACCTAGGTAGAGTAACGAAGCCCAGATCACTTGAAAATATCTGAACAAGATCAAGAATCGAAATCTGTGATAAGTTGAATGCTATCCCTTCTTTCTACAAGTAGGATGAATAAGTTTGTTGACTTAAGCAGGATGAAAGGATAAGGTAATTAGTTTACAAGCTTCAAACACTAGTAGCATCCTGTTCCTGTTCCTTATTAGCGATCCTTATTAGCGGCACTAGCATGTAGCATACTGTTCCTGTTCCTTATTAGCGATCCTTATTAGCGGCACTAGCATGTAGCATCCTGTTCCTGTTCCTTATTAGCGATCCTTATTAGCGGCACTAGCATCCTGTTCATCCTTACTAGAGAAAAAGCAATTATGGTTAGTTTTTTCCTCATAGCCTAGGTTTATCCCGACAAACAACTCTTTCGCGATCCTTCTGCGGTCGCGTGCGATCGTCCGAAGGTACAGGCTTCTTCTGTGAACGGCGAATAACGTTTTTTGACCTGTTCAAATCATGTTTACTTGTTGCTTAGGACAACTTATTTACCGAAGTACAACTAGCATTCTCTCATTCCATTGATCAATGATCAGAAATCTGCCCCTTTCATTCCATTGAATTTGAACATTGATCAGTGTTGATTAGAACTTACCTCCTAGTGCTAAATGTTCAGCTCCTTCCGATCAATGTTGACATCTCCTACTTGTACTAAATCTTTAATGGTGTTGATGCTCATTTGGGTTTTACTACTACTCCATCTACTTCTGAGTCGTTCTATTAAATCTTCAACGTTCATCATCTACTTCTTGGATAATCTCCGTCTATCCTTCTCGTAACAATAATCATCTACTTCTGATCCTTCTTCTCACAAGAGCAAAAAAGATGTGGCGGCTAGGAACAGTGTTCTTGTCGATCGGGTCAGTTGCCTCGCTGTCTCTGAGACGAGCACAGCCTTCACAGAAGTTAAGGCTTGCTCCCCAATGACAATAAGAAACTCATCTCTTCTCTTGACAACTGTATCTTTGAGTTTGACATGTTTTCAAGGCAAATAGATATGTTGTAGTTTCAGGGAGGGACTAGCAAAGTTAAGTAAAGAGGTTATATAAAAGATGCGTTTGAACAGGGAGATTGTGGGTATTATAAGGTCTAAAACAGACGACCTCTGCCAGCTCTTCCGAAACGCAGTCGTCTCGACAACTGGAGCTGTACCGAAAGCAACAAAAGGTGTATTGGAAGATCAGGAATGGCTGTCTCGACCTCTACATGCCAAGTGCCAGTCCAGAGGTGAAAACGGGCTTGGCAAGACGTGTACTGGCAACGTTGGATCACAGGAGTACGTCCTCTACACCTGCGAGGCCATCATCTTGGGGGACCACCTACGACAACTCGGTTCGGTCTAAGGTCGCGAACATTTTTTTCCGCAGTGGGCAAGAATTTCTGAGCCCTGAAGACGTGGCGGAGTCCTGCTTAGCTTTTACGTGCACCACTCGTCTGGTCGCGCCGTGGTTGAGTGATAGTAACAAAGGTGCAGACATTGATGATATCCTGATGAGCCTCACCACGGACAGTATCGAACGCCAGGTGCGATGGAGACGGGAGGAGTGGAGAATTCGACAGGAAATGAAAGCAGAATGTGAGCGGGAAGAACGGGAGCGTGAGCAGCTAGAACGGAAGCGTGAGGAGCAGCGACTGGAGGACAGGAAAGTGGGGGGCTTTCACGCGAAAATAGCAAAAAAATGGGAAGGGAGCTCTTCCGACGGCATGATCCGACTGGTAGCGAGAATGATGAATAGCGGGAAAGATGAAAATGAAACGAAGAAAACGGACGACGGTACTGATCTTGTAGACTCTTTGCCGTTGCGCATCAGACCTTGAAAGTCCTCCCCTCGAACCGTAAATCTTTTATCATGAGAAGCGGAAATTCGGAGACGCTGGACTTCTTCTGATTCCTCACAAGTGAGGTACTAGGGTGGCGTCGTGGTTATCGGATTTGGAAATTTCGGTCACCGCGTGCTCGTCGTCAACTCAATGCACAAACATTCACTTACAATTGGAATTATGGACTATAACTCAGAGATGATAGATCATAATACATGATCCCCCTGACGACGGCTCTGTATGTCGTTAGGGATGAGATGACGACGATCATGAATGATGGGCAGCGGCATACCGAACTCCAATAAGGTCGCAGCTCGGTGCTGTTCTCGCATACTCATAAATGTATAAATCTATATAACACAGCGCAACAAGTGTATTAACTTGTTCTACGTAGTCTGTCATTGTCTATATATTTTTCTCTGAAGAAGTTAATCTTCTATCCCCTCAGCATGTATATTTAATCAGAGGTTACTGCCCTTAATACGCCACGAGCAGTCGCAAGCATGTTGTGATGAAAGCACGACTTCGTTTTTGTGAAAAAACTGATAAAAAACCTACACCTTAAGCACCTTAGGGAAGCTAGTACAAAAAACAAGTTCACGACATTATGACGAATGGACATACTTCTTTCGTCTAGTAAAACCAACTATATTTATTTATTAATTATGCAAGAGTTGACGCATTTAAATCAACCATCAACATAAATGGACTTCCGCTTTCCACTTCCAGCCTGTGGTACTAAAGTGTGTGCATTTTTGCGGCCATAATGTTCCTGCAGGGCTATCGCACGAATGCGCCGTTGTCAGTAACAGGAAGACCTTTCCGTTTCTTTACTGCCAAATCTCCAAATCCAAATCCAAATCCAAATCTGACTTTACTGATTCACCCGAAAACCTCATAGAAAATGAGAAAGGCATTTAATACTGTTGAGCGAAAGATGAAAACAAAAGTTGAAGAGGTGAGTCTTGACCCTGGATCATGCTCGAAGCGTAAAACCTCATAGAAAATGAAGAGGTGAGTCTTGACCCTGGATTCACAGCTGACGACACCATCGAGTAGTGGCGTCAACACTCCAACCACACTACTACACCCACACGGAAAGTACTTCCAAATAACTAATTACTTATGAGTAGTTTAGGAGTACGCGTACGGCCATGTCGATCACATGACCGCAGGCACACAAAAGCTACTTACATCAAAAAGACCCCCACCGCTTCTGAGTACTCTACATCCACGTTTGTATTTCGTTTCTTCACGCATCTGAGTTCTTTTTACTTAGATTTCTTCACGGTGCAATACCTGCACGTCCATCAATATTCTAAGTACTTCTAGTTACACGTCGTGAAAGAGTAAAATGGTCTTGTGTTGTTGCGATTCGACGTCCAAGTCAGGACGTTCTAGGCCAGTAGACGAAGAGCTCGCGCCGATATTGGACTGGCGCAGCGTTTGTTTTTTCGGAGAACAGCATTTAAGGTGCTAGTAAGAACACTTCTCAGTGTTACCTGCGTTCTTGAGAAAGATGAAAAAGACTAGATAGACTACGATAGGCTCTAAGGTCAGTGGCCCGACCAGGTTTACCGGCTTTGCTGCGCATCCGTCAAAAGTTTTGGTCGTTTCCTGGTGACTCTTATGTTGTGCACGACCTAAATGCCGACAATCGTCCTGTCTTCGAGGCCAGGAGAGAGCAGGGTGACGGAACGCGATTACTGCATCTTCTAGGTGGACGAGCAGGTAGCACTACAAGTGCTAGTCGTGGTAGTGGTGCCTCATCTGATGTTCCCGGCCAAGTAGGAGAGGCTGCATCTTCACCAAGAGACGACGGCGGGAACTACAGGAAGAACAGCAAGACGAACCAACTAACGCAATACCAACTGGAAGAAAACAGGCATCGAGCGGAAGTTCTCAGTGCGGCGGCGCAACGTGTAATCTATGACTGTGCTACGGGAGAGCCTATTTTTCGACTGGCACCTGCAACCACGTGGTCCCTCGCAGATTTGTTTTTACGACAACTACTGCGTTTTTTTTCGGAATAATTCTTTATTTTGCTTCTTATACTTTCTTAAAGTAGTAGTTTTTGGAAGTGACTTTTTTTCATGCCGCGCCAACCAACGAACATCATTGATGTGAAAGAATTCATTGAAGATAATTCTGACGCTCAAATGAAACTGTCTAACTTCCGTTCGTGGACAAACAGTGCAGAGACTCACGCCCTTGAAGAAGCCGCCACCGGGGTCACCACCAGGTAGCGCATTGTCCTTGTCTCGCTATTCAGCGGTCTCCGGAGTAAGACCAAGCACGACGCCAGCAGGACTCGGACAACCACTCACGCCTGCGCAGGAAGTAACAGAGGACGTAAATGTGCAGTACCTTGAGAAGGAAGAAAGTCAAGTGTGCAAGGTATAGTTTTTGATTGTTTACGAGAAAGCAAAGCAATAAGAGATACGTTGAAGTAAGTGGATAATGAAGATGTGGCATTTCTGGATGAACATCAGTCGCCCCTGGGAAGAGCATCAGTCCTTCTCTCTGTTTGCAAACACACGACTAGTTGTATTATTTAATCCCTCAAAACAAACGATCACGTTACACCAACACCAGGTCCAGGCAAATTGCCCTAACACATTGCAGTGGACTTCAGGCCTTAACTCTCCCTTTACGGATGACGCGGTGAAACTTCATTCAGAACTTTCCTTCTGGGCATACAATTATGGTTGAATTCTGAGCCTTTGCTTACGTGGTCGGTCGGTTGGTTGGTTGGTTGGTTGGTTGGTTGGTTGGTCGGCCTGGGCCGGTCAACCGACGAGACAATTCATTATTTCAACCAACCGACCAACCGACGAGACACTTCATAGGACGAACAGTCTCTACTATAGGCAGGGGCATACACATGACATCTACTACAAGCATAGAACATGATCGCCAACAACTACGGCTTACAACTTTTGACTATAATATAAACAGTCTTTGCTTACGTGGTCTACTCTTATTTCCGTATACACAGGTCTCGTCTAATCTGTAGGTGGTAGTCTATGGCTAGGCGGGAGTGGACCAAGATCACAAGGAAGCGTTTGCGTGGCGAAAGTTTATTCGCCTTTAGCGTGGAAAAACTTCGTCTATCATGGGCACGACTATCACGGAATGGCAGGAAGTTTCGCTAGAGATGACTACATATTATGGCAATCGAGAGATGATTACATATTATGACGCTTAATAAAGCACATAAAGAAAAACAACCGGTGAGTTTTCCCTCATAAACCTTAGGTTAGTCCTTTCAAACAATACATCACTCAGACCATCTGTTTCTCCTTTACTATGCCATCGTATTCATGTTGGTTTATAATTCGATTGCCGTGGAAAGTGAAAGCCTGTTGTTCCTCAATCAGGCAGCATTGTTACTTCACACATGCTGTACGATGAAGACCCTCTTTTCGGTCCACGATCTAATATCAGTCGAGGTTGCCCCTGGTATGGACCTGGCGCTTATTTTGGCTTACGTCTTATGCTACGACGAGATGGACGACGATTTACAAGCAGAAGACGAAACACACACAAGCTACTACGAGTCATCGGAGGGTGAGCCACCATCTTCGAGAGAAGACCTCGTCTCATGATAGATTATGCGACTCCTCGAAGATAATGCTATTCCTATTGCTAGTACTATACAGTTAGTTGCGCAAGAAGAACTTTCCCATGAACTCACAAAATGTCCTCAAGAACGCACTCATCTGTGCAACATGATTAGATACTGAACTATGAATGAAGACGAATACCAAGAAGCAAATTCTGAATAGAGAATGCACAGTTTTGGTTGATGATTCAATGCCAGAGTTAGTACGACCACAGAGGCTCCTTAGGTGAAAATAAATGAACATGAATCGATAGAGCGAGAGTGTAGCGTCAACACTTGCTGGTCAATTGGCTGGTCATTAATTTGAAGTCTATCTATATTTTTGATAATAAATTTGTCCGACTGATGTGTTCTTCTGAAACCACGAGTTGTCAAGATGAGAGTTTTTTTATGAAGCATATGATTTTTAAGATTACACGCAAATGGTGACTCAGTAGGCGAGAGACAGAGAGACTTGCTGATGTTACGAGAGTAGTTCTTCGGTGCTTGAAGAAGAAGATGCTGCCTGAGCCACCTAAGTATGATCTGCTCAACATAATTGAGGAAACCACTGCAAATCTGTTTTGATTTGAGAGATTTTTTTGAAAATTTAATTGCTTAATAGTTGCGTTTTTGAGAGAACATGTGAGTGAGCGAATACTGCAAACCGATTATTACCCGGAGCATCATTGTTTATGTTTTGTATTATTTTCTGCATGATGTGAGTGTTAGTTTCTCCATACTTAGAAGTTGTGTGATATTTCTTTGTTCTTCTTTTTCGACTCCAGCCAGGCATATTGGGTTTCTGGACAATTGCATTTTTGCATGTTGTTCGGATTCCCTAGGTTGGCGGGTTGTAAGTACCTAGTAGTTGTAAAGTAAGTATAGTAAGTTAGTAGTACCTCTCCGTCTCTCTAATATTTTTTTAATGCATGATAGATCATGATGTCAGTCTACATTGTAGAGTAGTTTCCGTTCATTCTCCTTTGTTACGCAGCTGTGCCGTCTTAGTGGAGTAGATAGTTGGGACAGAGGAAGATGACGAGTTGCAGTAGAGGCCTTTTATGAATACATTGATGTTCTTGTTGTTGTTGTTGTTATACATTATGTCTTTTTCTACATTATGTCTTTTTCTAATGTTTTTAGGCAGTTGATAGGGCAAAACATAATCCATCCGAAACCCTGTCAGTAGGAGAATGAGTTCTTAGCAAGACCACGGTGCAGGATTTTATAAATTTTTGAGTTCTTAAAAATCTTATATGTTCTTACCCATGATTTGATTGGATGATTATTTTTGTTGTATAGTCTTTGTCTTTGGTTCTTCTCTCTATACTAGGTCGTTGCTGCAAAAGCCAACCGCATATGTGATGAAACCTTAGTACTTAGTTTGTTCAAACTGATTTCTTATTTGATGATTTCTTTGTTCAAGAAAATTTGTAGACCACTGACTCGACCCATTGAAATTCACCTTTTGTTCTACCTCTTACGTCTAGTACCATAGCTACTAGTCCGTCTTCTTCATAGATATAAGTAAAAATAACAAGAACATGATGTTAATCGGTCGTGAAGAAAGATCACATTAATGTTTATTCTATGAACGATGACGGCGGTTCTCGATGAGCAATTATTGCATAGATCGTGGAGCGGTCAAGAGCTGATCTCTAGTACTAGTGCTAGTGGTGTTGGGGATCGTAGTGCTGGTAGTGCTAGTGCTAGTGATGAAGGAACGACTGGCAATACGGGTGAAGAGGACTACGACTACGATTTTCAGCCTCTTCAGCCTCATTTGAGGTTGAAGGTTGAAGGTGAGGTTGAAAGAGACAGGTGGAAGTTCGAACAGGAGGCAGCGTTTGTCGTGGACGAGCACGAGGAGCAAAACGTTCTAGCTCCTCCTGCTGAGGAAATCTATACTCCTTCGTATTTGTTTGGTGAGCAACATCAGCATAGACATAGTAGTGCAGAGCACAGCCACAACAGGTGTCTCGTTGAACAGGAACACAATAGTGGTGAACGTCAAAGTCTTGTTCAACAAGAAGATGTTGACACCAGTTTTCCATTGGACCACGTTGAATTCGGCCACGCCCTTCAGGTGGTGCAGGAACGATCCGACACCGCCTCCACGATCAGCCAGGCGATCTCGCATCGAGATGACTTCCTCGACTTCGATCCATCAGCATCTGAACCACTTCTGACAACCTCGAAGTCGAATGTGTCGAAAGCTACAACAAGTGCGAGAACAGTAGGCTCAACAGCTGCTTCGACGAGAGACCTAGGAGCGACGACGAGGGAAGAACAAGGAGATTCGAGAGAAGAGCAAGAAGATGGTGGAGTTGGAGAACATCATGGTGCTGGAGAGGAGGACGTGGAAGATGGGTGTGCACCTGGTGGGGCTGCAGCAGAGGAGAAGCACGCAGGAGACGCACAAGCTTGTTCGGCAGAAGCACAACCTCCACAACAGGAGGCTTCTTGGTCATCCTCTCCATCAGAGCATCCATCTGGATTAATAGAACAACACCAAGAAAAGGTCATCCTTCCCAACAGCACAGACACAGAGGGAGTTGAAAAGATCCTAACGCGCTTCGAAAATCGGCGAAGTAAGAATGCATTAGAGCTATCCCTTTCATCGTCTAGCTCGTCGACAGGAGGAGGCTTCACGTTGCGAGAAGCCAAAAGCGCACCATCAGGTCTGAATTTGGCAGGTCAACGAGTACAACAAGATACATCTTCACCTGGTTCCGCAGATGCGACAGGAGGAGTACTTGCTAGTCCAGATTTGCCAATAGTGTCGCCTACAGGAAACGATTTACATAAAATTTTAACAGCTTCCGCTTCTGGAGGGGTACGAGAAGACGAGTCAACTACACCTAGTACAACTTTGGCTCCGATACTAGGTTCTTCAGCAACCAGCAGTATAAAGAACAATTCTATCTTCACTGCTAGTCAGAACGGACCAGCGCTTGCTTCATCTAGAGGAGGCTTCGGCCGCACCACTAGTTCTCCAGCGAATCTGCATGCGCGTAACAATTGCGTGATGAAGGAGGACCCTTGGAGAGGATGGCGGATTCTGATTGACCGTTTTTACCTGTACTACTACAATCCCGTGAGGAACGAGAGTGTCTGGGAGCTTCCACGCGATTTATACGGCGTCTTAGGCGAGTGGAAGCCAATAATGTCCTCGTCCCACACGGGCGAAAGGTTCTGGTTCAACTCGCAAGCACAGCTGTCTTTGTGGGACGATCCGCGGCGAACGTGTGACGTTTTTTCCGCGGTTTTGACGGGGAACACGCTGTTCCTACACCTCTTTTTCGAGTGTGCGGGAGATTTGGAGGTAGCGCATCCGGATACTGGTGCGTCGCTAGTTCACTATGCAGTTGCCAGTGGAAACTGGAAAGTTCTCGACTTTCTTCTCCGGAAACTCGAAGCCTCGAAGAAGATCCATTTGCTAAACCGTACAGACAAGGAGGGGATGGAGCCATTGGTCTACACAGTGCGGACCGGATATTGGAATTTGGTACTATAAGTAAGTACACGTGGTCACCTATTTGATGAAGGCTACAGATCATTTATAATGTGACTAATGACATCCTCCGTGACTGCTCTCCAACAGGTCCGTCCACTCTGCGAAGCTGGTGCTGACGTCGGCAACGCGTTAGCTCTCGCACAAAGTGCAGGAGCACTTGAGTGCATCCGAGAACTTTTTCCCTATGCGTCAGAGGATGGTAAGCGAGATGTGGATGCTTTGCTAAGGGCTAGCGGAATGTTCCCCCATGACCGAGGGCGGGGCGGTCTTCGAGGTGGTGTCAATGATGCTAGCTTAGGTTTTGGCTCTTCAGAAGCTCACAACGGCAACGCGCAAATCTCTGAGCATCTTCAAGTGGGAAGAGATGGTCGAAGTAGGGGAAACGGACTAATTGCGGAAGATGCGCCAGCATTTCTCTCTGCCCGCGGGGGTGCAGAGGACTTTTCTTCTGGAGCAGCCGGCACTCATGGAGGGGAAGATGGCAACGTCGTGAGTCAAAACACAATCACGACAACTTCTTCTTCTAGGCAGAACAATCTAGTGGGTGGAGCACGACAGCGAGACACAGAAAAATCTTCTGTTGATGCGATGAAAGCACCACGCGGAGGAGTAGGAGGCACAACATCCGACATTTCGTCCACAAGTGAGCGGGAGATGGAGGAGACACCCAAAGTGTTGCGGCTAGTGTCGAACATTGTAGAAGGCGTCTTCGGATCCTGGGAAGACGACGAAGAGGAATTCCAGGATGCCTCTGAAGAAGGAGCATTGCTGCCTAGTAGAACTAGAGAGGAAGAGTTGCAGCAGCTACAAGCGCAACAGCAAGAGGACATAGATGCTGAGAGGAGCCGAGATCTGAGGCTACGAAACTTGTACGAGGACATGCACAAAAACCTGTACAAGAACAGACGAAGTGGAGTACTACTATCTACCTCCTCACTTGGAGGATCAGGCGGAGGTCGACCACGAGCGGAGGGGTCTCCAACTACGTCAATGATGCAGGAGTCGACGCAGCAGATGATGGGTGAGAGCTCAAGCCAGCTTCCCAGTATAGACGAAGGACAGAACAAAAACGACCTACTTGAGCACCATGAGGAGGGGCAAAATGGAAACATTAGCATGGGTAAACAACCGCACCAGCACTCCTATGGGGAGCTTCGTCAGACAGCAACACCAGCAACACAACATGACTCTTATTACTACAACGGAAATGGGACCGCTGCTGGTTCATATGATGCGGCGGCATCTGCGTGGGACGCTTCACACGTCGGGAATTCTACTCGTCCTTCTTCACCTGACTGGCAGCCGACTTGGCAGCGCCCAGATCAACAGGCGCACCAGGAGTATTACAACAATTATGCTGGTGTTCCTGATCATTCTGAATACAACAACGAAGAAGTAGGAGGTAATACCTTATGGCAGTCGACGGAAGCTGAACAAGTTGATGTAGGAGCACACGACTGGTCGTCGGGACCGCGTCAAGAACATGCAGTTGAGGAAGATCACAGTACCACTAGTACTCGAAGGCCAGTAGGATCAGTGCCGTTAGGGGGTAATAGTCAGGACGATCAAGAGTGGCAAGCCTGGCCACAGCAAGTACCGCAAATGAGCCACTCCAATGGTACACCGCATGATGATGTATTACAGGAGGAGGAGCAGATCAATCACGACTACTATAATGCAGCAAGAACACCAGAGACACCTGCAGCGAAGAGCATGTTTGACGACTACTATACGGGAGAAGAGGCTGCTCAGATGGACCTCCAGTTAGCTGGCGATACAAATAAAAGTAGCACACCTGCTTCTAAGAAAGAAGACAAGACCGAGAAGGAGTTTCTTTCTACACCACAACAGTCACCCGCACCTTCCTGCTCATCAACGGCAGCGCCTGATAGTGCTTTCCGCGCCATGTCTCCGCAAACAATATCCAAGCACTTCGACTGGGCCTCTGATCTGACTACAGAATTTCCTTCGGAGGAGGAGCTTGGACTGAACAGCAAGAACTTTTTGGATGGAGGTAACGATGTTGAAGCAGGTGTACACGTACAAGCTGAACCTGTAGGTGAGAACGATAGCCAACAAACATTGCCTTTGCCCGATAGCGGAGGCTCAGTGTCTCCGATGTGCAGCAGCCGGCCAGAAATAACGCCTGAAGTGCTGCGCAATGAGGACGATAGGCAGCAAGGGGTCAAGAAGTGGAGCCAGGTAGAAATTGATCCTTCTAGTAAGACTAGAAGTTCTACAAGTAGTACTCATGCTTCTGTCGTTCAGCAGCATCACAATCATCTCGTTCGTGAAAATCGCGGCCTCTGCCAACACCAAGAGAACTCCAGTATTACTACTAGAGAGGACCATAACATCAACATCGTTAACCCGCCCCAACAAGAGGATGCAATGATGACCACAAATAAGAAGAGTGGGACGGAGACGACAACGACTCCGAGTAGTGTGGATGGCTCAACGAGATCGACAGGCGTGCCTCCTGCTGATTCAGCATTCCCACCGATCCCACCTGAGGAACCGTTGGGCAATTCTTCCCCTAGGAGAACAGTCTTAGATGATGATCATGAAGGTATTATTTTAGATGTAGACAGGAGTCATGCATATAAAAATCATGATGATCGGACGAGACGAGGTGGAAACAAAGTAGGTGATGTAGGACGAACTGTGCTGCCCGAAGATGAGCAGACGACCACTACGCACAAAATTGAAGATAGCATAGCTTTTCTCGGAGGACCAATGATACCTTCTTCGAACGATATAATCGTAGGAGTTAGCTCTCCGGTGCCACCCTCTAGTACCACGTCCCCTTCCAGAATGCTCAAAACGTCTTCTTACAGTAGAACCATTACTACTACCACAACGTCCAGAACGATACACCATTCGATGGCTACATCTTCTTCGCAACTACACGAAGAGGATCTCCCACCAGCCCAAGAAAATTATGGTGGACCTCCCAGTTCATCGACTGAAGACTCGACATCAGACGCGCACGCGCTGTCTCCGGAATTGAGTGGGCATCCACAACAAATGGGCCTCGAGGAGATCGAAGCGGAGCTCGGTGCGATTCCTATCCCGAACTTGAGTCCGGTGATCGACGGCGTAGTGCGTAATCGTGGGATCCGCCCACCGGACGCAAGACCTGTGCCAAGAGCCTTGCTGGTGTTGCCACGTGGTTGTAGAGATTCATTAAGGGTAGGTTAAAGGTGCTTTTCTTACCGCTTTTTATGCCTCTCTCCCTTAGGGGGAGAAAGGCATAAAAAGCGGGGTAAGCAAGCACCAAAAACCTACCTCTAAATTCATCTGGTACGGGAGGTAGTTTTGGAGGTGGAGGTAGAGGCAGTGGGAGTGGAGGCCTTCATAGTCGAAACAACGGCTCACTAGGAGGTAATGGTGCCTCGTCTCTTTCTGCTCTAGGAGATGAGGACTGCTATGACGACGAAACTTCCTGTCCAAGAAGATACGCCATGGTCCTCCTGAAAAAACCACTCTATGTAGTCCGCGATTCGCGTGTGGTCAGCGTCTTAGGCACGTTCTGGCGTCTCGCGAGACAGCCCTCTGCAATCATCCGCTCAGTCGCTAACGTCATTCTCAACCTGTTCCCTCCACTCGTCGAAGAAACCCGAACTTTCCATCAGTTGTCTACTGTGGAAGAAGGGGAACTCTACTAACTACTTGAGTACCTTAGAGTGTTAGAGTTGCATGGCCTTCTGGTTGTAATCCCGCAAGGACCTCATGAAGTACTACCGCGTATATTAGCCACGTCCCCATATTTTTATAGTCATACATCAAGCAGATGAATCGACTTCCCCGCAGCTGCAAGCACAACAACAAGCGTAACGCCTTTGAAATTTTCATGTGAAGACATCGATCACTGGAGCCGCATTTTTCGCTCTCGACCATCAAACTCGGAAGTAGTAGCACTTTTACTCGCAAAGTAGTGATTCACAAATATTATCAGCACAAAAGCGCCAGACTGGACAAGTCGACTAGAATCTCGACCACTCCCGAAGCCCTTCGCGTTTTCTTTCTGGCAGGTTCTTACTTCATCGGATGATACCTACGATAAGTGGCGTCCGTGTTCTTTGATAGTTTATGATCAATACACGATATCGGACCAAGTAGAAGTAGACCAACATACCACTACCAGTACAAGTACTAGCTATGGCTATCATCTATCAACATGGATTAAACCATGAAAATTAGACCTTACACAGGCCTTACTGCAAAACACCTCTTGCTAGGCACAGTCATTCATTCATTCATTCATTCAGTTAAAAAGACGAATGTTGAGCGTTACGAGAGCCTCACTTTTCTGCGTTCAGCATTTCTTCCCCGTGAAAAATGACGTTTTACTACTAAGAAATTAAAGTCTTCCTCTTTCTCAGAGTCTTCACATCCATGAGGACACGGTGGTGAATTTTTAAGTCCGACATTTTCGAATCTGAATCAACAGTTCTTCATCTTCTTGGTACCTACTACAATGACCACGGAGGTCGTGATAAAGAGAAAGCGATTGGCTTTCCATGATAAAGAGACTTTTCTTTTCTTTGGGTTTACATTTAGACACTTACTGTAGCAAGAAACAACTCGAGGTAACAAGCATGCAAGACGCAGACTTTTGAGCAGCAGTCACTCTCACTCCCAGGTCACAATAGCAGTCAGCGTCACCACCTTATGAAATAAAAAGTAAGTACTAAAAATATTAACAACCGTCACCAAGACAAACACAGAGATATAATATCTCTGCTGCTGCTGCTGCTGCTGCAGTATGAAGAGTAGAACATCATCGTTGTATGTTAAAAAACTGCAACTTGTACCTTATTCTGGCTGGTGCGATCAGCCGCCCTCGCACCACGACCCGACTATAATCGACATGTCGATGACCACACAACATGTTGATGACTACACACCCTTTGATGTCATCTGTACATAGTAGATCTGTAATCTTCGACATCAAAACGAACACTGAACAATTACAAGTGGAACATGTTGGTGTACTTATAACGTTCAACTATGTGCCTGCCTCTCGAGTGCTCCTTGGACGATGCTGCTCGAGAGGTACTACTGCATGAAGTCAACATTGAGTGGCCGATCGGAATACTGAAAATTACAACTAGATTTGCTAGGCAGAACTGCTACGGCAACAAATAGATTTACGAACGTGATGAATGTAGATGACTGTTTGTGATCGTTGTACTAAAAAAACTACGAAAATTTTACGCTGTACATTATTCTTTGTCTACTTGCTGTCTAGATCATGCTGAGTCGTATCTCTATAAAGGTCGTGGTAAGTTCTCTTTTAGATCTAGAAGTATGTTTTTTAGTCTTCCAATGTCAATCTTCTATGTGGGCTTAAGTGAAAATGTCGTTGTCATCGATCTTTTTCATCCCGGCCTTTGATGACCGAGGAAACAAGACATGTTGTTGGTTCAACACAGATGCGTCCAATCGGCAAGGCTTTCTTACACTTACAACTTATTCGCTGTTCTTGTATTTTTCTTGCCTCCACCTAGTAGTGGTTAAACAACTATTAACAGAATGTTGTCCTTTCTTGAGACAATAATCAACGTTGATCCTTTCTTCTATAGGATGATTCTTAGGTGATGGAAACGCAGGAGCCTCTGCAACGCTTCCCCAAGACGAATAAGCTTACGTTCATGTCTCGTGTTCGTGCAGAAAAAGAAGCCAGAAGGAAGAAGCCATTGGAGAGATCATTGTGATGGACTCTAATTTTTTACCCGAAAAGACTCTCATCTCTAGCCTAAGTTATCGATCTCGTGAAAAGGAGTAACTAGGAGGTAGCACGAAAAATGAAATAACGCAAAAAGGTTGCCAAGAGACACCGTTTGCGAGATGATGCAAAGACAAAGACGCGTTTTGAGACTTCCTTCGATGATATAATATTCAACAGCTGGAACAAGCAGAAGTGAAATAACCAAAAATGGACCCTTCCCCAGCCTTCCGAGCCTTCTCAAGGCCACTAGGTGAGGACAGCACAAAAACTTCAACTCCTGCTGCTAGCCGCGTCCTTTTCCTCGAGGATTTAAGCTGTGCGATGATCGCCGTTTTCGGCTTCAAATTCAAGAAGCACGACTTAGAAATGTCGATACATCGGCATCACAAGAAGCATGCTGCGGTCAACATGGAGGTCCATCCCGAACATGGACAGGGTGAAAGTGAGTCCGAGTTCCTCACTGAGTCCGAGTTCCTCGCTTTAGTAGCTGAGCGACGGCAGCTTCTCGACAATATGACGGATCCGTTATACAAACAGTTTTGCGCACTCGACGCGAGAAGTAGAGGCCAAGTTTCCCGAGACGACCTAGAAACGTTCCTCCCCAAATCAGTAGCCTCCCAACTTCTTCGGGGAGTAGCACCCGGAAAGGATTGCTTCACGTTTCAAGACTACAGTGAGTTTTTGAGAGGTCATGGGGGTTCGAAACAGCAGGGGTCAACTAGAAATACAAATGCGCTGAAAAAAGAACATGGTGGACTTGGAGGAAGTGCGTTTGCCATGGATGTGGAATAAGTCTAGATTTAATGAAGAGACGCATGTGACTACATTTTCATATCCTAGCTATAGAAGTATCGAAAAAGCAGCGAGGTCCAGGGAGCTGGTTTTTCTTTGCAAAAGGTATGATGAGTCTTACTTTCGGAAACGGTACCTAGTTTCGGGAGCTCACTTCTCAGTAAATGTACACGAGAGGCAGAGAAAGAGATGTGAATGTGAAGGGCAACGAGAACTAGCTCGGTGTACTACAAGGATACTCATAGATGAATGGAAAGACTGGTCGAGGACAGTGCAGATGAATGCAATGAGGAGCAATGAGTATGATCTTCAACGCCAAAACTGAATGATGCTTCTGCGGCACAAAAAGTGTCGAGCTCCTACATTAACTGTAAGCTATACATGATAGGACTGGGAGACAAATAAGGATGATACCCAGGGGAGCTATCTACAACGCGAGTCTATCTGAGTTTTATTAAGTATCTGAAAGAACTGGCAGCGCTTTGATTGTTTTTGAATCACAAAAAGAGTCAATATGTCCAGCACCATGAGGCAGCTGCTTCGTCAGCCTTCAAGGACTGTGCAAGAGATCTCAATGAGGTCCTACGCATTATCCTCATCCTTGAGGAGATGCTTTGGATCGACGTCACAACCACAAGCGGTAGAGCGAGGACCTGCAGCACAGCAACGCCTTGGGAGCGGGCTTGAAGATACTGCTCCCGGTCGTAGTGAGAACCAACAGAGAAAGCAGATAAATAATGGGTATCATTCTCCTTCTTTGTCTGCGACGAGTTCAAGTGCCGGTGGGAGCAAGCAGGGAGACGGACACGCCATGAAAACAAATAACGGAAAGAACAAGCCCTGGGCACAAGGTAAGCAACCGCTCTTACCATACTCGCAGCGTCGCCATTTTGAACGCTACATTCGTTTGCTTATCTCGGAGGCCAAGTCGCAGACTGGAGCTGAGCTAAGCCACTTGCATGCCTACAGTATGACAGATACAGTATGACATCTTCACGGATACAGTATGAAATCGACACTGACCTTCATGATTCAGTGCGTAGTATGCATTACCAAAGTTCGTCAAAAGCAAAGCATCGATTCAATTTGACTTACACCAGAATACAGCAAAGAAACAGAGAGGAGACTATTCATTTCTGTTCTATATATCTAGTACTTTCTATTTCTGTAGTAGAAAATATGCATGTATAAGTAGATCTTCGTTTTGGACCGTGTTTCCCGACTTTTCAATGAGGTTTATGATAAGAAGAGTGAATTACAATTTATCCGCTTTCATACCCAGGCTGTGGCCGAAATCGTTTATGAAGCACTTTGCGAAAAAACTGATGGAGAAGTGGCAAGAGCAGCAGTATACTAGCGTTGGTGGAGACTATAGTTGTATTCCAGTGGTAGAGCAGAATGACGAGGATGACCACCAGAGACGCATGATGACGTTGGAAAAAAAGTTTGATATGCGGTTGCAAGAAAAGATCGTGCAAAATGCGATTCGCGAGGTTATAAGGGAGTGGAAGAAGACGGCTGTTTTGCCTAAGGCGGGACGACAAGGCAGGAGCAGGACATCATCTTCACCCCAAGGCAGACACGACGAGTATGGCTCATGTAGTTATAGCTTGTTTTTATATTAACAACCTGCTCAACAAGAAAAGATTATGGGGTTTGGAAGAACAACGATAATTCAATTATATTCTGTCTTCAATAAGTCGTGCAGCTGCTGCAAAACGACAGGCGCTCTCTGCATTATACTATTTATATATTGTTGGTCATGGTCGTAAATCCTTGAAATATCACAAAGATCCACCAAGATCAGAAGGATGAAGATCATCAAAATGACCAAGATCGCCAGGCGAACAAGGTACCCACCGGCACCACTTTCAACGCGTTGGCCTTAGTTGGCGCGGGTGTCGGCGGTTTCTCCTCTCTCTCTCGTTGTGGCTCAAGCTCTCAACACAGTCAAGGACAAAGCAACGCAACCTACAGACCTAAACGCATATGGTTCCAAAATCAATGATCAACAGGCAGAGGACCTTCAACGTATTCAGATAGCAGGAATAACGAATGTTCATAGCTGTAATCAGGTTCATAGCGTTTTGTCAGTTCTGATCAGTTCAAAGAACATATGGGTGATCGTATGAATCATTGATGATAGCATAGGCGTTCCCATATGAAGCAGATGGAGTTTCCCCATGCATGCAACATGGTATCCCAATGAAGAAGCTGAGACTTCCTTCCCTTTCAACCCCAATGAACATCCACAGGGATCATTTCGCCCAGTGGTCAAGTGTCTCAGTTCAGTTTCTCCGGATCTGAATGACGCAGGGTTCGAATCCGACTGATGTCAGAAATCGACACACCCGACACTGGGAGGGCTAAGGAACGGCATCCATGCAGAGAAGCCGCCGGGCAAGGCCTGAATAAGAGGTAAGAAACGGAGACCCAGAGGAAGGGCCCGGCCCGTCATGTGCTCGCCCCGGAGAAATGACCAACCAGAGATCATTTGTCTCAGGCTGTTAGTGCAATCTGTATCAAACTCAAGCGTTTCTCAGTGAGAAACTACACGCGACTTAACAGTCTGTGTTCGAATGTTCCAACACTGCTTTGACCCTTGAGTCTGGCTCAACATAGAGTAGAAATTCATGTAGAAACAAAATGTCCTGCGAAGAAACTCGACTTGCCTCAAAACTACCCGAATGTAGTTGGCATGGCGGCAGCTCCTCATGGTATTCCTAACGGAGTTACCACCCGGGAGGACGCAGCCAAAATGTCGCAAGGCAGAGCCGAGACGCGGAACCGGTGGAGAGTGGATTTTGCTCGCTGAATTTGGACGATGACGAGATTGGAGACGAAATAGCTGTGGATAATAGTGGGGGAGTAAAACTTATAGGACATAGTTTGAAAACCAGTTCCATAGCTACAAGAGATGGAGTTAGGCGGGTTGATAGTTGTGCAAACAAATATCTCTCAAGACACAAAGATAGGTCATTGGTATAACTACGAGAATTTGTAGGATTACTGGCAGCGCCAGGAAAAGGATTTAGATCACATTATACCTTGGCTAGGTGAAGGGAACTGCTCGCAATTAGGATGGGAATTCAACCTCAAAGGCACAGGTGGTTGTCTCGTACATACGGACACCAGCCAGGCCATACCCACAAGAAGTCATCCACGCCTGCAGCTTTCCACACTTACAAGCAACTTAATCAAAGAAGAGACTGATAGTGGTTACATTTGTTCAACAGTAGAAGAAGGAGTCAGTAGATGTTATCTTACAAGACTCGAACGTCATAGAAGGTGTGGGCACTTTCACATAGATGGCCTCCAGGTAAATTGTCCTGAGTGCGATCTACAGAAAGGCCAACGCGCACCATATGCAAACCAATAGAGATACTTCGAATTGCGAAGGCGTATCAGTTAGGTCAAAGAGATGTGTACTAGTGACTTCTGTAATGTAATTAAGAAGGTGTGCGTCGACCGCTTAAGCTGTAGAGTGACTGTGTGGAGGAAATGGAAGAAGTGACAAAAGGCATTCGCCAGGACTACTCCTTATCTCTATATGGCAAGGTAGTATGGTTCCTCCTGAGGGATGGAGAACCTGTCCTGAGCAGTGACGACATGACCAAATAAGTTATGCAATCGCTGCGAGTCTCAGACAGTCCGGCTGCTCCTTATAATCTGGATTGAATGAGGCCTGCGAACGTTTTATGCGGACTTTGTTCAGCAGTGTTCGCACAATGCTGACTAAGTTGATAAACGTCTCTGGAAGTTACTACGTCGAGTACGCTGGTGACTGCTGGGATTGTTTACCGCATAACTACGCGGAAATGCCTCAAAATGATGGAAAGAGTCCAACTCAAATCTTGGAATAAAGGACTGGTAGAAACTCGTCGAAGAGTTCAATCGGCATGCTCCGTCGATTTGGTTGCCTAGTTCACTTTCGTGAACAACTTCAAGCCAACCCTCCTGAACCCAAGCTCTAGGCCAAATACCACCGTGGCGTCTTCCTTTGGATTTTGTCCGAAGTCGTCTGGTTGGTTGGTTGGTTGGAACTTTCGCTCATGACGATCGTTGCAAGCTTGGACATCGATGGGCGGAATACTCTACCCGAGATGTAAAGTTTGTTCAGAGAGGACTACTTAATAAAGAATATTGACTGGCTTTTGCCAGATCAGAGGGCATCTACATAGAGTCTGACGAACTGGGAAACCTGCCGGGTGGCGCGTCGTAGCTGGGCTCCCCCTTGCTTGGACAGTCAGAGCTAAGGCTGGATCATCAATCGGGGTTCTCTGGCACGGAGCACATTCCAGGTGGACCGACCGGAATTTCCGAAGAGATTACTGGATAAAGTAGAGGAATCCAACGCAGCTGACTCTCCTAAAGGTGTTCCACCTGAGGAGGGGAAAACTGAAGCGAAGGATCGCGTGGCATCTGCTCCGCTTAGTCCGTCTAGGTTGAAAGCGCCCTCTCCAGCACGTGTTGTGGCAGGCGAACGCCATACACACGGCGAGAAGCGTGGCCGACCAAAAGGAGCTAAGGACAAGGCAGGCAGCAGGGTACGAAGAACAAAGAAACAGTTAGAAGAACTGAGGAAAGAATATGGCGCTGTTCGCTAGTGCAAGTTGGTGGCATGTGTGAACTCGACGAAGATGAGGAACTCGTCGAATCATATGTGATTCAGTCCGTTGCTCAAGCACTCAAGCCCCCCGATGCCGATAAGTGGCAGGAGGTTACTGAGAAGAGCACGCGAGACTGCTAGCCTTGAAACGTGGAAAGCAGCTTCTGACGAGGAGCTCGCGACCGCGTGGCAAGCTCTACCAATTGACATAATTCTAACTATCAAGAGATGTGGAAGATACAAGGCTTGCGCTTGTGTCGTCGGTAATCTAGATCGATCAGGAGAGCTAAACACCTTTGCTCCCGTATTTTCACATACCGCAAATAGGTTGCTCCTGGCTTCTGCTACGTCAGAGCAGGGCTATGTGATCCCGTTCGGTTTAGATTCTGCGTTCCTCAATGCTGAACTCGATCGCGATGTCTTTTGTCATCTCCCACCCATCTGGGCAGAGAAGCATGGACGCGAGATCGTGAAGCCCAAGACTGCCTTATACGGCTTGAAGGACGCACCACGAGCATGGTTTAAGAAATATCGCGACATACTAGCCACTCTTGGCTGGGAGCCGTGTGATTCTGCGCCAGGCTTATGGAGAAAACCGAGAGCGAAAGCACCAGAGAAGTTCCTCAAGATGTCACCAAGGACTTCTTAGGTGCCGTCGTGTACTACTGTCGTGAAGCTCGAACATTTCGGCTCAACATGGAAGAGTACATTGATAGAATCGCAAAGAGATTGGAAATCCAAGTCGGGAATCCGGTTCACTCGCCCTATTTTGACGAGTCGACTTTTCTTGAGGAGGGGATCAAGATAGTCGATGGGTATCCTTATCGTGAGGTAGTTGGTGCCTTGCTATGGGTAGCTGTAACCGCGCGCCCGGACATCTCTGTACCGGTGGCAGGCGTTGGTTAGACATGACAGCAAACCTACGCCAACAAGAATGGTTAAAGCAGCCAGAAAAGTGCTGAAGTATCTGGTGACGAGAGAACAAGGACTGGAATACTCACCAGAACAAGAAGAAGAATTCGATGGAATCTATTCAAGTTATTACCTGAAGGCAGAGGTAGGCCAGAGGTGAATATCTTTAGTGATGCAGGTTTCGCCAACTGCGTGAAAACTATGGGAACGCAAGTGAAAGATCATGTGCTTAATTTCAAAGGCGTTCCAATCGCTTGAAGAAGTAACCGACAAACTGTCTGTGCCTATCCTACGGCTGAAACAAAATGAATACACTGCGTGCAGTTTCTGGCACGATTGTGCTTAGTGAGCTGCATGACTTTACCGACTTCTATAGGCCTCTACCAACTCAGTTGGTGCACACACAGAACGGCTTGCCTCCCTCTTTAGGCAATGCTGTGCTCTGGATCGACAACCAATCCGAGATCACAACAGCTAAAGCAGCTGACACATGCCCGAAGAGTCGCCATTATGCACTTCGCTACTTGCGTGCGCGTGATGCGGCGAGTAAGATAGTTTTCTGTCCAACTAACTAACTAGATGAAGGCTAATGGCTTAACTAAGCTAGGATGTAGCTCGTTTCAACGTAGACTACTGTTTCACCATATAGATAACCCGATAAACAAAAGCCAACTATGACGATTTAACTTACAAAAAAAGAGAGTAGCCATTTCGCCTAGTGGTCAAGTGTCTCAGTTCAGCTTCTCCGGATCTGAATGACGCAGGGTTCGAATCCGACTGATGTCAGAACTCGACACACCCGTCACTGGGAGGGCTGAGGAACGGCATCCATGCTGCGAAGCCGCCGGGCAAGGCCTGGGTATGAGGTAAGACACGGCGACCCAGAGGAAGGGCCCGGCCTGTCCTGTGCTCGCCTCGGAGAAATGGCCAACTAGTTCAGTACTGGTCTATTCTGGTTTCTAGGTAAGCTTATCGTAAGTCGTAGACGAATAGTTAGGAGATATGACTTCCGTGGATAGTCCAGAGACTAGGGACTTCGACACGCAACGATTGAGGAGGGGTGTTGGTCATGGTCGTAAATCCTTGAAATATCACAAAGATCCACCAAGATCAGAAGGATGAAGATCATCAAAATGACCAAGATCGCCAGGCGAACAAGGTACCCACCGGCACCACTTTCAACGCGTTGGCCTTAGTTGGCGCGGGTGTCGGCGGTTTCTCCTCTCTCTCTCGTTGTGGCTCAAGCTCTCAACACAGTCAAGGACAAAGCAACACAGGAAAGATCCCAAGATAACCTACAGACCTAAATGCATATGGTTCCAAAATCAATGATCAACAGGCAGAGGACCTTCAACGTATTCAGATAGCAGGAATAACGAATGTTCATGGCTGTAATCAGGTTCATAACGTTTTGTCAGTTCTGATCAGTTCAAAGAGCATATGGGTGATCGTATGAATCATTGATGATAGCGTAGGCGTTCTCATATGAAGCAGATGGAGTTTCCCCATGCGTGCAACATGGTATCCCAATGAAGAAGCTGAGACTTCCTTCCCTTTCAGCCCCAATGAACATCCACAGGGATCATTTCGCCCAGTGGTCAAGTGTCTCAGTTCAGTTTCTCCGGATCTGAATGACGCAGGGTTCGAATCCGACTGATGTCAGAATTCGGCACACCCGTCACTGGGAGGGCTAAGGAACGGCATCCATGCTGCGAAGCCGCCGGGCAAGGCCTGAATACGAGGTAAGAAACGGAGACCCAGAGGAAGGGCCCGGCCCGTCATGTGCTCGCCCCGGAGAAATGACCAACCAGAGATCATTTGTCTCAGGCTGTTAGTGCAATCTGTATCAAACTCAAGTGTTTCTCAATGAGAAACTACACGCGACTTAGCAGTCTGTGTTCGAATGTTCCAACATATATAGTTGTTGGCAGAAGTACTGTAAAATATAAGACATCAATCTTCACTCGCGACCACGTCCTTTATCTCTATCCTCTAACGCACTACAGAGGCTTTGTCAGTGGTCGCGCGAGCTAACAGGCCGTTGCGCGGTGGAGATGGTAGTACCAGTGAGCAGCTCAATGCCTCATGGAAAGGGAAACACAAAGATCCAGAGAAGGCATTCGAAGTACGACTACGCGACGCAGCTTCAAGAGCATTGAACGAAAACGATCCAGAGAAGCATGACGTAGAAGAAGATGCAGAAGAAGCAGAAGATGCAAATAAGGACTCACACGACTTACAACAACAGTCTAAAAACGACTCACTGCAGAAGTATCAAGCAGAATCAGATCAGGTCCAGAAACTGAGAATGAAGCAATTTGAAGTAGCGGCAAATCGCAGAAAACGAGAAGGGATAGAAGAAGGCTGTGATTTGGATGAAGAAATACGCCAGGATCACGGAGATACTGCCGATCAACAATTGAATCAAGCAGCTTCTACGCAAAAACACTCCATGGCCGAAAAGATGACCGATCTTTGGCTACAGACAAAGCGCGAGTATCAAGATGTCAACTTGAGTATCGGTCAGGCGGCTTTTGGTGCGAAGCCTTCACCTCCGAGTCGGATTGTTATGGGAGTCAATAAAAGTAGCTTGCTTGAGAGGCTTTTCAACAATTTGATGTGTCCTTGAGGATGCGTCCATCGTCAACCTGTACGATGGCCACGACATCTTCTTCTTTACAGTCAGCTAAGTACTTACGCAATTGATGATGAAAAACCCTAAATTCTCCCTATGTATTTTTTTAGTATAAGTCTAAGCATCTTCTACTTCCACTCCTCTCTAAAGTCTAAACGAAGCGCCTTCAATCCACAGCATAGTGGAGGGAACTTCTACATGTTTCCTCTACCGCAGTCTGGCCTCCACGGTGCAGAACGGAAATCGAACAACACGAGCAAAGAGAAACTAGATAAGCAAGAGTCTATCGCATCTCTGCTGACCAAGGTGGGTGATGATTCTAGTACGTAAAGGTAGTAGCAGGAATTTTTGCGAAAGCTGAAACAGCAGCACCAGTAGGTTAGCGCCAAACAGTCATTTTTTTATGGTCGTGGGAAGTAGATGCATGGCTCATGAGCCTTTGTCGCTGATGCGTAGGACGACCTAGTGGCCGACGAGGAGTGGACATACTTTCTGGCGGAGAGAGTACATCAGAGAGAGAGATGGAGCGGAAAAGAGCGTTTGCAGCCGAGCCAAGAAACTGAAGAAGTAGTTTTTTCCTCACTCTTAGATGAACTGTTGAAATCAACAGGTGCAACGTTACGAAATAAGTGTTTGGCTACGAAGAAAGACGGGGTGTTTTTGTTCATTAATGTTGTTGGATTTACTCTACATTAACTCATGTTAAAAATAATAGATAGTGTCATTCACCACTTCCTTGTTGTACCAAATTGATATGAAGATGGCTTTTGAATAATAATTGTGCGAGATCACATGTCGTGCGAACAGTGATCTGCATTCGGCTGCCGCTCCTCTGGCAGGGACGAAGCCAACCACGAATACCGGATTCGGCAGAATCCGACTCGGTCGCAACGGTGTTCGTGCAGCTCCTTCTTCAGCACCTCGTCCATCTCCCTCTTCCGCATCTTCGTCCACCTCTTCTTCCACATCTTCGTCGACCTCCTCCAACAGCGAAAATTGTTGTCTCAACAGACCCGTCTGCGCCTTGGCGTCCCGTTTTTCCTCTCCCTTGCTCATCAATTCGATGGGATAGGAATCGGTCGCAACGGCTAACGAGGTTTTCACAACAAAGACAGAGAAGATAAGTGGGATCCGTCGATGGGTAATCGACCTCGTGAGAAGATCACGCATTAGCGCAAGGAGAAGAGGAGGAGATTGCCATCAATCGAAGCTGCCACAACGAGATTGAAGAAAACGAATATTATCGCGTAGAAGGCCTGCTCACGAAAGCTGCGAAAGCTGCACGATGGCAGAGGGTCTTGCCGGCATTCTTGCCGGGCAACAGGCCACCGGGGCGGGCCAGCAAGAGATCATATTCGATTAAGGCGTCGTGAACTCTCCTCCTTATTTTCTCTCCGAAGGACGAAGAACGTATCGACTTCGGTATAGCTTCGAAACACCTTGCTTTCCTTGTATCGAATACAATTCGCTTCTGCGAATGCAGGAGACACGCTTCTACAACAAAATCCAATATCCAACCTCCTCCTTCTAACTTCCCGTAAGCAAGAAAGAGGTAAACTCACCTCACCAGAATTTCAAGAAGCTGACGCGCAAACTCCGATCCGAGTTCAAATGTGGTGTGAACAAAGACCTAATATCTCTGGAGAGGTTGAAACAATGCGCTCTTGTCGTCTTTGGAGGACCAAGGGAGATGTTTACCACAGAAGTTATGGCTTGACTATTGGGAGAGGTAGTTTCGAACTCGAATAAGTACTGAGCCGGGCAGTCTTCAATCATAATCTTGTGTCTTCGGATTTGAATCCCAGTAGGCAATGTGACACCCGCGAATGCCAAAGGCAGTGTAAGTCTCTAATTTCTAGTTCGATGCCATCAAGAAGTACCTCACCGATCACAACGGTTCGGTGCTTTTTCTGCTGGGCGAGGGCGGGGAGACACGGTAAGTAACGGATGTCTTACCTGTCATTTTAGCATGATGAATGGCTGGTCATCATCTCCTCTACAGGTTGGTACAGTCGTGAAGATGTTAACCTTTTTTTGTGAATGTTACCTTTTTCAACACACTCAGGTTCAACACCAACGTCAATTACCTGCTGGAGGAGTATGGAATTATGGTGAACAACGATAGCGTTATTCGGACAAACTTCTACAAATATCACCATCCGAAGGAGTGCTTTGTGGCGAATGGGGTGTTGTGCAAGGATCTCATGAGAGCAGCAAAAGGTGAAGCCGGACAGGGGAAAGGTATTCAATAGAGTTTTTATTTTCATTTTGATTGCTTGACGGATGATGTTGAACTTGAAGCGTTTGCTTAAAAAAGTCAATACAACTACTTCTTCGACTTACAATTGTTGATAGATGATGACAGAGCTTGGGCTATCATCATGCAATCTCTCTCCAAATTGACTCCAAATAAGTGCAGGATCACGGGTTGTTGCTGAGGAAGCGCCACAACATGGCAGCAAATCAGCACTTGAGTTCGTTTATCCTTTCGGTGCGACGATGAACGTCCAAAAGCCGGCAATACCAGTGCTGTCGACTGGTATCATAAAAAAGAGATGAAACTCTAGTACAAAGAGTTTTGATGTAATGGACGCTGTTGGTGATACTTGCTAAGTATGAGTAGATTCTGTCCCATTGTGTTTCAAGCAAGAATTGACACTAGGCCATACTTCTCTATTTTACTTAGAACATAAACATGATTGATTCCCGTTTAATATGAACCAAAAAAACTCCCTTAGGTCCTATCTCATATCCATTGAACCGACCAATTTGTGGCGTCTATGAGGGAGAAAACAAGGGTGGTCGACTCTGCGTCTTGGGGTCAGTCAACATCTTCTCTGACGACTATATAGACAAAGAGAATAACGGAAAATTGTGCGACCTCCTCATAAAGTGGTTGACGAGAAGCAACGACATAGAGATGAACTACAGGTGAATTGATTTTATGATTGGTCGTTGTCCTCAGTTAGTTGTTCCTGAGCTGCGACTGCTAGCAAACTCATTATTGGATCAACTTTGTTTTTTTCTGACCTGAACTCTCTCAACAATGTCGATCTTACAACAACCATACACCAAAAACCGACAGGTACGGAGAAGACCCAGAAATAAGCGAGTATCACTTTCTGCCACACACCCAACTACTAGCGGAAAGTCTCAAATCTTGTCTGCAGGAGGGAAATGTCATCCCACGAGACTTCACCGAAATGTTTGACGATAGGCTCTTCAAATTCGACACGAGCTTGATACCTGAGGCTATAAGGTACATAATCATGATGGATTAGAGAAACTGGGAACGACAAGAGACTGTGATTTGCTCTAAATATTTTGATTTCAATCTTCACATTTTTTTCAGGTTATTCCAAACGCTTGCAGTGAAGCATGAGCCGCTGACCCTGATACCACCAGAATTCGAGACACCTCTGCCGCCATTAAGGCCAGCCGTCTTTCCACCAGTATTGAAGGAGCCACCAGGGCCAGCACTGGATCTCTTTGATCTTGACGAAGAGTTTGCTTCAGAAAAGTCAAGACTAGCGCAGTTGACGAACAAGGTACTTACGATTTAGTAAGTTTACTCATCTCGTCGTCCATACTAGTGTGCTAGAAGAAGTTTCGTGGTGTTTTTCAAGTAGATAGCTTCACTTTGAGTTATCTGAACCTTCTCTTCGTGGTCATCTTCAATCCCTGTTGCTGCAATCTACTCCGATTTAACGTCAACAAATTCCTCAGTGCACCGACGACGATATGGAGTATTTCATCGGGCAAGCAGGCGAAATTCTTCAGATTAGCGACAAACTGCCTGAGGAGTCACGGTCCGCCAAGCATGTTTTAGAACATGTGTTTCAACAGATATTGAACTTCAAGAAGCTCAATCAAGCTGGCGGAGACCACCCCATGGACGACTCACAGCTTGGGGCTCAACTTGGTGCAGCACTAGGAGGGTTTGTTCCTTGATCTTTTGGGGAGTGTCTGTTTTCATGTGAACCACGTATTCATCTTGGGTATCCTCATCCTCAATATCTTCAATGCGACTTATAAACCAATTTTGCTTCGAATTTGTCACCGATCTGTTCTGAATTTCGCAATAGAACTACACCATTCTTGATTCCTTCTGTAATAAAGCCACAACGTTGCGCTTGTGATCTGGTCATAGCGCAGTTTGCTTGGGGGCGACTATGGAAAAGGGACAATTGAATACTTCCTAATGATTGCTTACTTTTCGAGGACATCATCTATAATAGTCTTCACATAGAAAATCGCAGCGAAGGAGTGCTGCGAGATCACAAGTTTCCGTGTCGATCCGTGCTTGCATATCAGTATCAGCCAGGTCTCCATTGTCACTGTTATCGGTCAAGACGAATTCATCTTCCTTCGGTCATGAAGAAGGCATTCATCGGTCTATGTATAATTAGAACATTTCGTAAGAAGGATGTTGGATTGCATGGCATTGCATGCATTGCATGAGCCGAGGGGGTCAGAGTGCGACCTTCTTAAGGGAGCGACACGGGAGCGAAGACTCAGGGCGCGGCATAGGAATACTTGGCTCCGTTGTAGGAGTACTTGAATAGTGCTGGCACGTACTAGCTATTGTAAGTAGCTCGACTAGGCTAGCTTGCCTGTGATCTCGACCGTCTTCCTTCGGTCATGAAGAAGGCAGCCATCGGTCTATGTATTTATCTATCGAATTTCATCTTACTCGTGCTATCAATCGGTCTGAACTCCATTTCCCAGATCACCCACCTGTCCTGCAACGAAGATCAATTGAATTATGTTTCGTTCCCTGACACAGACACTGAGGAAGAATGGAAGCGCATCCTGAAAGAAAAGGGGCTTAGCATTTCGATCTTTCATCTAAGAAAGTAGCCTTTACCACGTGAACCAAATACAAAAGTTTTAGAACAACTATCAAGAACTGGTGCTACTCCTTAATATGTTTTTATATTATGGAAGAACTTACTTGTACTGACATTTTATTTTTGTTGAACAAGTTCGGCAAATCATGAACAAAATGTCGCACCATCACTTCTCGGCGATGTCTACTTTGGTGCTTCCTAACCGTTATGGCGGATCGTCGTCAAGCTCTGGTGCTTCCTCCAGACCCTCAGCAACTTCCTTTTTCCTCAACTGCGACTCTACGTACCAAGTGCGGGATTTGACTTCTGCTTTGCGTTATACCATGACGCCACCCTTGGAGCACGAGTGTGAATACACGCAGAAACGCTTTGACATTCTAAGGCGAGAGGTCCCAGAAGTACCGCCTGGAGACAAATGCATCGAACGCAGCTACATCTACAAAGGCGCATTGGATCGGTGGTATAAGTGTTGCACAGAAACACTGGGATTGAGCGGACTTGTGGATATTATGGGAGTGTGTCTTTATATATAAGTTTGTCTTTTTTAGCGTTCATGAAAGTAGATGATGTCTTGATTGTGTGCATCTTGACCGTAGCAGTGAACAATGTGTCTCAGTCTCCTGTACTCTCCTTCACTTCGTATCCGCTTTATACTAGTTCCACCACCGTCCCCAATTCCTGCTAAGCCCCCTCGTCTAACTCAACCCGTCCCCAAATGGCGTGTCAGCCTCTGACGCCGCTCGCGAAGCGCGCACATTTACCCGGGACTGGTCTTGCGCGATCCAAGCAGTTACAGTGTTTTGAGACACGGCCTGCTGATCGGATAACACCTGGTTACGTCAACGATCCTACCTGCTTCTGTCCTGAAGGTGAGAATAGTGGCTGTTGGTGTCCAAACCCCAAGACGGAATGCATAAACTTAGGAGATGCTGACCGAAGCAGCTCATCGACGGGGAAATACTCGGTGTATTATATACCGTGATGACATAGATACTCTGTGTATTATATACCGTGATGTTTACATACTAGTTCTAGTACATACATGAAGAAGGAAATAGGTCCAGATTTTCGTACTGCTTCAAACAGCATTCCGCACCAGGATGCAAATGAGTTAGCTACAACACCAGGAAGGCAAAGTGTTAATCGCATGATGAATAACAACCGTAGTGCAAGCACAACTTGTTTACTCGGTTCGCTCGTGCTATCGTCATAGTTTCGAAATCTTCGCGCGTCTTTTTCACAGGCGCGCTTAGATGAGAGGTCGTGGCATTGTGTCTTCGTTTCATTTCGTTCTCTCGACGTTACAGCGAGACTTGATTTGTTGTCCTGATGCGCAGTTCTGATGGTACTTTTCGATTCGTGTGCGCATCGATCGAGAAAGGGAGCACTGCATTTTACTGCTGCGACGCAAGAGAAATTCATCAGTTGCACATCTGAAAAACGTTATATCTTAGGAAACCCGAAGTGAAGCCAAGAGTACCAAGTACGACCACAACAGTATCAAAAGACCTCTCTCCTTTCACGACAAGAATTATGGGCATTCTTCAAACGGCGTTGTTTGATCATATGGATCATCATACTGGATGCTACGATACTGCTCCCTCACTGGTGCATTCAGGAACAATATTGGGCACACGTGGTGGTCGTGGCTCGTTGACCGGCTCCAGTTCCTTCATCACTACGAGCACGACAGACACAGCAAATTTCCAAGGCATAAATCACTATCTTCCACCTCAACCATTACCGACGACAATACAGCTAGAGGGACACACTTCATTCGCAAGTACTTCTACTTTATCAAGTGCAAGTAGTAGGGGCCCAACATCGTTCTTCATGCGGCATGCGGCGCCACCCGTGCTTCCAGCGCAACCAGACGATGACATATGGAACGCTGCGTCGGAGCTAAAACATACCTACGGGTATCGAGAAATCAAGAGGAAGGTACTCACTTTTCGTTAATACAACAATACTCATCTAGAAAAAGAAAAAATTAGTTTCCATAAGGCGGAGCAAGCATTCGCACTACTGTTGTTCGTAATGAGCGTGATGTTCATTAGTTGTATTCGAACTATGAAGTAGAGGAGGTAGCTATTGTGAATGGTTCTGGTATTTGGTATAGCCTGAATTTGATCCTATGGGAAAACAAGAAGAGAACCCTTAGGATCAAATTCAGGTTACCAAATACCAGAACCATACATATTGCCACGACCCACTTTCGTTCCAGATCAACGTCGTTTCCTCATATGCCGCTACCGCTTGTCTAGCTGCTATGGGACTGGGGTATGTCGCGAGCCTTCTGATGCCTACTGAACCAGCGAGGAAAAAAAGGAAGAGGCCAGAATGAGGCACTTTCGCTCTCTGTAGCACTTCAAATCTAATGACAACGAATATTTGTGATTTTTGAAAAACTAGAGAACTTTTTTTTTTTTGCTCGGTCACGACTGCCGAGCCTATTTCGGGTAGCTATCACCACAGAAATACGCGATATGTAGTCGGATTCAACATCTAAATCTTGAACAGACACCTAAAGATAATGACATCATTCAAACAATGGGGTAAAGTTAAAAAAAGATTAATCTACTTTTCAACAAGATTTCGACTATACTTTGCATATATCGTTCGTCGAAATACTCACCAACAAATAAGTCGATCTAGGTTACCAACAAATCCTTGTTTCTTGATGCTAGTAATTCATTTACTTTCGGAAGTTACACTTCCAGGCAATGAACACAGACACATAATCGATCTCTATGTATGACGGAGCAGTCGGCCCTGAGGGATCAAGGAGATGAAGATGATATCTTTTATGCAGCGAAACCACGACTACTCCTGCAATGAAAACAGTCAGATGTCACAGATGTTACGCTTAGTGAACAACAATTTTCTTTTCCGCTAAAAAACGTGGAGACCAAAATCGAGACTGCTGACGCAGAACTGTACGAAACTTTGGAAATCGTGTTGCAAGGATTGGAAGCTTCACGAAGTGACCTTCCTGATCGAATACTAGACGGCAGTGCGCGGTCCTTCAGAGGCGGCGATCGGTCTAGTGTAACTTGATATTCAGAGTTAGCGGTCCTTCAGTGGAGTTAGCGTAGCACCACCAGCTGCAGTTGTGGTTTTGGCTCTTCAGTAGCCACTGGTGAAGTCTGCTGGTTTACCTAATAGAGTAACCTAACCTTCACGGAGTGACCTTCCTGAAGGTCTATTGTCTGGTCAAAAAAAGGATGCTGCTAATCTCGCCAAGTCTAAGAAGAAGTAATGTATAGAAGTCAACCGTAACAAAATGGCGTCTATGATCCTGCTTCCGTGGCCGTTTGCAGCGCGCCGCTACCTCGTGACCGCACTATTTTGCTGCCTCTTTCGTTTTACGGATGCATATGCGCTGAAGCAGTCGCTGATCACCTCGTCTGAAGAAGCACAAAGTTCATCCACTAGTTCTGAATCGAAAGCACAGCAGATGCCCAGAGGTTTCACGGCGTGCCAGAATTTCATGCGGAACCGGAAGGCCCAATTGGTCGCTGGCCCAGACTTGGTACAAGTCGTTGGCACCATGTGCAAACCTGCAATTACCGCAGGTGCGGCCGGATACCGATATCAACGAGGCTGCCAAGAGATGGAGAAAATCACAGCGGAGAAATATTATGAGTCATCGTACTAGTAATTGTCCTAGTGTAGTTGTAAAAACTACCATTCTTTCAACATCACCTCTTGTTTCAGTGAATCCGAAAAAGATTATAGCTCTAAAAAAATGCGGAAAACGAAAACTGGGATCCTAGCGCACTATGCATGGACGTGATGACGATTTTTAACAGCTACGCGCCGACCAAGTAAAAGTTCTGCTTTCAAGATCGATAATTGAGTTGAAAAGTTTGTATACTTGACAATGTCATTTTTTTTTTCCAAGGAGGGTCTCGTTTGATAGAGTCCCCAGTTTGTAGCTGTATAGAGTCAGTCTTGTTTGACATGAAGGACGAGGTCTAGGACGAGGACGAGATATCTTGATCTCGCGGAGTGTTGATCGTTCTAGTTGGTGATTTTCTACTCATCGCAAGTAAGAAAAGACGTAATATGCTTATATATAACAATGACGAGCGGTGATCCCTTTGTAACCCTAGTAACCTCAGACAAAGCTCCTTGTTGAAAATACATCTGAGCCAACACCACTGATCATCACGCAGCACCTTCGACCAGGAGGACACGCTTCTACCTGAGGAGCAGGTGTCATCTTCATGATCGCTAGGTATAAAAATTAGTAAGTTAGTAGCTAAAAACACGAGGAGTTTCTGTCAGAAAGTTATGGATCTCCGCGAGCAGGAAAGAAACTGTTTCTGCGAGAACACTCTGCACACCCACGGTCAGTAAAGATCTTCTCTAGAAGCTCCACTAGATGAACACGATACATAGTCACAAGAAAAAACTCAAGAAGAGAAGGTCCTGAGTTTTCGCAAGGAACGAGAAGATCTATAATTCGGCAGGAATGGAAATCATGTTACTTTCTCTAGCAGTGGTGCGCGGCACGACCCGAAGTATGGATCGGTCCTCGAATGATTCCATTCAAGGGTGACTGGAACAGAAATCATCACCGAAATCATAAAATCGAGTTCTAGCTTTTTGCATACCTAGATGTAAAACGAGAATTGAAATTTTTGCACTTGATCATTCGAATGTCTGAAGTTGATGGAAGAAGATGACACAAACTCTTTCTCAGGTATGAATAAACCACAATTCTTTTTCTCAGCACCTATCTTAGTCGATGAAATTAATAACAGTGATGTCATGTGTATATTTTCCGTGCAAACTTACATCTGAATCGATTGTGCTTCCAATTTTCAGAAATCTAACCCCGCTACTTGAGATCATGTTGATGTTCCAAGAGAGTTGAACATCTTCAAGCACCTCATCTTGTTTCAAGAACTCTACTTTCTGTGCACGACCTCCAAGGGGAGGAGGACGACGACGGTCGGAGTCCTAGTACCGAGAGAAAGGGCTCCGAGAAGATGTCGCAAAGCGATGAGGGCATCAGCCCCCGTGCTGCTCGAAGGCTAAAGCGTCGGAGGGTCATAGCCGACAGTGATGACGAGTCCGATGGTGGAAGTAGTCGTCCCACTGCCAGATCTATTGCGCCCGCTTCTGTTGTAGTGGGAGTGACTCTAAGAGGATCTAGTACGCCAGCTACTGGCAGTAGTGGAGGACTCTCCTGTGCAACTGCGCAAGCGGATTTCCTAGCAGATTTGGCACCGGCACCTGCTGGAGTTTCTCCTGCGAAGACTACATCAGGAGTTTCTCCTGCGTCGAAGACTTCTACGCTGCAGAGTAGGGCTAGTGGAAATGGCGCTGTAGCCCGTCCAGGGGCAGGACTTCATGTTCCTCGTCACCACAGTGCAGCCTCGAAAGGAGCTCCAGCAAATCACGCTGGTTTGATTCCTGGGCAACTGCATGTACATGGACAACTACCTCTAGGAGCTGCTAACGGCAGGACGAACCCAGCAGCTGCAGCTAATTTCGCGGCATTGCAGCAGCAGCAATTGCAGCTAGCTATCGCACAGCAACAGGCATTCTTGGCAGGAGGAGCGTCCTCATCGATGTTTTTCCAGAATGGGGGAACGCATCGAGCTGCAGCAATGAATGCAAAAATTATTGCGGGCCAAGCTCAAGCCAGTAGAGCCGTCACTGCTGCGGCCACTGCAAAGAATAATTATGGAGGAAAATACTTGCTCAAAAATATGTTGTTCGTTGTACCTGATCATCCGTGTTGTTCGTTGTACCGATCTGTGTAGAGTGGGCAATAGTAGCCTATCCTATCCTACTCCGTATTCTTGGTGCCAACATCAAAAACAAGTGATTTCGTCGTTTTCGGTTCTCAATAAAAAAGTACAACTGGGCTCCTGGAAGAGATACCAGTAAATCAAGATGATCAAGATGAAAAGATATGTTCCACAGGAATGAATACTCCTTCTCTTTCTCCCACAACATCACTCTTTTTCTAATCTCCATCCAAGAAGCGTGGCAAAGGAGAATCTTCCGATGAGTATTGTCCTTCTAGCGACGAAGCACCGCAGATGGATTCTTCAGACGATGACGGCCCAAGCAACAACTACCGAGAAAAAAGGGCAAAGGCCAAGGCTGATGCTGAGTCTGCTGCTTGGCAACGCGCAGTGAACAAAATGCGTGAGACAGCAGCACAAGTAGTCCAAATGGTACAGTCGAATTTCGCGAAGAACGCCACAAACGCAGCTGCGCAGAGGGTCAAAAAAGCAATTTCAAAGGGGAGAACGAATTTGGTCGATAACTTTAACGATACTTTGGTACCTGTCGTGGCTCTTTCAGGACCTGCTGGAGGAGTCGGAGCAGGAGGAGCAACAGCATCATCATCGTCTTCATCTTCATCTTCTTCTGCGGCTGTTGTAGACGGTCACATTACAACGAGTGTTGAAGGAAATGGGAGAATCCAGCCAATCTGCTCATCGTGTCCAGACACTGTTCCTCCTGCCTATCTGAAGTTGAAGGACTATCAAAAAGTAGGCGTGCGTTGGCTGAAAACCTTGACGGATGCCGGTTTTGGCGGAATTTTAGCAGATGAAATGGGCCTTGGGAAAACAGCACAGACTTTGACGTTTTTAGAGCTGAAGAAGTTAGAGTTCAACGCCTCGAGGCGGACTACTAGACACAGTACGAAGAATCCTTCCAGCACGATGAAGCCGATGCTGATTGTGGCGCCTGTAAGTCTTTTACGCAATTGGGAACTTGAGATCGCGAAATGGACGTCGTTGCGCGTCTTCCGGTACCACAGTAGCTCGCAGAAGGAAAGATGGGAGCAGGGTGCGAAATACTTGAAAAAACCTAGCGATTACGACATCATACTCACAACGTCGCACGTCTTGAGCAATCGGGACGACCGAAAAATATTCTTCATGCAGATCAGGTATACAACTCTCCTCACATGAAGATGATCACTAGATTTATAGATCAAATCTGGTCTGCTTGCTTCAGCTCTTCAAGCGCTGCACTTTCCTTATTTTTGATTCTCTTACCTCACTGTTACTGTTAACATATTACTGGTTGTTCCTTATAGATCAAATCATGTTGCCCATGATGAGACATTTCACATGAAGATGATCACTAGATTTATAGATCAAATCATCATGTTGTTGCCCATGATGAGACATTTTTTTGCGACACACTCACAGGTTTTCATACTTCGTAACCGACGAAGCACATTTCTTGAAGACGAACACCACCAAGCGAGTACGTGAAATGCACAAGATTCGCGCCGATAACCGTGTCCTATTAACCGGTACTCCGATCCAGAACTCCCTCAACGAATTGTGCAATTTGCTTTGGTTCTGCATGCCCAGTTTGTTTGAAGCACTGACGGACTTAGACTGCAGTTCCAACAAGGACATCAAACTGCAGTGGCTCCAGAATTTGTCGAGTGCTTTTTTGTTACGTCGATTGAAGGGAGATGTCTTGAAAGATTTGCCAAGAAAGCATTGTGTGGTTTTCGGCTGTAAATTGACGGAAAGCCAGAAAAAGCTCTATGATGCAGAGATCGAACGATTTCAAGCCGCAAATAATCCAAACCATGGTGCTGGAGGTATTTCGTCTGCAGCTGCTAGTTCCGGTAGTGACACCTCTACGTCAGTCGCCAACCAGCGTGGTGCTGGAAAGAGGGTCGGATTGAATTCGCTCTTAGGTTTGGGTGCTTCGTCGATTGGTTCTTCTTCAGCTTCTTCGACTAGCTCTAGAGCAGCAAGAACAGCGAATCGCGGCCTGCAAGCGGGTCGTGAACCAAGAGGAAAAGGTGGCTCTTTGGTGGTTCCTGGGACTAAGGGTAAAGGTGGAGGCATGGTGGTATCCACGACTCAGGGTGCGTTCAAGACGATCTATAGTAGACTGCGCAGAATTTGCGGTGCACCATTGTTAGCACAGACGAAGTTCAAGGATCTGGAGTACCGGTTGTTAGCGCAGTATTTGATGCCAAAAAGGGACGACTTTATGAGAGCGGGGCTTGACAGGGTGGAAAAGGAAGTGCGGACATGGTCGGACTTTGAAGTACACACGGCGGCGAGGACGTACTTGCTATAGATACAACATAGATAGCTTTTGATGTCGTTCCCCATTTTTTTGTTTAAGTTCCATCCAAATGTCTATCCAAATTTCTATCAGTAAGAAAAACTGCAAGCTTCGGCTTCATTTCAAATTCAGGTTCGGTCTTCCTCCTCCCTTTCTAGCCAGCGAGGGAGAGATTTGCGCTGGTGGCAAGGTCGAATCCCTACTAGGCATTCTGAACAAAAGACGGGATAAGAAAACCCTAGTCTTCTCCCAGTATACGCAGTACTTGGATGTGCTAGAGGCTGCGCTTATATTGAAGGGGTTCCGCTATGTCAGACTTGACGGCTCGACCGCTACGGACGACCGGCAGCAATTGGTGGATGCTTTTTCGGCTAAGGGTGAGTCAGCGGGGGGTGGGTCTTCTTCTAGTACTAGTACTACAGGAGCCTCTTCGTCCACGTCAACTACATCTTCATCAACATCTTCTACTTCCACTGGTCCGCAGGTTTTTTTGCTTTCTACTAAAGCAGGTGGGGTTGGATTGAACCTTGTTGCAGCTGACATGTGTATTCTCATGGATATGGACTACAACCCGCAGAATAACCGCCAAGCCGAAGATCGCGTGCATCGATTGGGTCAAGTGAAGGATGTGAAGATCATCTACATGCTGGCGACGGGGACGATAGAGGAAAAAGTTTTGGACATCAACTTGCGGAAGATGAAACTTGACGCGGCGTTTGGAGGCACTAACGTGTTGGAAGAAGCAGCGGCTGGAATCACTAGGGAAGCAGGAGGAGCAGAGCCGTTAGTGCAGCTGCAAAGGACATATTCGGCACCACCTGGATCCACTTCAACATTGGTGGAGGGTGTACCCCCTCCTACAACATCTTCTAGGAATACCCACTCTCTAGGAGGTGGTGGAGTCCGTGGTGACATCGAAACTACTAGTTCTATGAATTCGCAATCGTCTCAGCAGGATGATTCTTCTTCCAAAGCCGCGCCATTACTGGAGAAATGCAACGAGGACATCGAAAAGGAGGCATTGAACGAATTGCGTAGTGCGTTTGCAACACGGTCTGACGTTTTGAGTTTTAACGCTCTGGAGCAAGAGGGTAAAGGGGTGGTTTCCTTCGTGCAGAATGTGGATGACTTGGACGATGAGGTTGTGAAAGAAGTAGTGGATCGTGTAGAAGAAAATAGCGAGAACCAGCAAAAAGAGGTGGTCATGAACGAGCTAGCTGAGGTTGTGCCAGAGGGTGAACATCAGAAAGTGGAAGAGCATGAACTCGAACGAGCACTAGATCTAGTCTCGCCAGCTGACGGTGGACGAGATCTATCAAAACCAGAAGAACAGAACGAACAACTTCAGGAGAAAATGAAAACAAGTAATCGTGTGCCGCGAGAACAGATTGAAGGATCGCAGCCTGCTAATGCAGAGGAAATATCATTAAGGCTCAGCTTTCAATGGTCATTGGGGTTGGTCACTGAGATCGAAGAGGCGACCCCTTGAGAGGACAGGGGAAAACGAAGGGAAAGGGGAGAGCTTTGAATGGGGTCCCTTCCGTTCAGAGTCAGTGACCATTGAAGGCTAATACCAGCAGAACCACCTGCAGGAGAGGGACAGGATGATACAACCAGAATACCAAAATTAGAGGAAGACACCCCATGTCCTAAAATCGAAGAAGCTGCCTCTGCTGCCTGTCCCAAATCGGGTGACGTCATTATGCTGGAGGTCGAAGAGGATAGCTCCATTGCTGAAGATGAATCTCCCGAAAAAACGAAAGAAATGCTTGTACCTTCCACCGATGCTGCAGTGGCACCCCCCGTTGTAGAAACCGTAGTTGAGGTCGACGCCAATTGATATTATACTGTACTTATAATATAAGTAGACAACATTGCGTTTATGGATGTCCTAGACATGTAGATCATTCACGACTTCACATTTCAGTTCGAGAATTCAGTTCCTTGATGTACCTGCTAGTGGTAACCATGACTTGTCGTTGTTGTTTTAACATACTGAGGTCGTTTCAGGGGAACAAAATCAAAATGATATCTGAAGTACTTAGTTGATGAGGTTTTTCAAAGACCTCTCAGAAGCTTGCTTCTGGAGAGCAACAAGGCTTTCTGGGACGAGGATCATGTTGGTGGTTTTCGCCGGATGATGTGAGACAGAAACCAAGATATGGGATCCATGATGAGACAGATCTCTATCAAGGACCTGCTATCGATCTTCTGACAATAGATGTTGATGAAAGATCTTCTGCTCAATTGTTGTTCACTCTTCTTGTTCCACAAATAACGATGATAGATCGACTGTCGACATCAAAACATTTTTGCTAGAAATCTGAACGATAAAGGACTGAAGAAGATCACCGATAGTTCTTTATTCTAGCGCTTTTTCTATCAACATCTTCTATGGTGGTGCGGTGGATTCTGAGTAGGCAGTCTCTGAGGTTAGGCATTAGGATTTTTTTCTGCCATAATATCGTAGACGAAGACGTGTTGATGTTGTACTATTCAGTCGCACGGACGAACATCTAAGTATTAAAAACAACTAAGAATAAGTATCTCATCTTTTCCGCTATATTACACGACCATCAATTAGAACAAAAAATGGAGTCTATTCGTAGGATTTCTAGGCGCATGGACGCGCTGATCGATATGATACCCGTCCGCTACTACATGAACAGTGAGGAGAACTGGCGCAGCCTTCCTGGTGTCGACGATTCTACGCCAACGACACAGGTAAAAACACTCTAAAAATATATCTTCACGATCTAAGTAAGGCTATCGAGAAGATATGCTTTCTTCATCGTAAAGAACATCAACATGTTCTAGCAGCGAATATAATAGACAAATGATGAAAGACTCGGCCTTTTCCTTCATCGTTTACTTTCCGACTCGAGCTTGTTTCGAGTATGATGATTGGCCGCGGCGTCCTTTCTGACCTTCTATTCGCTGCTTGATCATGTTGTATGTTAGTTTCAAAAAAAAACATGCTTTGTTCGAGGATGTTTTTTTCCAAAGCTTGCTTCTCTTTTCCATAGATAATCAAATACCAAATATCAGGTGATTCAAAAGCTAGCTCAAGCGAGAGCAAAGACTTCACAGAAGAGCAAGAAGCAAGTGAAGAAGGCTAATAACAAGAATCAGAAGCTGCAGAATGGTAGTGCTTCCAATGCCAGTAAAGCAACCACTTCTCCTGCTACTTCTTCAAGCGACAGCACTAGCACAAATGCACCTGGAGGTCCTCAGGATCTGCGAGCAAAGCTGCAGGCGAAGATTGAAGCCCTGAAAAACGAACGACATGAGAAGCAAAGAGCAGAAGACCTCAAGAGGAAACGAGAAATGCTGGAAGAATCAACTTCTAGTGGTAATAAGAAGAAGAAACAAGTAGACGACAAACAAGATTCTTCATCAAATGGAGGAGAGTCGAAAAAGACGAAGCTTCAAAAGGAACAAAAGTCCTCTGCTACCTCTTCCAAGAAGTCTACTGAAGATGCTGCAGTCGAGGATGTTGATTTCGGTTTGATCCGCACAGAAAAAGCTGAAATCGACAAGGTCTACAACGCTCCCAAGAAGGGCTCCAAATGGAAGCGCGTCGAAAAAGAGATGCGCGACCAAGAACGACACGAGAAGAAACTAAGCAAACTCGGAGAAAAAGAGCGTCAATCCCAACTGGAGACTGAGAAGATGGACAAGGCCTTGCGCCGTGCAGCGGGAGAGAGGGTTAGAGACGACTTGTCAAAGCTGAAAAACACGAAGAAGGCGATGGAAAAGAAGAAGCAACAGGGGAGACGAGGATTCGAAGGGGAAAAAAGGAAAAAAGTGTGGAACAAGGATGAAGATATATAATTTAGGATCTTCATCTGGGTCCTCTGGGATCTCCTATCTATTTTCATCCAGATGTTGACGTGAAGAAGCTGAAAATCATGCATCACTTGTTTCATATTCTTTCTCCTGCTTATGACTATAAAGCTAACTTCATTTCCACTTCTGAAGACGCGCCCGGGAAAAATGATGCACCAAAAAATGATATGCAATGAGATCGATGGCTGTAATGATGTATTTGGATTTAAAAGTTGTGTATTGCATGCAGTGCGCGACACTGCTGTTTACCCATCTTCGACGGTTCAAAACCACGGCATGAGTAAATGTTGTGCTTGATTGTCACCTTTCGAGGCCTTCTCAGTGATGTGTTCGGACAAGAGATCTCACTTTGTGTGCTAATCAAGAACTGAGGTGTGGCAAAAAATTGAGAGGTGTGAATTGATATGGTCATGATCAAAGAGGGACTCACTCTGATCAAATGACTTTAAGTCCATCCTAGTATGATCGAATTCCGACTTCGAGGTCCGAGCGCGAGCCTCTGTTGTGAGAGTTGAGATTCTGTAGTTCCACAGAGTTCATTGCGGTTTCATGTTGTAGCCTTCTGTAGTTGAGAGTGCATCATCATGTACTTATAATGAAGCTTGACGAGGCATAATTGATGTGTTCGGTGTTCAGTGAGCGAACATAGTGACCTCTGAGAGACGGTAGTCATAAGTTCGTCTGTTATGAGTGTTGATTCATACTGTCCATGAAAATGATGGTGTGCACATACTCATACATTCTCCCTGCATCTGCGTGGTAGTCACCCTTTTCTTCATCATGATCATCATTTTCTTTCTCATCAACATTCAGGCCGCCCAGGCACTCGAAGGGTATCCCTCTGCGCTGCTTTCATGCAGTTAACACTGACTCTTGTGTGTAGATAGTGTTACACGACAGAGGAAAAGGTTTTAGTTTATTTTGCATGCTTGTTGTTGAAATGCTGATGAAGATCATGTTCGAAGTAGATGTAGGTCTTGATCCAGTTCTTATACATACATGTCACAGTAGGTACCATAGAAGTTGTATCCCTTAAAAGATTCGTTGATAGTTGTACTAGTTTTTAATGCACCCTTCTGCAGCCATGAGAGGAAACGACGAGGCTGATCCTCGGGATGTCGTCGTCGACTTGGACTTTGATTCAGCTGCGGGGGAGACAGCTGGGGAAGCACAGAGAGAAACTGCCTTAGCGATTGTAGTTCCAGAGGGAGAAGCGGCTGGGAATAATAACCATGACGCAGCTCCTGAGGGTGAAGACGAGCAAAATCGTGTGATGTCTCCAGCTGAGGCGGCTGCTATGAAATGGAGAAGAGAGCACGACGAGAAAGCCCACCCATGCGCGATTGAGGCTAAGAAGCAAGGACACCCAGTCCAAAGGTTGGCGGGCAAAGGAGAGTCGCAATGGAAGATCAATCAAGAAGCAATGATGGCAAAACAGGTGGAGGGAGAGGCAAATCGTACATTCCTGATACTTTTTGGCATCTGTCTCAACTTTTACTTTTTCATGATGTGTTAGGTCATTTTGGAGCAGAAGGTTGTATTTTGGAAATTCGGGCAAACACAAACTCATTCTAATTCTTTGATTTCATGCATCGAAAAGAACAGTGAACAGTTCGTTTTTTTCTCCAGTGGCATAGGTAAAACCTTTTTTCACAACTAAAACACAACAGCCACCTTTTTCAAGAGAATAGTGAAGGGCTTCACGGCCATTCACCACTTCGCTGCTAGCACGCACACCACCCACTTGCGTGACCCAGAGCATCACGCACATATTCAAAACGCTAAGCAGAAACAAAAGGCCAAGCGCCGGTCTCAGAATGGTGGAGATGGCAGCCAAGAGGGTGATGATCGGGCTTCTTCCACTAGAAGTGATGCAGAGAACGCCACAGACTCGTCTTCCAGCGTCACTTGTAGCACAAGTAGCGTCTCCAGTTCTAACACCGAGAAGTCGACACAAGGTAGCTCTGACGTTCCCACGGATAGTGAAGAGGGAGATGAAGATGCGTATGCGGAGTTGAAGCCATCGAATAACCCTTACTTCGCGGTAGGGTTTCCGATAGCACAGATTATCATATTTCATCTGTCGAACAGTGCAGTGGGGATCGACGTGTCTCCAGGAAGCGCAGAGAATTGTGGGGAAAACAAAGACTTCTGTCCGCCTTTGCTGGATCAATTCGTACTTCAAGATGCATATTTTTTTGGGAATCATGATGAATCATCCACGATGGAATGAATCTCTTCCTGTTATCTGCATTTTCATCTGTGTCAGACCTGGTATCTACCCTCAGAATTATCCAGAAGATTCTTCTACGTGAACTCTCTTTCCCTAAGCCCTAAGCCTAACTTAGAACGTCTGGGTTCTGCAACTGCGTTTGGGTTGTTCCTTGTTTCCCAATATGTCTTCCTTTTGCCTCTCACAACCACTACTTTCATCCAGGCACAAGAGTGGTGGGCCGACAAGAGTTGCAGCAATGACGGATGTGCGAAGGTGATCGACCAAAGAGGACAGGTCTGGCGGTGGTTTAGCTATTGTCTTGTTCACGTCGATTTTGATCACGTTTACTTCAACTGCTTCTTCGAACTCTTACTCGGACCATCGCTAGAGATGGTTCACGGCCACGTACGGTTTATTCCGCTATGCCTTCTATGCGTTCTTGGTGGTGCGTTGGCGTGTGGTGCGAGTGATGCGACAGGTCGGGTGGTTGGGTCGTCGGCATATGTGTGGGGACTAGTGCCGATGCACGTACTAATTGCTTTCTTACCAAAAATTTTTGGAAACGAAGCAATGTTTATTTACAACTCAGCTTTCCTACCGTACTACTAGTTCTCTTTCTTCGTCTTCAAACCCTACATCATTCTTCACATTCACATTATCATCTCCACCACAGATGTCATCCGTCATCCTGAATTGGCCTGAACTCGGCCATACCCACGTAGCGGGCATGCCCGAAAACTGGTTTCGCATGTGTTTGATCTCCCTTCTTGGCCTTACCATGGCCTGGTCCATGGCTGACGACATAGCTGCGGGAACCGGTGTCTCGCACGCAGCACATGCTGGCGGATTTGCGTTTGGGTTGTTCTTCAGTCTCAATTTCGTTAAGAACGCGGTACCCGAACATTGGGAGACGCAGTTGCAGAAAGCGACTCTAGTGGGAGCGGTGGTTTACACGATCGTGTGCATTATCCTGATCGCGATGCAGAACGAGGAAGACATATTGGGAAACAAGGAACACTGCGCCTGTTGCGCGAAGTGTGTTGCCACAACAGCCGCAACCACGCTGGCTCCAGGTGTAACGCCGGCTGTAACGCCTTAAGCGTGCCATTTATATTTATCGAGGTACCTACATCACCACAACTCGGTTGAACCATAAAAGAACGAACAAAGTGAAGATGCATAGAGAAGAATGTATATGGGGTTTCCTTTGGTAGCATAAACATTGAACATAGTCATACACGAAATCACCGTTGAACATAGTATACCAAGACATGCCATAGTGTAAAAGGAATGGCTCTACTTGTCTAAAAATCGTACAACCTTATTTTTCCAAAACATCATGTTGAACAGGAAAAACAGATAGGTGGTCGTCCCATGCTTGAGAATACCCCAATAAAGAAGAGTAATTTATTTTGATTAACCTCGTCGTAACTGGAAAAAAGCCTAACTCGTCCCTTCTATTGTGTGATATTTCTATGGCAGTATTCAGAAAAAACGACAAGAAAGATCTGAACTTTTTTTCGGAATTTTTTTTCGGATCTATAACGAACAGGAATGAACTTCGATGAGTTCCAAATGAATGCGGGGGATGAATGGAAATCTGAAAGAATGAACAAGAGCTCTCTACTACAACCCGCCTCTGCGGATCTGTTTTGAAGAATCGTAGATGAATCTTCATGTGTTCCGATGATCTCAAATGTTGAACGCCTGAACGACCTCAGCATGGTGGAGAAGAAGAATCACGACTCATTATTTCCGAGAGCATATTGGAGGCCTAGAATGCATATTTTAACCTGTTCCCGGGGAAGTACAACTAGGATCTACATATAATCATGGACTCAGAGAGCTGCAATGAAGACTGTTGACGAGGTACTACACGCCCTTTCGATCATCCAAAGCAACAGTTTATCATCTCAACGTCTTGATCTTCAGGCTGACGTAGAGTCTCGATTTCTTCAGTCATACAGAATAAATCTACTATCTCAAACACAAAGTTGTATCAAACACAAAGTTGTATGATTGTCAAACAAACGGTATCGATAATCAAACACAAAGTTGTATCAAAGAAGAAAGATGGCGCCCGCCCAACAGCAGAAGCCTGATCCAGAAATGGAGGGGCTCGTGAACGAATTTCGAGACCTGCAGAAGAGCTTACAAACCAACTACGACAGCCGAGCGAAGCTATTAACGCAACAAGAGGAAAACTTTATGAAACATCACAGGAATTTATTCAATTTAGAAGATGACACCGGGAACTTTTTGTACGATTATGATCATGGATAGGAGTTTGAGTTTGCCTTTGTTGTTCAGATCAGAAGATATCTTTTTTCTGCGAGGGTTGTGATTGCTTGTCTTACACTTACTCTTATCAAGATCTCTATGTCTCACCCTTCGCTTTCCCCTCTTTCATACCCCTGACGGTGTCAAAGGAGTTTACGATTCTCGAAAGCGATGGCGTGGTTTACAAGCTGATTGGCCCAGTCTTGGTGCGACAAAACCTCGAAGACGCCAAGGCCAACGTCGAGAAGCGTCTGGGCTATATCAAGGAGGAGCTAGTTCGCGCTGACAAGGTGATAGTAGACCTCGAGAAAAATTTGGAGGAAAAGAAGGCAGTGCTCACTGAGAAAGCGGCGAAGCGACAGGGACAAGCTGGAGGCGCGAAAGAGTAAAAAAGCTTGTCGGGATGTTGTTGTTGACAGGTACTAGGAGAAGAATGTGAATGGACGTGCCTATGTCTTCTCCGTTATTGACGAGCAACTACTAACAACTTCGTGAAATGAACGTTTCCACAACCTTTCTATTAAGGCTAGAAGAAATCCATCCTCACAGGCATCTTGGTCCCGTTTCTCAAGGGAAAAAAGACGGAAGATGCCGCTGAAGATGGATTTCTTCCAGCTCTAATTCTAGTACGTAGTGGTTGCCTAGTGCTCGAAAAAATACCTCTGAGACGATAGGAACCTTTCTTGTCAAGAAGGAGCAACCGTGCTGCGGCTCAGACCACATCATCATGAATGGGAAATGAGATGGCCCACATACAACGTTCTTGAACTCTGTCCTTACCTCCCCTCCAACTGTTGTAAATACCCCCCACAACAACTAGAAGTATATCCCACTCATTGTGCTGGAAAAATAGAGTCTTGTGACTTCTCACGCGAGCCGTGAAACAGATTGTCCTGATGGAGTCAGGTGTTAATAGATGTGAAGTAGAGGACTTGGTGGTTGTGTGACGTAAAAACTTTTGAGCAGGCTTTAGAAAGCGTTTAGGTGCATGCGGAGAACGAGTGACTCGGGACTTTCCATGGGACATGGAGCATTCCTCGAGTTGAGAAAACATTTTCCCTGCGGAGCATCTGAGAGTGAGTGGCAATAGAAACTGCTAGACTAACGCATAAACGGACCACCAAAAAAGTACTCAAGTAAAAGTTGTTCCATCACTCGAAAATGAAACTGACAAAGCACGAAGTTCCATCACTCATGAAATGGAAACCCAACAAGTACCGAAAAGCACTGATGCAATCCCCACGAACGCACACGAACACTAGAATTTTGAAGAGGTAGAACAATGGTATTGATAGATAATTATATCGTAACCAGGACTAGTACATTAAAAACACTAATTTGGTACTAGTACTCTTCAAGTGGCCTAACCCGAAAGCAAAACACGCATAAGAATGACGTCATCAACAGCGGAAGTGAGTTACTTTTGTCTAGGCTGGATCACTCTCACTACGGAGAACAAGACGTCAACGAATATAAGAAGAAGAAGTGCCGACCTGCTGTCCGCGCATACAACGAATCGCGCTCGTGGACTCACTTAGAAGGAGACAGGATTAGAAGGGTTTATTAGAACTCTGAAGAAAATATTTAGATTTATTAGGTTTGTTTGTTTCATTTTCCTGTACTAGTAGTCGATTTCGCTGCGCCTGCTTCCCTATTTTCCCCGGTGTTAACGAGGCCCGTTGCACTAGGGAACCCGAAAGACTTTTTCCATGGATTTAGCTTTTCGAGTACTGGATTTTCCACGAACTATAGTCCAACTGCAGGGTGTGGAGTGGTTGTTGGGTTGAGAGAACAAAGACGAGTTGATACAACCAGTCGGGTGCGGGTATAACTATCGAGGGAACACTTGGACCGGAAGCAAGGGGCAAGGGACATTGTGGAGTGTTTTTTGTATTTGTGTTTCAAACGCGTTTCTTTGATTACAAAACGAGAGTTTCACATTTTAGACGAGAATGAAATAGGCACGAAATCGGGTCTGAAATATTTCCTATCTTTCGTAGATGACGACAGAGTTTAGACCTACCAGACACTATTTTTCATTTTCACCATTGATTACTGCTTCCTTTGTTGCAGCCCCTACGTACGCACCCCCATCAACCTTTTTAATTGATCTAAGTAGTGTGTTTTTCTGATCCTGTTCCTGTCCCTCACTCTGGTGTTCCATCCTTTTATTCCCAGTGTGAGTGATGTTGTTTTTGTAGCTGAACGAATGTAGGATTCATCAAATCTTCTTGGGAGTAGATTAAGGTTAACATGGTCCACGTATAATTCAAAGTAGCAGTTCTAAGAAAATTAAAATGATTTCTTCTTTGTTGATACACTTAGGTAGGGGTCCTCGTTAAAATGTGTTGTAAACGTCGATTCCTATATTGGAATCCGCAACACCTTATAGCACCTCTTTGATCAGTACCCTAGACTCAGTTGCAGATAGAAGTAGTGGAGAAAAAGTCCGCTCGTTGTAGTTCGAGTTTATAAATTATCAAAATCCTTTTTAGATCAATTATCAAAAAAATCAACAAGAACTACGTCTTCGACTTCGACTTGCAGTTGTTTCTGGTTGTGAAGGTCAAAGTGTGGGTATCAGTGAGCATTAGATGCCGTCTATCCGAGGATTCAAATTCTAGTTCTAGTACTTGTTCTACATCTACGTCTTCGGCCACGCGCGGCAATCGAGAGACACCGGTATCAACGCCGTATCAGCGACGAGTCCCACGAACACTTCAAGTACATCGACAGACTCCCCTGAACATCAATCAAAATGTCGCTGATACAGCGGTTTACGGCGGCGGCCATGAGTAAGGAGACGGGCGTCTACACCACCCATTTCTGGGGACCCGTCGCGAACTGGGGTCTCTCGCTAGCAGCAGTCTACGATATGCAGTTTAAAAGTACACGATCCTACAGGCTAAAAGAAGATGTACACGGTCCTTCAGAGACGGTGATCGGTCTAGTATAGCCTAGAAACTAGGACTTAGCGTAGCGCTACCAGCTCTAGGACGTAGTTTTGTTTTTGGCTATTCAGCAGCCATTCATGTCTGCCAGTTTTCCTGGTAGGCCCACACCTAACCTAACCTTATGGACAATTGTGCTGTTATTTTTTTATGAAAATATATTCCTCGATGAGTTGTATTTCTTTTTCCAAAAACTGCTAGGTCCCGAAGTCGTCTCTTACAACATGACGGGTACGCTTTGCGTCTACAGTCTCCTCTTCATGCGGTTCGCGTGGATGGTGCAGCCGAGGTATAATCGTATAGTTTTGATGTCTTTGCTTGATCTTGAGCTCGTTTTCAAGGTTCAATAGCAGTCATGAAGTAAAGCTTGATGCTGATCCAAGAGAACATCCCACATTCTGTTTTCCCGTCTCAGTTCTGGTTTGCGCACCAAAAAATTAGAACGACTTACCTCCTTGTGTCCCTCGCCCTCCTTACCAGAAACTACATCCTCCTTGCGTGCCACGCGTTCAACGAGGTGGCCCAGTGTACGCAGTTCATAAGAAAGTGGAATTATGATAACGCGAAAGCCGCACAGATGGGCCCAGCAGCCCTCGGTATGGCCGCTGCGGGTGGGTCAACGCCACCAGGATGGCCAGGAATTGTCCCGAAAGTGCAGGCGCATGTACTCTAGATGCACTCTTTTAAAAATTATCCCTTCTTCTGAAGAGAGAGAGTTTCTTGAATTCTAAGGCCAATGAAATTATCCCTTCTTCACCAGGAGATGCTTAAGTATGATCTTGTTTCCTTCTTGACCTTCATCTCCACTCGTCCACTACAACAGGTTCTAAAAGCCCCCATGCCTGACTTACTGCGTACCTTTTTAGCTCATCCGGCTGGGCCATTTACAGTGCATTTTTGGGCGCCGACATTTAAGTGGAACTTGTCTATCGCAAATCTAGCCGACTACAAGAGGCCAACGGAAATGGTCTCTACTGCGCAGCAGTTAGCTTTGGCGTCTACGGGGTTGATTTGGACAAGGTACCACGGATTATACTCACAATTTTGATCATCACTCTTTTATAATTAATCAAAAATCCGGTGAACTACAACCTGGCAGCTTTTTTGTACACATGATTCGTCGAAAATTTTCCCCCTTTATGAACGAATATTATTGCCCAAGAACTGATCCTCCCGGGGATGTACATGTATGTACGTTTTTTGGCTAAAAAACCCCTTACTCCATATGGTTCGCTTTTGGCATAGTCTAATCAAAAATAAAGGTGGAGCTTCGTGATCAATCCGGTGAACTACAACCTGGCAGCCGTTAACATAGCGCTCGCTGGCAGTTCGGTTTACCATTTGATGCGGAAATCAGTCTACGACCCGTTTCCCAGTGAAAAGAAGTAAAACATGTCATCTTGTTGTTCTATGGGAAGAGGAGTAGTCATCTCTTCTAACTATGGGTGGAAGAGAAGTAGAACAAGACGCTTGTTCCCATTATGTTGTTGTGAGAAGGCAAGGGACCAGCATGGGGTGAAGGTCTCATAATATGTGTCAAACATAATTAAAATGTCGTACATACCCCACGATTGGGTACACTACTACTACTACTACTGGAGATATTCGGATGACACGGAAGCGCTTTCATAACTTGCTGAAGTTATACAGAAACATTGGTCTTCTTCGATTCAGGAAGATCATTTGGATCTATAGCTACGGACGGTGTGCTAGTGATACCTTCGCATAGAGACTACATCATACAAAAACATGAATGAATCTTCTATGAAGATGATTCTCGAGAGCGGTACTTCATAATTCATTTCTTTCGCACTCTACCAAGGAATAATGCACTTTAGTGGAAATGGATTCTAAAAACGCCCATGAAGTAGAGAGCCTTCACACACCAGACTCTGCTGCTTAAAGAATAAATGTACACAAAGATTTTTTCGGCACGACGGCATAGTTTTTAGACAGATGCTGGAACAGAAGATCGATACTCATATTGATTTCTTGAAACTACAAGTGTTAAGAATGTATAGCGACCCTACATGCCTTGGAGTCGTTTTATTCTTCTTGAGTCTTCCCATAAAATGATACTGCGTTCTCATATGTGATGACCAAGGATCTTCCTCCACCACAGGGATCTGTCATCCTTTGCAGTTTTGTGGATGTCCCATGCAGTGCTAGACTGTGGACAGGGATCATCATTTTTTCATAGAGGCAGGCTCATATTTGAGGTTTATAAATATCTGCTGGTACTAGCTTCAACAAATTTTTTCTGTCTGTGTAATTTTCTTGGTTGGCAAACTGTTACAGCTGCATTCTTTCTGTACTATATTCTTCATTGTGGAAAGGATTCTACTAGATGATAGCCAACGGCAGGGACGCACGCTAATGAGGAGAGGCGCCTCTCCGAAACACTACAGAAGAAATCTTTTCTCTAAGTAGGAACCCTGAAAATCAAAATCATTTGTTGATAGTTGTAATGTGGTAAGAGTTATTAGTCTGGAAAATATATTTCTAAGAGCGAGGCGGCATATCCTAGGATGCTTTCGAGATAGGCGTGAATTATCTTTGTGAACAGACACAGAGACTCGAACTCGATCTAGAAGGCAAAGACAACGCAGATGGCCCCAAAAATCAAGGTGAAAGCGGATCGCGTCTTCGGCCTACTACATAGAGATAGATCAATGATCTCTACGCGTTTACAAGCCAAGACCACTTTAGAAACACCCATCAAGTAAAAGCAAGCAGGCTAGCTAATGCTAAAATTAGTACCAATACCAATAGATTAACCATCCAACCATCTAGCTACCTCCGACTTCATCTTCGATCAAAATTACCAGAATATACCATCAATCTAGCTCCTACTTCATCAATCAAATTATAAGAGACATAGCCATCTCATTTGGAATGAACCTAAAGTTGGTTCTGATTAGTTTCTTCTTGACCGTATATGAGGGCATTGCACAGAGAACTGGCAGCTGGCGGCACACACTCCGAAAGCTCGTGGTTAAATCTGATGTCTTTGCTCGAGTAGTTCAAGTTGAAATTAACTAGACGAAGAGAAACAACATGATATCAAAGTATATTTATTATAATCAACGTGGTGAAATAGAGATGTGAAAAAGCTAAGATTACTAGCTGGAGCTACAACGGGTTCAACGCAACAACTATCGCTCAACAAGGTTCAATTTTTACTACTCAACAACTCAACTGCATCAGACTTCAACCTATAGAAGACACGAGCAGCAACAGACGAGCCAACCACAATAGGAGTGCCACAGTGGTCGGCCCTTGAATTAGCTTGCATAGATCATTTCTCCCATTCTCTCATCGCATTCGCATTGTAATTGTATCGGGACCAACATCAACATAGGAAAATATTCTCGTAGTTATAACTGTAGTGATGTTGTACTTCTACCTGTAGACTGTATGATGTAGACATACAAGCTCAATAAAAAGACATCCTCAGCCGAAAAAGTGGATTGTGTTCGCTCAAACACTTTTTTAGCGCGTTGCTCACCAGGCATTGGGGCAAGGACTCAATATTAAGAAACAAAATGTCCATGTCGTCAGGGAAATCTTAGGCAGATAATTGACGAGTAGGTTCACAGCATCAAGAAACAAAATGGAGCCAGTCTGGAAATCCGACCAGCACCTCGATCCGGAAACGATCTCGATCCACCACCCTAGAAAAAATGTACTTATCCATGACAAGAAGTTTCCATTGGCAAGTGTTGCTATGCTTCATACCATTATCACATTGACTTCCTAGCGCAGTCCGTTTTTGTTCCCTTTTTGAATGAACTGGGCACTTGTTTTCCTCGATAGTATCCTTTTGATGAAATAGCGTGCGCGTAACAACAAAGAGTTGTTGACGAAGATGTCGTCTTTAACGAAGCAACATGGTACTAGAGGGGACGCCATGTTGTCCTCTTCACGTCCTGATCGTCAAGTAGATCACACAAACATGGTTGATCATCAAAATCAAATACATGGTAATTATCATAACAAAGAAGTGGATGTCGTTGTCGACCACCTTGATGAGAACAGCGCTTCATTTGTGAGGACCGAACGCCTTCTCGGTCTGGAGAAGGATCGCGTAGAGCAGATGTTTCTACGCGATCTGAGCACTTCGCGTGCTCCGATTCACCGCACACTGGTCGACCTGATCCAGGATTCGAGGCACCGATTGAAGGTCTTCGCTCATAGAGTGATCTTTCCGCCCGAGGAGCAGCTGCCTCCTGCACATTACGTGATGATGGTTCGTGGAAACGCCGACTTCGAATTGAAGAAGTTGGGGGAGAAATACGGCTTTCCGAGAGGGTTTCCGTTGGTTTACAGACCAGGAGGAGGTAGTGTTGGACTTGGATGGGAGGGAGAAGATTTGCCAGATCTCATTTCAGAAGAAGAAGTGTCAACTCCAGCTAGTGGTCTTAAGGTTTTGGCCTAATGATCCATCTTCTTCTGAAGCATGCATCCTGAGTAGGTATGAAACGAAAATCTGTTATCATTATCAAGTTTCTGAAGAAGAAAAGCATGATAATGATAACAGATAATTTTCATTTCATAGAAGGCTTTTCAAGGGGAAAAGGGGAGCGGGATGCTTCTCAGGATGCATCATTAGGGTGAGCTCTAAGAGTCGCAAGAAAGAAAAGAAGCAAGCAAAGACGAACAAGATTAGTAGCAAAAACCAACAAGCTTCAAGTTCAAAGAAAGCATCGTCACCTGGCTCTGGTGGCGCAAATGCAGAAGACCTTGCAGAGATTGTTTCCTACGGTTTTTACCCCAAATTTGACAACGACACCGCTTTACCGAAAGTCAGATTGGAGGACTATGCAAATGCTGAGAGAGTAACGTTTTTTCGCAAGTGGAGTGGTTTTTTGAGCATGATTGTGGCTTTTCAAGTGGGCAAGAGGTCTTTCTGGACTGCAACATCGAAAAACAGTTGCGCGTGGGATAGCGATTTCGTACAAGATGCAGCGCGATTGTGGACTAAAGTGGTCACGCCAGCATTGGTGGCACGGATGGCAAAGGATAAGCTATGCCTATGCGCAGAGACGATGAGCTTCAACGATCAAGCACATGGAGCGAGGGTGTTGCTGGAGTCGGTCATTGTGACATCTTTGGGCATAGGGACGGGTTCTTCGAGTGCCGAAACCTCTGGTAGTGGTGGTCCAACTACCCTCTACTATGGTCCTGGTCCAACTCTGCATGGTAATGCCTCTGTTGCGACGTTGCCACCACCCACAGCACTGACGATGGTAGAAGAAGGCATGAATCCTGAGAATGACGTGAACAATGCTCGTGTAGTTGCAAACGGGAATGGAAAAATGACAGAACATCTTCATCTTGGTCAAGAAACAGAAGCTCTGTCATCAGCTTCTGCTTCGAGTAGTTCTCCTTCTGCTTTAGTGGGTACTGCTGAACAAGGTAGTCCCGATAGCATCCCAGCAGGTACTGAAGATAGCTCCCAATTTGTCCGCTACGCTGACTTGACTGAGCTGTCTACGTTCTGTCAGGAATACGCGTTGCCACACGATCCGCCTGTGGTTTTGAATGGGAAGGAGGCAATCCAGCAATTCCTCAACGCAGTCAACAACGCCCGTGACTATTTAACGGAGGAGAAATTGGGTCAAATCTTGAAGGCGTTTTCATTGCCATTTAAGAGTCTGCACACTCAGATTCTTGGGGACGTCCTGGAAGGACTGGTGTTACACTGCTTTTCGCCGGCTGCATCGTCTTCGGGTAATAGTTCTTCTAGTAGTGCTAGTGCTACTCAAACGGGAGCTCAATCTACTGCAATGTTGAAGAAGCAGACGATCAAGTACAAGTTTCCGAACTACACGTGTCGAACATTTGGTTTGCGTACTATTTTGGGGGAAAAAATAGCTTTAGACTCGCCAAAGGCGCTGGCTGAATATCGCAGTTACACTCAACGTTGGTGCTATTCAGAGGCTGGCAGATCCTTCTGGCTGTCTTTTTTATGCGCCTGTGGTATGAACCTACATGCTAGGCAATTTGCTACGAAAACTTCTTCTGGAGGTTTGAATACTGGTCATCAAGATGGTAGGCAAGACGAGCAAAACCCAATGTCTTCCAGTGCATCTTTTTCTTCTCCATCCGACGATCTCCGTGTAGGCCTACATATCCGCCTAGCTGACGACACGCGCGATGCTTTGTTGGCTTCTGGGGCTATGCGGTATGAAGAAGGTGGCATCGATCTGACGAAATTTCCCGAAGGCAAATTTGATGTTGAAAGACTGAAGAGTTCAAAACTCTTTCCGGGGACTGCTGCTGTGCCTTCCAACGACGTATCCTCTTCCTCAGCATCAGCACTCCTAGGAGCAGCTAAATCCTCTGCAGTAGCAGACGCCTTTGCTCAGCAAGCTAGTTATGATGGAACTATGATCTGCGTTCTGGCGCCTATAGGGTATGGAAAATCAGGTTTTGCGGAGTTTTTGGTTGCGGAATTGAACAAAAGAGAAGGAATGGAGGACGATCGCTACGTCCATATCGATGGGGATACATTGTTCTATGGAGACGGGTCTGGGAACACCCCTGCTGCTCAACACGAAGAAACTAGCACCCCAGAGGTAGACGTTTGCAGCAACTGGAGGTCCCGTACGCTATCCTTGGGTGCAGAGCGTGGCTGCTATACCATGTGGTGCATTTTATTGGCTTTGCATATGGGTAAGATTCCGGTAATATCGACAGGGGGAGGCGTCCTTTTTGGCAGAAAAGGTCACTTCGCATTAGCTGAGCAGATTCGTTTGTGCTTTCCAGAATGTCGCAAACGGGTAAAATTGATTGCCTGTGTGCCTGGTAACCGGCTTCAGAATCAGAAGAACCTCCAAGATGGAACCGAAGACATCAACTACGAAATCGATCTCAATTGTTACAACGATTTGCAAACCGTGCAAAACACCGTCGCTTACCGAGTGCAGAAGGGGTTGTGGAGCGTTGCAGGGAGTCAAAAGCTAGACCAATTCCAGAGAATGATTGCGGGCAAATCTCAACAGAACGAACAGTTCGCGCAACAAATCAGCGACTTAGCGGATGCAAGCTTCGCTTTCCCTAGAATGAGACCAGGATCTACCTATAAGACGACGCCAAATTCCACATCAAGACCAAAAAAGCACATCTCTAGGGCCGAGATGTCCGAACAGTTTGGGGTTGATGACAGTATAGTCGTCTCGGATCACGAAGAAGTGACGTTGTCCGATCGAGAGGAAATACAGCCAGACACGAGCGCAACTACTGTCGATGTAACCTCTCTAGTGACGCAAATCCAACAAGCAATAGCGCCAATGCAGAGATCCGCGTTCTCCGAGATGCGCTTGTTGCAGACCAGAGTGCTGGCAGAGGTACCCGATGCCAAGTGCGGACATATAACGATGCATTACGGGTATTCGATGGTGAAACATCATAAAGCTGCAACTGGTGGCTCTCCTGTGTCTCTCCTGAAAGAGGACAGTAATATGGTCACGAGGATGAGGTATTCTGGACAGACCTTTGCGGTTAGCCTGGCTTACGCCAGAGCAAAGCCTACATACGTCTACGCCCTACGTGTCACTGCGAAGCCGAACAACGGTGTGAATAAGGTGGACTCAGTTTGCTGTGTCGTCATACCAGCAAGTACAGCGCAGTGGAAAATCGTGAAAAAGGTCTACAATGGCCTTGAGAAGATCATGGACGCGGTAACGGATGAAAAGTTGGAGGATGTTGCGAATAGCTGGAAGAAAGTGCTCAACAGCACGTCAACAACTAGGGCATTATCTCCCGCGGGTTTACCATCATCAAGTTCCGCAGTACAACCAGTAACGAGTTCATCATCTTCCTCCAGGCGACCGTTGAACTACTCTCCAACCACCGCAGATCTAGGATTGAGAGATTACCTTCGCACCTATTCCACCAGGAGTGTTCTGGACAGGTTGTCAGGTGTCGCCACGAAGTGTTGCTCATCGGCCGATGGGAATACACAACTTTCACGCGCAGGTCTTGGAGTTCCAGGAGGTCCAAGTTCAGCACCTTCGCGCCTCTTACTAGACACAACAGCGAGCACACAACGAACAGCCAGTATACGGACAGAGTGGGACGACGGCGAACAAGAGTCGGAGGAGCTTCCAAGACTTTCAGCGTTTCTAGTTTCCCAACATGAACAATCTCAACAAGAACCTCAGCAAGAACCTCCAGAACATCAATCACTAAACATCAAAAACGAGACTGGTGAAGAAGCCATGCTTTTGCGTAAGATGCTGGCCATGGATTTGTTTCGTCATAGTCCTAGCACTGGCGACGAACGTAGGAACGAAGGAGAGGAATCCTCTCCTTGTCTTACCACAGCCTACGATACGAAAGGTGCTTCCGCCTGCTCTGATGGCACTCTTTCCTTGCATGTGACCGTGAACCCTGGGAGACATGCAGCGAAGGAAATGCGCACACTTGCTGGTGCCTTTCTGAGGGGAGAACCCTATGTTCGATTGCCCTTGCAAAATGGAAAGGAGTTTTTAGACATGAATCTGGCGAATTCACGAAGGGAGCTAGTCAAAGTGAGACTGTGTGGCTTGTTTGGACTGCCTAGTTACATCTGAAACCCTTTCTAGAAGATGAGTCGCGCCTTTTAACCCATTAGTTTCAATCAGGGAATTATACACTCGTCTCCATGGTGTTTCACTAAGACTCTATCTTTTTTTGTCGCGCGCCGCGCTACCAACCTAGTGCTTGTCGTGCTTGATGAACGCCTGAAGCGATTGGGTGTCGTTTTTTTTTACCCAAAGAGATCTACCTGGCGCAGAGCAAGACGTATTATACTAGGTATTGCGGATTACAGCAAGCCTCAACATGTCAAAGTGACTCAAGAGGTGGAGTCAACAAGCGCTCCGTTTTTTGAGATTTTTTTGAGATCCACGTCCATATTCAAGCGCTCCGAAAAAGGTATTTTTGTCTGTTGTAGATGTGCTTCGCATCTGTTGTAGAGTGACCGAAATAGAGTCCGAGTTGATTCTCTACGCAGGAAACAATCAAAAGCTCTGTCTGATTATTTGTCTCAATGTTCTGTTCTGTTTCCTTTTGTCGAGGAAAGCGTGACGTAATGTCCACTGGCGTTCTGACCGAGTTTTGCAAATCTGGTATCTGTTGAGAGAGCAGTCTTCTATCTCGTAGCGTTTGGCGCTATCTCGAAATCTCATTTTTTGATAGCCAATCAAAAATACTGTTGCAGAGAGTCACTGAATGATCAGTCTGTTGGTAAAGCAGCCATTGTCGTGAGGATGTGACATGTTTTCAGAATGCTACTCTTGTCTTTGTACTTTCTCCACGGTTCATAATGCTAATTATGTACTTAGAAATATCCTAGGCCTCTCGTCCCTACCCCTTCCTAGCTTCATAACCTACTAGTTTTTGCGCACCATTATCGGCCCTCACCCATCTACACACCTTATACTTGATTCTGTGACATATGATTCCTATCCAACTCACTTGTTTAATAAAAAGAGTTCGTTCTTTCAGTCACTTAATCTGCCATCATACTTCGCTTGTTCCTCTCATTCATCAGACTAATCCAAGTGCGTTATCTCACAAAAAATGAATCGTGGTTCTGCTCCTGGTAGTGCTCGGGGTAAAGCCAAGGCGGCTAGCCCCAAAAAGAAGGTTACAACCACAGGAGGTGGTGCTTCACCTACCAAACGCGGAGCTAGTACTGGTGGAGGTCAACAAACAAGCTCTCTAGACCAAAACACGACTGCATTGACTGGCTCTATAAACGTGGATCTTCAAGAGCAAAGCCATCTTCAAGCTGAACAAGGTGATCTACTAGATCTGTCTATCGCCTCAGTTAGTGAAGAGCAACGAGCAGAAGCCGTGAGGAGTTTCACAGAGGCACTCATCCGCAAATATGGATCTGCAAACGAAATTTTCACAAGAAGATTCATCGAGAAAGTGTGGGAAGACATAACGCCGGGAGCAGCAGAAATTTCAGTCAAAGGAAGATTGTTGCCTTGGTACTCTAGACATGATGATCAACATCAAGTTGATACAGAAGTTGCTCTTGCTTTCTAAGCGAGGCAAAGTAGACCTAAACCAAAGAAGCTTTCTGGCTGATTACAGCTCATTTAATGATCGTGATTGCAGCCTTTCCTGTGGCCAGTGACGTAAGTATGGTCAGCGTGAGTATTGGTACTGTTTGGATGTACTGAAATCTAACGTTTGTACTTGGTTTAATACAAAAAATTATTTTACCATCATACATTATTTATCAGGCTCACCGACCGCCTCGGTCTTTCCAATGAAGAGAGCCGTGCTCTCGTGACTGTTCTCGATGCACCGAGGAGAGGCGTAGTACCGAAGACCGGTTTCGTGACTGCGGTGTCCACAAAAATTGCAGGTGGCAATGGCTCCCGCGCTGTGACCCCTTCCGCCTCCCCGAGTCGTCGCACCAGTCGTGCGGGGGATGTCGGAGGTGTCGGTGACGTGACGCAATCCTCCTCGAAAGCAAGCACTTCTGTAGCGGGGACAAATGCTAGTAAGGGAACGACATCGAATGTCTTGGCAGCTCCTGGAGGGGGTAGTACGGGTGGCAGTGCACTTGCTTTCTCAAATAGCGGTGGTGGATCATTAGCAGGAAAGAACCCGTCAGCACAGCAGTTCGGACTCACAGTGAACGGCGCAGTGCCTCCTGCAGCAAACCTTGGCGCCACTAATCTTCTCCTAGGTTCTTCAGGCGAATTGCTGCAATCAAACAGTCGCGACCAACTATTAAATGCAGGTGGAGATGCAACAGCGGCTCTTGGATATCCAACCTTACTAGCCAGTGGAGGGAGCGCTGGAAGCAAAGAGTTAGTACCGAAGCTGCGCGGACTAGGTGGACAGCTTGGAGATTCCGTTATACAAGAGGAACTTGAAAAAATGACGTCTGCAGGGAAGATTTTTGAGAGCTCGCAAATGAAAATCCTAGAAGAGTTGCAGAACATTCGGTTGGAGACTGAAAGAAATAGGCAGAAGAACACGGATATCAGTACTCTAATTCGTTTTCATCTTTCTTGCTTGGAACAATTTGAATTTTGTAATGTCCTGTTGTTTCGCTTTATTCGATTCTCCGTGTTGTACTGTAAGTAGATCAATTTGTTGTACTTAGGTGTTCAACAAGGCCGCTTTTATGTTGCTGAAGAGTCGTGAATTCAATTTTCCATTTCCCCCGATGCCCCACAACCAGGTTCGAAACTTCGCGACGTGTTGTATGCTTTGGATGGTACCACTTCTAGCACTGACGGGAAAGGAAAGCAACCGAGTAGTAGTCGTGGTGGCGTGACAGATCGGTCTAGCGCTACTGCAAAGCCGGGAGCTGCCCTTACAACTAGCGCCATCGGCACTACTGTTAACAAAAGCTACCAGTCCACACCACGCTTGCCAAATACTGAGCAGACAAGCTCTTCCACAGTGCTAAAGCCAGAACTGAATGGGACAATGACAAGCTTGAAGACGGATGCGTCTAGTGGAGGTGGTAACAAGAGTGATGCTGGGAGCAAGAGCGGAACTTCTGACGCAGCTGTGAAAGAGAGTAATGAATTTCATTTCTTATGCCTTAGATTTCCGAAAAATGTTTCCTCTAAAATAAGTCTTGATCTTCCCTCCAGCATGGTTACAGTTACACAAGGAGTTTCATCTAGCCAGCATAGTCGAAGGTGTGACCTGATCAATAAGTCTATATTCAAATTCATCCACAAACACAGACCACAAGAAGGGGATATGAAAATCACTCTACATCAGGTGCAGCAAAAGCAGAGGCAGCATCGGCGGCTGCCGCCAAAGAGAATGAAGAAGTCGTGAAACAGCTCGAAGCTATGCGCAATGATCTAGCTAGCTTGAAGCAGGAACTTGCATCGGAAATCAATCGAAGAGAAGAGGCTGAGATTGAGGTACTTACATCACAACGAACTGGGGGTTGAAGGATTGAGCACCTTCTTGTATACCTCGTCGACTTTCTTTTGGGGCAATTATATTAGGAGGTACCTACTCGTGTTAGGAGGTGTGATTATTCCCAGCTAATATTCAATGAGGTTACTTAAATATAATTTCGATCTGGCTTCCATTTCTACCACCTCTTCCATAGTGTCAGTCTCTTTCCTGCTCATCTCCTCTAGGCTGCCCACGGTTCAGAACGGTTACGCGCCGCAGAGGAGCGTAAGGACCGAGCAGAGGTCGAGCGTGAGCAAGAGCAGGCCAGGGCAAGGGAGATGCAGAGGTGTCTCGAACTTTTACAAGAAGACATGGTACGCCGAACACGTGCTACAGAGGTGAAATATCTAGAACAAGAACGCCGCATGCAGGCTCAGCGAGACATGTACGCCAAGATGCACAGACTGCAACACATTCTCCCGAGCAGCATCATAAAGAAGAGCTGCGAGGAAGATATAACCGGAGCAGGGTATCAAGGGTATGGCATGTGACACAGGTGTGCTCGATGTCTAGCATGCTATAATGAATCTCAACAATCTCCTCAAGCTTATAATCTTTATCCACTACTATTTCCTAAGCGTAAATATTTTCCACGACCTGATCACTTGATATTTGAAAGTTTTGTTACACCACATTGTCATGGTGCAGTGCTTGCATCGAAATCACTCGTGTTTTAAAGGTAGGTCAAATACAACGCTGAATTCAAAGACTCATACAACAATGAACACGCACGTGCATCTATTTTTGATGCAAGTACCTAAAGCAGGAAAAAAAGCTAATTACAACAAACAATCGGGTGGTTTATTTGCTTTTTCAAGTCAAAAAACATATCAACAAGGGCATCGGTCAGGTCTTGCTATCTAGGAACTATTGTTCATATCGCGGACACACACACACACGGCATAGTGATATCTACTGCACCCGCGCACCGTTGTATACTACTTTGGAACAACGAACACGGAGGACCACATGATGCATAAAAGTGCTCCTGTTCTTGAACAGCGAGCGTCAATGTGCCTGTACTATTCTTGTACTCATCTTGTATAATATCACGCATAAGGAGTTTATTCATTACGACTTATAATAGATATCACAACGAGGAGATATGGATATCAGTAGTTATTTTTGCTTCAGCTTCTTTCTGGATGGAGAACGTGTTCGCTCTCGTCATCAAACAAGATCCGAGCTCACTGTGAAGATCACCATAGATTGATGCACAAGATCAAAGCCACATGCATCAAACGATCAGAGATGTAAACAAATTGAAGACGAGATGATCTACTTTCAAGATACGTTGAAGTAACGTTCCTAGGATCAAAGCGGCACTTTATGTCCAAATTCCGATCAACATCAAAAGGACACACCGAAGATCTCATTTTCCCCTCTTTGCATGCAAACACGATTTTGTTTTATAACTAGGTGAAGTTTTTAACACGTCAATCTTCAACATCGATCAACATTACATAGTACCCATTGCTGCACAGCGACCACGACGACAAATAAGTTGTAAAACACATTTTTGACTTTCTTCAGTGATTGAGTTGAGAAAACACATCACACATTCATCTAATTTGAAGTCTTTTGTTGTGTCTGACTTTTTATTTTACTAGAGTAAATAATAATAAGTTGCAAGCGAACCGTAGCCCTACTAGTACACTTGTACCTAAGGCTAAGCCTCCTCATCAACACGACAAGAAAAATGGCATCCGTCGACTGGCCTGGACTGCTCACTTGGAGCACGAAGTACCACGATGGGACAGCACCTACAGAGTTTAAGCGCATGTCCAAGGAGGACAAGGAGTTCCTAGAGAAGGCTATGGAGGATGCGTTTTCCAAGATTGAAGATTTTAACAAGGTGCTCGATGACGGATTGAGGAAGCTTGAAGCGGCTGAGGATGCGGAGGTATATTAAGATATTTGCATTTCTGTTTTCAATTGTTCCTGTTCAAAACAGATGTTTGATGGCCTCGCATTTGAGACAAAATATCAATGAATCAATTAGAGGCTCTCAATGAGTCCATTTGAGGGTCCTCGCAATGGAGAGTCTATTTTTGAGCCAATAAAACATTGTCAATCATACTTTTCTAAACAACAACAGACTGCCATCGTCGCGTGCGAGATCATCGATCGGTGTGTCGACGATCCCGATTGTGCCAGGAATTTAGAGGTTTTCAATGGCATTGCGCCTCTGTTGAAGAATGCGCTTTCGACTAACGCCGACGTTTCAGAGAGATGCTGTAGTATCTTGTCGATGATGCTGGCGAACAATGAGCAGATGCAGAAAGCCGCTATCGGAAAACATAAGGCCTTAGAGGTTCTCTTTCCGAGGGGGTCGGCAGACGAGCGATTGTTGCAAACTCGGAAAAAAATCAAGCTACTGGCAGACATTGTGCGCGGCTTGCCAGAGGCCGAAGAAGCCTTTATTACGGAACACGTAGGAATCGGCTGGCTGTGCAGAGCTTTGTTGGAGCCTCCTCGGGCTGCTGAGCAGTCTGATTCTGCGTCCTCTAGTACTTCTGAATATGCAGCAGTGAGAGAACGAGTTGTGACGTTTTTACGACACCTTTTGGCAGCCTCAGGGGACAGAGTGCGCAAGGAAGAAGTCTCGTTGGCCGGAACTTTGGCATACGTCTACAGCAACGAGAGTCACGCGACATTTCTCGAGACTGCCAGTTTGCAATACACCGAAAATCTGGCACAGCTAACTCTAGTTGCTGCGAAGGAAAGTCCTGTGGTAGCGGTTGAGGTGGAAGCAGGAGTTAAGCGTCGGATGGAGTTCCTCTTGAGAAAAGCAACCGATCCGGAAACCGCCGAATACTATGCAGTCGAGATCGAAGAACTAAAAGCGATTTTGGCTTTGGCAAAAGCAGCGCACGAAGAACGAAGCGCCTTCCACGCACTTTCCACTACTACTTGCGAACAAACGAAGGGAACATCTAAGCCACGTTCAATCATCTAAGTACACAAGATTGTCGCAGTAATTCTTGTAAGTACTTATTTGGGAAGATGAACGACTTGACACTTGTACCTACTATTGTTCAACATTACAACGAACAAAACGAAAACCCATGATGCAAAAATTAGTTGATGAAAAGCACTTCACCCTTTCCTATCTTTCCTGGTTAGTCTACTTTACCTGTTGAAGAGGAAGCAGCAACCGGGAACAAAAACCTTCTTACGAATTTGTACATGCATTACCTAACGTTTTGATGTCCCTGGGGATGAAAAGCAAAATACGCCACTTTCGGCCTACCACACCATCAGTGGTGGGACTCATGGACACGAAACACTGTTTCGGCACTTGTAAATTGCGATTACCTGATGTTCCTCGCGTTTGTATCTATAATTATCTGCGACGTTGCTGTAGATGTGTCGTTCTTATATTCATCGGTCATTTGAAACATTCTGACCCTAGACCTGAATTTCAGGTCCTGAAATAAATGCTGCTAGAACTTCCGCGACGTAGTGACTCACCATCTTGTGATAAACGAAAAAGAAGCTAGTCAAGCTTTTCTACAGGCTGACGTCGATCCTGCAACAAGATGTTATAATGTGAATAAGAGATGATCTTCCTGTACTAGCTAGTATCATTTGATAATTTTTGGCACGAGGACAATAAAGATAATATTAAAATTCTACTTTATGGCGTCCACGAAAGAAATTGAAGTTTTCTAATTGAAGATTACTTCTAGTTTGATAAACAAGAAGATGGCGTCTGCTCTCGAGGAGGACAGTGATCGCGAGACGAGTAAGAGACGACGTCTTCTCCCTCCCGAAGAGGAAAGTGCCAAAATCGCAATTCCAGTTGAGTCTAAAAGCACTCTTGCAGTACCGGAAGAGGAGCGATCAATGGAGGCAAAGAAGTTCAACGAATCAGGAGTAGATCCAACGAGAACGCATGATCATGATGAAAGTACAACGACCACGACGCACAAGAAAGATGATGCACTGTTGTCTTCAGTTCTCGATGGTGACGATCGAAGTGATAGAGAAGGGAAGGATACAAACGACCTGCGCGTTGTCAATCTTGCAGGAGAATTGGTGGTCATAGTTCCTCGGTGTTGCAATACGGATCTGGCTGATGAGGACGGCAAGGATGAAAACGAAACTCCAAATAAAGATCGTCATCTCGTCACACTCAAGCGAGTGAAGCAATACGTAACGGAAGCCACCGGGCAGCCATTGGGTCAGAAATTCTTGATTGAAGGAGTAGCTGGTTTTGGTGAGATTGGGAAAGATCGTGCCGAAGCCGATGCGAGCCTTTCCGAAGGTGAGCATGAAGAGCCAGCTACTACAACTACCTTTGCTGATGACGATTTTGTTGTACCTGACAATATCGATGAAATTCAAGTAGTGTTTGATCCGCGAGCAGAGCAATTTCTTGCGTGGGCTTTATCTCAACGCGAAATCTGCGTTCGCAGACGTAGACAGCAATTACTCGAGATCAGAAGGGGCATGTCGCACTCGCAACACGGAGAACTGCCCGAAGGAGAACGAGTAGAGGAGGAAAATGGGCCTGACGAGTATACGAAGATCACTGCCGACTTGTTTTAAGGGTTGAAACATTTCACTTTTACACGCTCTTTTCCCCTAATATTGCTAGCTAAAAATGAAATGTTTCAACCTTTAATTGTTATCGCAGAGATACCCCACGTGGCGTCACGACTCTAACTTCAAACGGGCGATCCTTGTACGGTTTTTCCCCTGGGCGACCGAGCTGGTCGTAGATATGATGTGTCCACTCCTAAAATCAGATGGTGAGGAGTTCCTGTCACTGTGTCTGGAACGAAATGAGATGGCGTGGTATTGGTGCAGGGAGATGACATCCACTACGTTGCGGTCCACTAGTACCTTGCGAAATCAGCGGCAGTATGTTTTTGAAGCGGTCAAACGATGTGAGCCCGCGTTCTGGTCCCTCCCTCATGAATGGCGAGTAAGCAGTGAGCTAGCACTCTGGTATGTGCAGCACCATCCAGAAGGGAGAGGCCCGCAATACCTAGCGGCTTATATCAAGGTGTCTTGGAAGGTTGGGTGCGATAATGTCTGTATACTCAACTTCATAAAAGAGCTGGCCGAAAAACATTCCCGGGTATTCCATATGGCTAGCGCGTATCCATGTTGACCAAGCCTACAGATAAATGTGACCCGTGCCTGCAACTATTGCATTCCTAGCAGAGTCAAGACCGCGACTATTGTCACAATATGTGACTCTTATTTTCCAAGCCTCCTCTTGTTGGTGTTTCTCTTCTTACTTCGCCTATGTATTCCACTCACATCATCATTCTCAATACCCCATGAGCAGGTCGCTTCTTCTCCGACTACAGTGTCGTGTCATGCACTCTAAAACTTCTTCACCTATCTGCGGAAGTAGTATGAACCGCCCTTGCTCCTCCGTGCTACTTTCCCTTTTTTGTTCTCCTTTTTTAGCTGTTTTTGCTTTCCGTTCTAAAAGTGTACGCGTCTATCGGGAGGTCTATCTTATTTATAGAGAATGCGCGGCGGCCCTCGAGGACATTTTCTTGGATGGATTTCAGCGCGGTGTGGACTTTGGCATCCCCACGGTGCTAGCTGACTTAGCGCGCAGGCTTCTCGGAAGCGATGCCGTGCCCCGGCCGCAGAGGAAGGCGGCGGTTAGACTGCTTTTATCTGGTGAATGGGCACGATTTTTCGAGCTCGCGAGTGAGCTTCCTCTGAGTGGTCCAACTTTTCGAGAACTTTTGTTGGTTATTTTTAGATACCGGAAACCTCCGCTTGAGTTCTGGCCTCTGCAGGGTAGGAGACGAATGGTGCCAGATGAGCGTAGAGTGTGTGCTGCATGGAGACGCGCGATGCGTGCTGCCAAGGTAGCTGTTAAGAATCAAGATAGCCAATCAGGACAAACTAGTATTGACAAACTAGTACTAGTATTAGTCTTGCACTAAATAATCATGGCTCTACTTCTACTAGATTTAGTAGATGACGATTGTCTCTTTTTCGTTATATTTGAATTTTTTTTCAACAAGATTCATTCTAAGTAACAGAGGTATGCAACCCTCTGTTTTTCTAACCCGAGAAGTAGCATCAGGCTCGACGCGCAGTTCGCATTGGGTATACTCCGCGATCCGCAAACCGTTATCAGCAATCTCTGGTTCGAGCACTGTTGTCCCAAGGCTGTGCGGGAGGACGAAGACGTCATAAGACTTCGAGTGCAAAAAGATGGAAACGCATTGGGGCTGCTAGACCGAGAGTACTTGCTAGACCATCCAGAGCTTTGCTGGGATGCCGTCAAAGCAACGGGCAGGGCAATAAAGCACGTTCCAACGGAGATTCTCGGAAAGGATTCAACGGGTTTTCGCATTGCTTCTCTGAAGCAGGACCCCGCTGGTGTTTGCAAAAAAGACCGACTTGTACAAAGCAGCTTTGAACTCATGCGGGATCATGTGTTACCGAGAGACGGGACACTCCTGCGATACGCTTCGGCAGACCTGCGCGACAGTCGCGAGCTGGCCACTATTGCCCTGAATCATGCGAACCCCGAGAAAGCAACTTGTGGTGCTGACCATAACGATGACAGCTCGTGGCTCAGGAAGTCTTGCAGGAAGGTTTTGCTGTGTATCTCGGACCGCCTTTACCGGGACAGGGAGATAGCGCTTGTGGCAGTTCAAAAAAGTGGTGAGTCCTTGCGAGACCTTCACAGCGAGTTTCGGGATGATGAGAGCATAGTGATGGCTGCCCTGCAGGAAAATCCTATGGCGCTCGAGTTCGCGTCGCAAAGACTGCGTAGTGATCCTCGCGTAGTGAGCTTGGCGGTGAAAAAAAATCCGAAAGCGTTCATGTATTCTGATGGTGAAGCGCGCAGTAGTCGGGAACTCATTGCACTTGTTGCGAAGTTCGATGTCTTTTATGTGTTTTGCCAGAAACGGGACTCGGCATCGTCTTATGGTTTGGATTTGGAGCGCCAAGGACGGGACGACGATATCCTTTGGGAGTCGGACTCGTCTAGTGTGAATCTTGAAAAAGCAGAATCGACAGACGACGAAATGGACTGATTCTCGTAAGCTCTCGAGGAGCGTTACACCATGATGATGATAAAGTTTTCCCTGAGCAAGTAGGATTCTTCTTTTCGCCAGCTACAGCTTCAATATCTTCTATGATTATCAGCATTCCTCGTCCTCTGGGTTCTGGCTTTCACGGTAATTAAGAGTAGATCATGTAGTCGTGCAGCGTCATCTTCAAGACCGTCGCACTATTTTTATATATTAGATGAAGATAGAAAAAGGTTTTTCTGAGATTGCTACACTCTTTTTTACATTTTTTCTCACCGCAAACAAACTAACACACGGCTTCATCATGACCGTCATCGACGCAACTTGTGTAGTCCGCTTGTATTCACACGGTGGACCTCGATGAGTATTCATCAATACCGTTCTTCAGAGTCTCAATCAGAAAAGTGAGAACGACCTAAGGTGCACCGGACTCCGGCGAAAGGGCATGCGTTTGCGCGTAGATATGGTTTATCATGTCTATCTTTTCACCAACGAGCTATATTAGCGGGTAGAAGTCGTCGGGGAAATCTTAGGCAGATCGTTGAGCGGATTCGTATCGTCGTCGTGTCTGTCTCTTTACCAAGAAGAGGGGCACCCCGAGACGATCGCAAATGAGTGTCGACTCAGGTCATTAGAGGCCCAGCACCAGCCCAAATGTTCAGAACATATAGAAAGATATGGTATCCACGCGGAAAATACGCAGGTAACTTTTGACTTATCGGAACTCGCTCGCACTACAAAAAAAAAAGAAAGCGATCCATTAATTGTATTGAGCAGAAAGAAGCCTATACTTTTTAACAAATAGACTATTGTGTGTAGTAGAAATTAAAATGCAAAAAGTGGCACATCGAATACACGGAAGACATGTCCCTCCTAGGCCAGGGAAAAATGGTGGAAATATTGCGCTCACAAGAGGCACGATGCAAGAAGAAGTAGAGAATGTCTAACGCTTAACTTCTAGAGTGGGTACATTCATTCACTCATTCATTCATTCAACAACTCACAGTCACGACTAGAAAGAACATATTGATTTTGATTTTTCAAAAAGTCCCACTGTATTCCGTAGTTTTGTGTAAGAACTTCAGTCTAGACTTAGTAATAACTTGCATCTAGTAGTACAAGTGCCGCGACCGAGAGAAGCACGGTTCTTCGTCAGCATGGAAGTCTTTGAGATGTCATGCTGCATGTCAGCTGCATAGAAGCTCTAATATTTCCTTGAAGTTCTAACGCAGAGCAATCAAAAATCATTCGAGAGACAGCGAGCCATACACTAAAACAGACTGTGTGTAGTAATATTGTTCCAAATCCAACTAGAAGTTCTTCAAAGAAAAATTTCGTGAAATTACCATTACTACAAATACGGTCGTTGTACTTATAGAACTTCAATAAAAATATACAAGACAAGGACAAAGCAACGACACAGTTCGTCATCTGTCTTTTTCAGGATCGTCGATCTCGATCCCTCCTTCGCAGAACAAGAATAATTTCCTACGAAAAAGTACGCGGATCTTCAGAAAAACGAGTACGAGGTTCTTTTCTTACCAACAAGGAAGGTCATCTTTGAGAGAAAATTACGCCATTTCTTATTCAGTCCGTCGCTCGTGAGAGTAGAAATATCAAAAATCTACTTTTTAGCCCATTGATGGATTACCTGCTAACAGATCTTCTCACACTTCTAAGTTTGCTAGCCTGACGTAGCATCCCTATCCCACGAAAAGACGGAAGCCTTTCTCAAGGAAGGACTGCTTCTAGCTCAAGAAGGGATTGAAGAGTTGGAAGGATTAAAAAAGAGTGAGTGTCTGAAGTCGGACTTCTTGCACGCGGTAGAATGCTCGCTATGCCCACCACCCACAGCATATTGAGAGCCGATACGATACTGAACCTGAAGTACTTGTCTTCTACGGTTAAGGTAATGATCTATACCCTCCGACCGCTATGAATGGCAGCGTTTGGGTTAGGATGAGACTCCTACAAGTATCTGGACCCAAAGGATTATTGCTACTGCTCGTAAAACACTGATAGAACAACAAAGAGACTCGTCCTATAGGTATCGTGAAAGTCGCGAAAGATTCTGATCGCCAGGAAGCTTCGCCTTGATTGGCACCATGAAAAACAAGAGTATAATTAATTAGGGCAACATACCTCGTGGTTCTCCTATCTTCAAGAAGACGGCTCCCATGTATCCTCTCCATTCGATTTCGAAGCGGAGCCTGGATATTATTGACTTTCTGCTGAGGGAATCGGATAGACCTACTCGTTATGGTCATTACCGTTTTCACCTACTCGTTATGGTCATTACTGGATCGTCCCGTAACAAAAACTAGAAAACTACCAATAATTCTGAATTGCTACGACGAATTAAGTTGTAAGTGCGGCTGCGGCAACTCGCGCAGCACTAGAAGTTTTCGCAGCTTCGTCTCGCAGTAACTCGTATTGCTCCTTCATGCGGAATAATTAGTAGGCGATCGTATCTCTTCTCCGAACTTGAAAACACGATGACAAAGGGTCTTTTCATCAAGCAATAAGGTCGAAGATGGTCCGAAGCTGGTTCACTTCCAGGTCCGGCGTAGATATGATAATAAATCATTAAGAAAACTTGAAAAATTAGACGTCAGTCATTTTCCCAACCCAAACAACAGGGGCCGCAGAATTGTGCATATTGAAATACGGAAATACTTAATAAAGATAAAAGATTGTGCATAGATAGAATGATTAATAGGATAGAACTCCTTGTTCAATAATTCAATTACTAAGTAGGTTTGTTACAACATTCGTCATTCATTCTCTTGCATTGTTGCGCAACACTTCAACGCGCCTTCTTATCAGGATAAGAAATTTCATGGCATCGCTCACAAGTTGATCGATTCCATCCAATCTGATCATTTTTTTGTCATACAATCAAAAATAAATCTAAACCTTGAATCGTGTGTTGTGCTGTGCTAAAGTGAAGAAACATGACACGAACATAAAAACTGTGACGCAAAGTACTACAATCGCGAAAGAATCTTCATACTGGAAGTGCTGCATTTCATGAAGGAAGAAGAGCAATAAAAGCAGGAAGTACATAGCAGGAACTACAACTACATCAACAACTTCATCATCAACTTCTACCTAGCGTGCAGTAGCCGTGTGAAAGTGCTAGAAGATGAACTTCTAGAAGATATAATCATAATTATCGAAGAGATGAAGGAGCAACGAAAATACTACAGCGCTTGACACTGCTGAACCGAAAACGTTGACGTGGAGTACTATATTCCTTCGATCTTGCTTTTTTAGGGTAGAAAGAAGGAGCAAGTTATCCGGTGCACTAGTAAGGCCTTGCACGAGCAGCAGCAGTCTTGTAAGACATCCCGACGACATCAACTCTGGATCAGGACAGCACCTTGAAAATACTGACTTTGCTGACATACGATTCTGAAGCTTGCTGCTCAAGGATTTCACGCTACGAATCTGCAGAGTAGGCCACCACGACGACTCTTTACTGACCACTCGTTTGCTCCTGTAGTTGGAAACTGCCTCTTCATGTCCGAATCACCTAGGCATCAAGGTGCTCAACAAGCTCTAGTACCACAAAAACAAGCTGCACAACCTGAAACTCCAGTAGTACAACAAAAAGAACATCAACGAGTAGTCCCAGCACAAGGAGTACAACTAGCAGACGCACCAGTTGACTCCAACAGGAGCAACGGAGCATCTTCTTCAAATATATCTAGAGAAGTAGACATCAACGAGAGCAAGGGGAACAATATAATCATGGCGCCTTCGGTTGCTTCTGGTCTGGAGCACGAGATGGGTAGCGATAATGCGGCAGACCTCGCAGCGTTGAGCATGAAGTCTGCCTCCACAGCTATGGCTGACGCTCTCATGCAGGGAGAGCAAGTAGACGTTGCAGCTTCCTCTCACCTAGGTGGTGGTGGAGTACTAGATCATGGTGGAGTGGGATTACTAGATCAACATGGTGGAATACTAGATCCGAATGCTGGTGGAGGTGGAGTGGAAGGCGTCGTTGGGCTTGGGGCAGGAGCGGGAGGAGTTGGCGTGGTTGGCCTTGACCTTGCTGACATGATGATGCCGCCAACGACGAGTGATGGTACAACTACAGGCGTCGTTGGAGCAGCCCCTCCACTTGGAGAAGCTGGTGTGGGAACTGCAATTCCAACAATGCAGCTTCTCCAGCCGGGGCAGTTTATGATTGGTGGGGCACCAGGACTAGCAGGCATAGTACCAGGAGTAGGACTAGCAGGCGAAACTGGCCTGCAGCCACAGCAGCTTTTACTTCCACATTCACAAGAACATCAAGCATCTTCTTTCTTGATACAGCAGCAACAACAGGCTATGATGAATATGAATATACCGAATATGATGAACGTCTTGCCTCCAGGAGTGCAAGCCATCTTACCACACCAGCATAGCATTCGAGGACCCGCAGTTTCTGGCTACGCAAGGCACGGACCATCTTTCGCTGCACAGCAAGCAGCTTTGAAAAACATTTTGCAAAAAGGAGCTCCGGTAAAAAGATCTCGGTCTTCTTCTGAGAAGGCAGCAGAAGCAGTGGCAGCAGCAAAAGGAGCAAAGGGCGCGGCTATGCAGGCAAAGGTAGGCGGTCCTCTTGCAGGTCAGGTAGGGACTAGCTTAGGTCCAAGAGCCAGAGCTGCGGCTTCAGGAAAAGCTAAAGGTATTTGTGAATTTCACCTAGCTATGTCCTGGTCCTCCTCGATCTTTCAGATTCATGAACATTTTCAGTCTGCTTCTTCACACTCAACAGAGGTCTTGATCTTCTTAAATCTAGAACAAAAATCGTCCTACCAATCAGCACAAGAAAGTCTTCATACCAAAACTAAACACGATGAGCATGACACAACTTGTTGTTCTACAGGAGGCATCCGGCTTTCCGACAGCAGTTATCTTTTGGCATCGAAGAGAGTTTTGCGACCCCAGGACCCACAACCGACACCGGGGAAAAGGGCGGGTCATACGAGCTTAGGGAGAAGTCTGGTGCCAGCTCGCAGACACTACGAAACCCGAAGCAAAGCCTCGCAATATCAAGCAGGCGGATCCTCGTCATCGTCTGCGCCACTACCGGCGCAAAAACCGCAGCCCATGCTACATTATGAGATGTTGAGTAAGAGACAATGACAAATGGATGAATACATAGTTTGTCCTTGTCGGATCTATGAGACGCAACCGGAAATCGAATAGTGCCTAAACTACCTCACAGACTACATTTTATCCCATTCCATCCAACACTCTTCTTAGAAACATTTTTACCACAAAAACAAAAAATGTCATCCATGATCTCTGTCCCGTGATCATCAGGATTCTTTTCATCTCAAGTGGAGTAGATTTTTTGACTATCTAAGGTAAGGAAACGGATCCTAATAGAAACGTGGCCACAAGAGTAGTTTTTTTAAATAATTGGACTACTTGACAACTCTTTTGTTTTTTGTTTCCTAGTTTGTTAGGTGTGCTCCACCGATACTATCTAAGGTTCACAAGCGCATAAATCAGCGCATAAATCAGTCTCCTCTTCTAACAAGAGCTGGCAGCCGGAAATCGCATAGTGCCGCAACCCGTGACGATCGAGGTACAACACGACCCAGCGAATGTGCAGTTGATAAAAGATCCTAAAATACGTAATAAGCGAGATGGCGACGGTCGCTTGGAGCTGAAAGTCGAATTACCTTGGCGGCAACGGTTCTTAGATGCGATTTCCTTCATGAAAAAAAGCAAAGGGAAAATGTGCGAACATGGTACTATCCAACTACAGGACTTTGAGTTCCATACTCACTCTGCCTTCTACATCATTCAAACAAAAAATGACATCTATATTTCTGAAAGAGAACAGGAAACGTCTTCTATGTATAATAACGTGATTCGAATACTACAACATCAACAACTCGTCTTGCAAGAGCGAGAAGCAGATCTGCAAATTTAAATTCGCATAAGTTGTACAAAATCCCCATTCCTCCACACCAGGTATGCAAGAAGGCCAGACAGTTAATTGCGCTACGTTTTTCAATTCCCTGCCCTCTCACGCGAGAGGCTTCAAGGAGATGGAACCAGATGAGCAGTTACATTGTCTCAGCTTTGACGAGATCGTGGCGAAACTCAAAAAGAATGTGGATAAGCCCAGTGGTGGATACACCTTCGCCACTGATATCAGAGAAGACACGGATCAACTCGTAGCCGAGATCGAACGCGTATTCGGAGTCCACGAGAATCGACTGTACGTAGTGGAACTAGCAAAGGAGCTCCAGCATGAAATTGGACTCTACGCGGAAGATGTACTACGATTTTTTAGTAAACCCCTGGAGTGGGTACATTCATTCATTCAAAGACCACGAGGATATTATAGGCTTACTTCATATTAATAATTTTGGAAATGCTAAGAAAAAGAATGTTGACATTCAAAATTCCTTGATCAATGAGTTTCTTTAGAGTAGTTACCATTTTTCAGGGACGAGCTGCAACAAGTAGTTTCACTACAATAACCACTTCATCTTCAGATCTATTGGCAAGAGATACAGACGATTAAGAATAAGTGGAGCGACTATCTCTTGCTGAACAGTTTGCATAATCAAGGAAAAGCTCCGCCAGCGCATTTCCTAGATCATCGGAGGACGGTGGCCGAAAGAGCACAGCATGCCACAATAGCCCTCGCTGATACGGTTACGCCATTGAATGGGAAATTCCGAAAACTAGCGGAGGATGCGATACTTGCTGCGGCAGAAGAGAAGGAACGCTTTTTCTCAGCACAAGCAGGCATTCATCAACAACAACAACAACTACAAGGCGGAAAAGGGGCTGCTGGAGGAAAAAATGGTGCAGCAGTTCCAGCCCTGGTACCACATAAACAAGGAAAACCCGCCCCAAAAACAAGGGCGAAGGCAGCTGGTGGGAAGAAAGGAACCGGAGGCGACTCTCAAGAAAGTGGAAATGATAGCGCAGTTCTTGGCAAAAAGAAGCGTACTAGAACGGGTAACAAAAGTGATGATGAGCCGTGGTCTCCTGAGGCGCCAGCCTCTAGGCCTAAGAAGATAGCGAAAACGAAAGCAGGCCCAAAGGCGAAAGCGCTGCAGCTCAACGAAACATCATCACTCTTCGACGATGATGACAAAAAGTCAGGTGACTCTGCTAAACAAGTAGACAATGATTCCGCTGTTAGTCGTAAGAGCAACAAGAGCAACAAAAAAACTACTAATAAGTCTGGAGCAGGTGGTGCTGCGAGTAGTGCTGGGCAGGGAAATGCCGCAGGTGGTAATTACGTCTATCGTGGTGGCAATAAGGGGATGCGATCAGGGCTCCAGCAATTAAGGGACATCAAGAAGGGTGGCGATGCTGACTCGGCTGCCTCAAGTGGGCACAGGGAGACGACCCGAACAAGAGATGTGGCGCAACAACGGAGACCCAAGAAAAAGACGCGCCCTCCACGTTATCCACAAAAAGACGGTGGCATAACGGCGAAAGCAAGAGAGGAAGCAGCTACAAAGTACTACAACTAGTACTACCCAAAAAATTACTTAGGTGTTGATATGAAAACAACTTGAGTTTGTGATTTACAAAGATATTGAAATGCGCAGATAGAAGACATCGTGACACACAAGTTTGAGTTGTTGATTATGGTAGTTCTACTAATTTGTTTGCTCCTTCAGGAGTGGCCACACGGAGTATGCAAAATCAAATCTTCACTGAACAAAGGTTTGCAGAGTTGAACCCTGAGCATAGAAGGGAGATGGAGGACTTTATTGAGCGCTATATGCCAACAGAAATCCGCCAGGATGACGGGGACGATGTCGACATTTGGGAGTACTATAATAAACTTAAATAAAAATCTAATAGCTTTCCGTAGAATTCTGTTCTAACCGGAGCCTGGTGATATCTACTTCTTCTAGGATTTTGTTGGATGTCAATTTGAAAAAACAATCGCAGTAGCAGTCGCGTCTGTGGCCGACACTAAATAGTAGATAGAGAATAGTTATAGTACTCGTCGTCGTCTAGTCTAATATCCGTAAATAAAAAACAAAAAACTCCACTCTTCTACCACCCAGCTTGCTGCCGCTATTTCAGAATCAGTTTGTCGCGAGTGTGAAGAAATATCATAGGGAGGACAATCCAGAGCAGTATGTGCGAAAGAGAAAGGCACGAGAAGAGAAGACTCAGGTACTTCAAGGCTATGGCCTCTTTTGAGTTGGGGTTGTTTATTTGTGTTGAATCAGAGACATGTTGACCCTCTGACTTTGAGACTAGAAGAATCGATTTACCCTGTAGTGTTGGAGTCGAATGAAGTTACTTACTTACATCTACTTTTACTTACTTAAATTCACTTTTTTTACTGACTACACCCACTTTATATGCTCATCTACTCTCTCTGGCAGCTACTTGCATCTTAAGAAGTGTTATAATTTTCCTTCAAATTATCTTCACAGCGCGATGGCGTCGCTCGCTATGCACATGGTGGAGTTATTTCCTCGGATGAGGAGAAAGATGAGTCCTCTGACGACGAGAAGAAGGGCGACCAGTCGGATAGCGATGAACAGTTTCAATTTCGACCTCGAACGCGTCCGCCCGTTGCTGCCCCATCGCTGTTGCCTCCAGCTCCAGCTTCGTCTTCCTCTCTCAGAGGACTGGGAAAAATCGTGCCGAATGGGGCTACTTCGTCGGCTTCATTACTGCAGCAGTCAGGGGGTGCAATGGGAGTGCCAGGACTACAGCCAGGAAGTGGGACTGGACTCCAGCCAGGAGGTGAAATTGATCCAATGCTTTTAGAGGAGGACGAGATGATTGACCTCGATAATGGTTGCATGTTTGCTGACGTTTATGCAGAGCAACAACGTGCTGCTGCAGCGGCAGCGGCGTCCTCTTCTTCATTAGGTATACATGCTGGAGGAGTCGACGCGGCAGCATCTTCAACATCTTCCTCAATACTAGGACACCAGCACAGTCGTGACTTGCTCGGTCAGCACCCCCAACAGCTTGGAGGTAGTGCCATGTCCTCCTCAAACAACATGATGAATGTTGACTGGCCAGCAGCAGCTAACATCAACATCAACCATCAAGCACCACAACAAGAGCCTCTTTGGCAGCCAGGACTGGATCAAAAGAGCTCGATCATCGATAATCAAGCAGATCTAGCTGAAATGTTGGGGATGTTTGATGACGAAGAGTTGGAGGGGGCCGAATGAGAAAATTTTACATCCTCCTCATGATGTTGTCATAAAACAAGTTAGTACATAAGTAGAGTAAGACGGTTGTTTTCTTCAGGTGTGATCATTCGAATCTTCATCGTCGACTACAGCATAAATGATGTGATCTAAATTTGCTTTTTGAAAAGGGATCTGCGTTCATCTCGTCTATTTTCGTAACGTAGCTCTGACGTGTTATGCAAGTAGAACTCTCATACATAGTTATATATACCATCTCGACGCTTTTTGAGATATAAGTCAGAACCTCCGCTACTTCATCGTCTTTTTGCAACAATACGAGTCAACATCCAAATACTCTCAACATTCTGTAAGCGCAATATCTCGACGTCCCGTATACCAAAACTTTGATGAGCGATGTATGATCTCAGTTGTAGCAGAGCTTCCTCTCTGTCTACTTCTATATCAAGTCGTCCGTATACCATCGATCCCGAAAGACTGATTCCACGATGAAGATTCTTGTGATGTCTCAAAAGCCTTAACCTTTCTCGAGAAACAAATCATAATCTTCACACGACACAGTAAAGACGTTTTTCTTTGTCATCCTCGTCAACAAATCCTCCTCGTAAAACTTGCATTCAAAATCTTCTCTCTTTTATCTGAGATGTCCAAAAGTGCCACAGCTAGGTTTAGGTACTGAACAACTAGTTCTACTTGTTCGTTGATACTAGTGTTGCGGAGCAGAAGATTGAGGGTTCTCAGCGTTTCTTCTTGATGAAGTTGATGTTGCTCATTAATTGTGCTGATTTGAGAGACATGTGAGAGTGAGCATTGATTGGTGGGAATCAAGTCGGGACTAGCGCGAAGTGGATGCATACTATACTGTGAGCTCCTGCCGGAAGAGAAAAATCCAAATTCTCCGTGACCTCGCTGGAGGAGGTACGACAACCTGTACAGCGAGAAACTCAAAAGCGAAAATATTTCCAGAAAAATATGAGTTGTAGATGCTTTGTTTTCACGTTCACCAGGACCTTATCACGGTGGAGTCAAGTCTGTGTGGCTAGCGTGGTTCGAGATACACGTGTTCATCGATCTACGTGTTCGAGATACACGTGTTCTACGTGCGTGGTGTACTTAGATACTTACAGCGTGGTGTAGATACATCAAGTAACAGTACAACACTTCTTGACACTAAAAGAAAAATGGCGAATGTTGCTTTGATTCTTGCTCGTGGCGGAAGCGTTGGGATTCCGCATAAGAACGTCAAGCCATTGTGTGGCTCCGCCTTGATCGGGTATGTCATTACAGCGGCACAAGAGAGCGGGGTTTTCGATCGTGTAGTTGTATCCACGGACGATGAAGAAATTGCAAGGATTGTTATGGCTTCTAAAAATAGGAAAGGACGAGGAAATACGTCAGGATGGAAGTCGATGGCCATGACTGATGACTATCTAATATTCACTCAACTTCATCGATTTGAAGTTGGAGTTGAGTAAGCAGCACCACAAGCACATGATGACAACGACGACTTCCATCTGCTTAATGAGTTTCAATGATCTTGGTCCAGCTTTACTAGCACGCTGTGATTAATCATAGGTCGTTGGTAGACAACTAGAGAGGACTATGTTCTTCTAACCTGCCAGGAAGCGGCAAATCAACAGATGGCGAGGGAGACCAGGTATTGTCAAGGAAAGAGAGCTCTTCTTCGGGCACGGAGGAGCAAGACGAGATCCACACTTCTTCTAGCAGCGGGCCTTCTTCACCTGGTGATGTACTACGAGAACTACCGTCACCGAAAAGACTTAAAACAACTTCTTTAAAAATGGAAGCTTCTACTACTACTTGTCTCACTATTAAGGCTCAACTTTCAATGGTCATTGGGGTTGGTCACTGAGATCGAAGAGGCGACCCCTTGAGACAACAGGGGAAAACGAAGGGAAAGAAGGGGGTCTCTTCCGTTCAGCATCAGTGACCATTGAATGCTGAGCTTTAACACTAAGAACGAGAACATCGAGATGAACAACAGGAACTACAAGAAGAGCCATTTTGGTGCTGAGATCTTTCGTCGTTCCGCAGCTTCAGCCACTGCAACCGCAAGCTCCGAGTCGGCTGTGTTGGAATTTCTCAAGACCTCACCAGATTGCAAGATTTGTTGTCTATTACAGGCAACCAGTCCACTGACCACAGCGCACGATCTGAGAAATGCTATGCACCAATTCACCTCGGCAAAAGCGGATTCCCTAGTATCTGTTGTGCGTTGGAAGCGATTCTTTTGGGAGGTAACTACATCTACATCGCAGGAAATTGACATTCTTGAAGAACAACTAGAACTAGAACTAGAAAGTGAGGAAGCTGCAGGGCAAGAAGGTAAGAAAAATTCTAATGTAGTTGGTTCGCACTACGAGGATACAACTAGTTGTTCAAAAGGTAGTACTACAATAAGTGCATCTGCGAACAGGAACACCGAGGAAACAACGACAACTAGCGCAACTACAAGAGGCCTTAAGAGAAGACAAGTAGTCCTTCTTGGTAAGCCCAAGAACTATAATCCTGCGAAGAGGCCAAGACGACAGGACTGGGAGGGCGAACTGATGGAAAATGGGGCATTTTATATGTTTCGAGTCCCAGTTTTCCTCGAGACTGGACATCGATGTGGAGGAAAGAAAACGATTCTATATGAGATGCCGGAAGACACAGCAACAGAGCTTGACAGTCACACTGACTGGAGAATCGTGGAACAGTTGTGTGCAGACAGGATAGAACAGGGAGGCGGCTAGTGACAGTACAACGACCACGACTGGCGATACTGGCCAGCACAAGATGAACATCAAGTGAAGATGATACAACTGGGGTATTAAAAGGCTGCCAGTTGAACAAAAAGAATGTGCATCTCATCTGCTAGGAACTGCTTCGCGCCATCTTCCCTTTTTTGGGAACACATTCATATTTGTAGTGCTATCCGTTGAGGCGGCAGCGGCTAATGGTAGCACGAGACAGAGGATCTGTCATGCTGGAGTATAAAGATTACTAGATTGGTCCTGTGACTCAATCTCCTCTGTTCGGAAGCCATTAGCGTCTTTCCTTTGCTGCGGAAACTGGAATTGTTCTAAAAAATCAAAAAATCAAAATCATCACGTCACAAAAATCAAAATATTATTAGGGTAAGCTTCTATAACCGTCGGTTTCGGTGTGTAAGCACATCATCTGTATCGCCTTACTAGTTACTGTGTGACATCATAATGAATCTGTGTGGCGGAATTGGCTGAGGATTCCAGAAGGTCCTGCATTAAAAGTCGAGCCGTGTCACTGAGAGTCTTGGTTTCTCATCTGTTAGTCTCATCTGTGCGCAATGAATCAATAACGAGTACACCGTCTAGTCCATTCATCATTATATATATATCTCCTTGTCGAGGAGTGAGAGCAGTGCAGAGTCTTTTCTGGGGTCTCAGGTTCTCTGTTACTTTGAGTGTGGTGCAAGCGCAAACTGATCAATCTATATTTTTGACGGGAGTGAAGTCTTCTCAAGAACTGGCTGCTGAGGGAAATCGTAGGGCTTACATCGTTGTAGCTCTACACTCTTTATACTGCGTTCAATCTTTATATAGATATATTGAATTTTATTTCATTTTCAATTCCCTACATCGCAGGCTTAAGTACTTTGTTCTTTGTCTATCCTCATTCTACACGAAGAAGCGTAGTTGATTGCCCCACACGACTTTCTTTTCTTCAACAATTCGGACTAAAAACTAAGGTAGCTCAAAACTAGGCTTCATTCATCTACCTGAAGGCGATTCACCTGTTTGAGTCAACAGAATTCTGGGAAACAAGAAGTGTTGTGGCGAAACTCGAACGCACTTATCCAAGCGAAATCACCCAAGCGCGCATAGCAGGGCGTGCCTGAGCTGGTCCGGATGTGGGAGAAGCGGGTTAAGGTACTACTATTTCTTACGAATGGGCTCGCAAGAGTCTTCTATTGTGATCAACAGTCATGGCCTAGCTCGAGTTGTCGCGTTTTTCCTCTTTATATCATTTCTTTACTTTTATTTCACCGATTACTATCGAGGTCGAGGGAGATTCGGGCTCGAAGCATATGCGTATGGCGACGGAAACTAAAACGAACATGAATAGTACAGCTACAGTGTCTTGTTCCAGTTCTAGTTCTGGCACAAACGTGGCCAAGAAAGTCCAACAACAAGACCCCGATCATTTTTTATTTCATTTTCATCTCCTCAACGGGGAAGCTGTTTCTGCCACGCTGGCTGACTTGCAGAAATTGGAAGGGGAGTATTTTTTTGGTAAAAACAGCTCTCACAAGACCACGACACAAGGTGGACAGAATAAAAGAGGAGAGCCATCACCCCTCCCGAAGCCGAAGGGCGTTGTTATGCCCATCCGGCTAGATGACGTGCGCATTGGTTGCGCGATGCTTCTGACTCAAATGCGCCAGGAGGGCCAGGACGGTAGCTCTTCTGAAGATAAGGCGCCAATCTTTCCAAGCTCCGTACAATTTTTTCCGAAGGTGGAGGAGGAAGACAAACACAAGGAAAGAGGAGAAGAAGAAGAGCAAACTACCCGGCTCGCCGACGACCACGTGATCGTGGACGAAGATGAAGCCTGTAATTCTGGTGGTAAAACTGCGCGATCCTTCCAAGTTGTGGTCGCTCTTGAATTCTCTGAGCCGCATGTGGAAGCGTTGCATAACCTATTGAACGAAACTACATCCACCGAAATGAAATCGACGTCTGTATCTGACAGTGAGATACAGAGACATATCAGGATTTGTCACCGCAAATCTCCAGGAAGGGACCTGGTGCCGCTGGATTGCTTAGATCTCCCCCCGGAATTGCGAGCGATGTGGAAATTTTCGAAAGTATGGGCCTCTTCGTCCCTGATGTTGTCGGACTACTCCCCCTCCTACGCGTACGGGCCTAAGCACATGCTGCTGGGGATGGTAAATAATACCGCGGCGCCGGAGTCGTGCGAGTGGAGAGAGGAAGATGGCCTACAGCAACGCAATAATTTCGCAGGACTTGCGAGTGCGGAGTGGCTTCCATTGGGCGACAGAAGGACCTGGGAGCAGCGCGTCGAGTATTTTGTGTATATCCGAAAGGATAGAAATGTCGACGCCGAGCCGTACCAGGAGCCGGAGGACGATCCAAAAATGAGTCAGCGGCGCTTGTTCGAGATGGACCAGAGTGAGGTCGAAAATCTACCCCATGTTTCTCCGCGATTTGGGGAGGTAAGGATTATACACGCGCAAAAGAATCCACGAGTTGCCCGCATTACAAAGGGCTCCTTCCGAAAATTCATCTACTACGCGGAGCATGTGCGTCGTGCGGACATGCGGTATGGTGACCATGCTACCTTCTATCATAGACACCCTGATGGAAGCCTCACCGACGATGTCCTGGATTTTGCGCAGCTTTTTTTTTTGAAGCTGTAGTGACATTCTCCTCAACTTCATCTTTTGAAATTGTGACAGAAGGAGAGAGGCGCTAATTAAAAAGAAATAGCAGAACTGAAAACCAAAGTAAGCTCCGCCGAAAAAGTGGGACCGCGATACAAAGTAGAAAGTAAAGAAGACGCGTTGAAGATCAGTGAGGAGGAAAGTGAAGAAGACTTCTCTTTTTGATGCTGCCTTCCGTGGGTGAGGGTATGCATCGAAGTCGAAGTATCTGTCAGGATATGCGTTTGCGTGAGTCTTCAACAGCAATAAGTGTACTTACACAAGAGCATCTGAAAAAACGTGTAACACGACTGTCGTGCAAAAGTTAGGGCATCCTAACCCATATCTAACCTCTGCATCGTCTTACCAGTTACTGTGCGACATCATAATGAATCTGTGTGGCGGAATTGGCTGAGGATTCCAGAAGATCCTGCATTAAAAGTAGAGTCGTGCCACTGAGAATCTTCGTTTCTCATGTGTTAGTCTGAGTGCGCAAGGAATAACAAATACCTAAATTAATTCGCTGGTCCTCTTCTTGAACGCCGTCTAGTCCATTCATCATTATAAATATATATCTGTTTTTCGAGGAGTGAGAGCAGTGCGGAGTCTTTTCCGGAGTCTCAGGCTCTCTGTTACTTTGAGTGTGGTGAAAGCGCAAACTGATCAATCTGTATTTTTGAGGGGAGTGAAGTCTTCTTAAGAACTAGCTGCTGAGGGAAATCGTAGCGCCGACATCGTTGTAACTCTACACTCTTGATACTGCGTCCAATCTTTATATGTATTGAATTTGATTTCAATTCCCTACAGCTACATCGCAGGCTTCCTTTGTTCTTTCTATCCTCATACTACACGAAGAAGCGTAGTTGATTGCCCCACACGACTTTCTTTTCTTCGACAATGCGGACGAAGGTAGGTCAAAACTAGACTTCATTCATCTACCTGACGACGAGTCATCTGGTTGAGCCAACAGTTTTCTGGGTAACAAGGATTGTTGTGGCGAAACGCGAAGGCAGTTATCCAACTTGATTGCCTCGTCAAAATGTCTGACACTTTTCGTGAATTGGGAACCCAAGTGGAATTATCCACTAATCTTAGGCTCATCCCTTTATGCAATACCTTTTGCCACCAACCTTGATTTTGTGAGTTGGTTTGCTATTGCTTCTATAGTCCAACTCGAACATTTTCCAAACTAACTCGTCTAGCGCGAAGCATCTAAGTCAGTAATCATTTTCAAGTTGTGAGCCCTTTCCTTGCAGTCGACTTTTGGAAAGCCTGCGCTGTTGTTCATCAATTCTTTTCTTACTATTACATATGTTGAAAAAATGAGGGCGCGGCCTCCAATTGGTGGCGATGCTCGTGTCGAGCAGTTGAACCCGACTACAACATGGATGGAGCGGGAGGCCGAAGGCGATACACTCGTTGACTTTGAAAAGTTGGTGGAGAGGCACTCATCGGATTCACTGGCAGCGCTCTTTGACGTGTCGCCCTTTCGAACAAACCGACTTTGTAACGCGGTACTTCGTCGACGGGAGCACGATGCTGCTTTCCTTCGTTTCGCGAGCAGCAGGATGAACGAAGAAGAAGCGACCGAGCAGCAGGAGGAACGAGCGAGCAGAAGATCCTTGGCAGCTGCAACCGATTTAGTTCCACCTAGCTCTAGGGAAGAAGCGCCACGTGCTCAACATCAACGTCGCGATCAATCTTCTTCAGTGGTAGATAAAAACAGTATCAAAAAAATCAAAGAGACGAAGAATTTCGAAGATCCTGTAGTTCTAACGACCATAAAAAAAGAGCAAGATGATCGCGGAAGCGCGACCTCTAGGACCAGTCAGCCTAGAGAAATTTTTCAGATCCCGTGGGCGTCCAACGATTTCCAAAGATGGTCCGAGCTTTCGAACGAGCGCTCTGCTGACGACATCAACCAGACGGCGAATGATGTCCCACCGCCACCTTCAGAGGAGCATATCGCGGCAGCGCACGGAGAATACCTGACACCCTGGGAGCTGTGCGAGATTTTATGGAAGCTTGGACTCCTCCAGAGGCCCGACCTGTTCGAGTTCCATCTGCGCCATGAGCATTTTTCTTCAGTCACCACCGGAAGCGTCTACTGTGGTTGCCCCGACGCCCTCTCTCCGGAGAAGCGGTCCTTCTATGACTGGGTGGACCTGCGTAGACGCAAATACTCTTTGGAAGTTCCCCTCTCGAGCGACCACGCGAAATGGGGCATTTTCGATCACCACAACCAAAATCAGCTTGATCATGTAGGAGTCCAGAACAACGAGATGAAAGCGTTGCCGAGGCCGACGAAGCTCCTCAAGCCGGGACTGATGCTCTCTGAGCCAGATGGGGGCTGCCGGAACCGCGTCGAAGAGTGGCTCGTAGCCAGTAGCCGCCCCAAAGAGGACGAAAGGAGAAGCGCTTCGACCCAACAGAAAGTTAAGGCTCAAACAATTTCATCATTTCCAAGTGTCATTTTCTTTGCTTCCTTCGCTCGCAGGAAGTTGAGAAATGGGCTGAAGGAATGAAACATACATTTTGAGCTCTAAGAAAGGCAGAGGTGCTGCGGCACGACAAGAGGCCGCGAGCAACAAGAGGCCTTTTTCTGCATTAGGTGGGTTCGACGATCCAAGACATATCAGCACTGCGTATAATTTGCAAAGTGCTTCCTTCTCTTAAGGGCAGGCTAAAGGTGTTCCTGTTGCCGTTCGTTTTGCCATTCTGAAGGGGGAAAGGCATAGCGAACGGGGTAAACGAACACCAAGACGAGCCACCTATCTTTAATTCTCGTCTACAACTAGGGAAGCAGGGGAAGATGAAAGGAAGTGTAGGGGAGGCGCTTTTTCTCCGCGAGACGTTGACGTGAGCGACAATTCGATGTCGCTTGCTTCATCGTCGGACGACGAGGACCAGTGTGAGCGCTTCATGGTAGACGCAAATCATGTTGGATTTCTGAAGACACTAGATACTAGAACTACACTGGGCGTGGAGGACGCGGCGACGGTCAAGCAACTATCTACCTATGGCCCTGGTCCCGGAAGAAAAGAAACCGCTGATGCGAGCAAAACAAAAACTACAACAGCAGCAAGTAGGGCCACAGATGAAAGTAGAAACGCGTCTGATGCCAGCATGAGGAGGACGGACGCACAGGATGGAATAGTTGTAGAGGCGTCGACCCGTGATGAAGAACGAGCAGCACAGCTTGAAGCAGACTCCCAAGAAGCTGAGCAGTTAGCACATGTTGCCGGGGAGGAGCAGTCTTATTCGATTCCCCGCGCCAATCTAAGTGCGACGTCGGCGCCGCTCATGTTAGAAAGGACGAGCATGCGAGGAGAAGGCAACAAGATCGAGCCAAAGAAGAGCGTTGCTGATGTCGATGGTGTCGGGAACGAGCTAGACGAGGGTGTCGGGAGAAGACACGAAGTGGAAGAGATTCTGAACGAAGCCGCCCCCGTAGATGAGTTGGGAGCCGACAGCCAGAAGGAGGGCGTCGAACGTGTGGAGCAGGAGGAGCGTTTTCACGAAAGGCCTGCGGAACGGCCAGCGAATGTGGGCTACGCTGATGAAGTGCGTCGCGACTTTGTGGAGGATGCTGCTCGACGTAGTGCTGGCGCCGATCCTCAGGATGTTGCGCTACTGCTGTCATCCCAAGCAGATGCTGTGGACACAACGATCATCACACAGGATGCGCTGGCTGAGGCAACCACAAGCACCCCAGCAACAACGACCGACACCGCTGCCGGGAAGCGCGTCCGCGGTGAGAAGCGTAGCAAGCGTGTTCACACGGCAACAGGGACTCGAACCGCGACAGGCAGTGCTGCGGCGTCTGCTTCAGTGTCCAAAGGAGGTCGTCAAATTCCAAAGGACTCGTCACCCGCTAAGGCGCCTCAGAAAGGTCCACTTGTAGATGGAGTTTCGGTAGCGCCAGCAACGAGACGTAGCAAGAAGATGGGAAGTAAGCCGGGCATTCGCCTCAGTGTCAATACTGGGGAAATTCTGCTGGTACAGCGCCCCATACACCGCGAAGGCGAAGCAGATCGGGGTCAGCAACCTTTGTTCTACGAAGGAGATGATGACGCAGCTGACGTTAAGGCTTTCACTAATGCGTCCTTGACTGCTTTTTTGAAAAGTATGAGGGAGTCTGTCATTCACTGCGATATAATTAGCCATACTTTTCAGCGATGCGGTTGAAAGATGAACGGTGGATAGCGCTAATGACAGCAACCAGGAAAGAAGTGTCCACTTTTCTGCCCAGTCTTCGGATACCGGGCAAGAGTCCACAAGTGAAAGCGGGCATGGGGCCCAACGCGCTCCATCCGTTCCAGCGGGTGAAGTTACGAAGGTTTTTAGAGATAGACTTTAGGTAGCAGAAGTTTAGATTTGATTTAGAATTTTTGGAGCAGCAGCATCGGAGTCTGTACTTGCAACCTTGATATATTAATTTGATTTGATTAATATTATATATTTGATCAACATAATTTCGGGCTGTAATTTTGGGAAGAATCCACTGTAAGACCAGTGAACGGCGCTGCTCAAATTCTGTAAGAGTTAAAAAAAAGGTACCTACCCTTCTAATACGGAAAGTTTTGATTTCTTTTTGGAGCAGCAGCATCGGAGTCTGTACTTTTTGCCATTACGCGAGAGCCATGTGGCACAGATGCGGGTGGTCTTTGTCGTGTGGACCGTTTTCGTCGAACCTTTGCTATCCCGCAAGGAGCGGCTCCTGCTGATGCTTCCGGAGGCCAAGCTGAGTCAGGTCTTGCGCTACATTTTTCTGCGCGGCTTTCTGTCCGCCGGTTCTGAAATGGTCCGTCGTGGAGATCCAGCTCACAACTTCAAAGTCCTGGATTATTCCGCAGACTTCGTGCAGCAGCTGCTTGTGCAGACGCAGCCTGTACCACTGTCCCTACAAGTCCGAAAAACAATCCGATTCCGAAGTAGTAGTGGGAGAGAGTCGGACTCCTGTCCTGGTGCGGTTGGTTCTGGCCGTAGGAGCACGATCCACAGAGAGATAAGCGACGCCGCGGCGCTCCATGAGGAATTGACGTCAGCGGAAAATCTGCCGAAGAACATTACTCGGACAACTGGAGTTTTGTCGCGAAAAGTTGCAAGATTTGAAAAGAAAGCGTCGGCGCCAGAAGGAAAAGCTAACATTATCCAAGCGAATGGGCACACCCAATACGAGCACAACTCTCTTAGTGAGCCACAGGACGACGCTGTTAGGGTCCCCTCGCCCTGCGAGGGCATGCCATTGTCGTCTCTGGCGGCGCAGCAGCCCGTTTTCTCGGAAGACACGTTAAGCGTTGGCCATTTGTCGGCGAGGTCGTTCTTGTGTGCGCGAGAATCCACCGAGACTGCGAACAGAATACGCTGGATAAGCTTAGCGTCGCCCGACAGTCATAGCCGGCCCCTTAGTTCGATTGTGCAGCATCGAGCTTCGCTGCTGGCGCTGTGCGTGAAGTACCAGATTCATCCCCTAGCGATTGAGGATGCACTATCTCTGACGGAGGAGGCCCCAACGGGGCGAGTTACCAAATATGGTAATCCTTTGCGCGATCTTATCCACGAGGATAGCTTCTCTTTTGGCGAGTTCGGTCTTCCTGAAAGTGGCGCCAGACATGTTGACTCGTCCAGACGGGGAAGTGTGCCGTTCTCGATGGCAGCAGACAATCATACAGCAGCACGTGAAAAAGGAAAAAGGGGCGAGGGGGAGGCAAACTCAATGGGCGACATAGAGACGCCAGGACCTCCCGAGGGCTTCACGTTGCCGTCGGTGCGGCTGGCGATGTCTACTATGGGTAACGCAGGCCCAACTCCTGCTTCATCTCGCGGACGAAATTCTTACAATTCTGCAGCTGTTCGTGGGCTCACTTCGGTGCCGGATCTGCCGAACGCCGGCCGCCTGTCCTTCGTTGGTGGGCGGTCGTTTCCCAGTCGACGGGGCGGTGGAGCTGTGCTCTCCATCACCGGTCGCATTAACAGCCAACGACTGCCAGGGGGAGGAGGGGACCTTGGAGGGGTTGAGCCGTGGGCGAGGCGGTCAGAAATGGGAGGGGCCTTACCCTTCGATGCTCCGCTCCTTCTCCCACGAATGTCCACCATGAGCAGCATGTCGCGCCTCACTACACAGCCTGGCGCTCGGAATGCGGGCGGGAATAGCCGGGGCGATGCTCTAGTGTCAGCGTATAGCGTCTCTCCGCTCTCACGCAGTAGCATGGCGAGGGCCCCAGTCGGCATGCTCCCGAATGAAAGACCAGGAAAGCTCACTCAGGAAAATTTAGTACCCTTTCCCTTTGGGAGTGAATTTCAAAACTCGGGGGTTTTGCAGGCTGGAGGCCTAGACGCACAAAGGCAGTATCGCCCCGAGGCGCCTGGTGGGGAGCATTGGTTCATTTCAATTCCCCTTTTCAAGTTGAGCGACAACTCGCACCGGCGCATGAACTCAGTGATTGAATATGTGGAGGAATCAATAGAAGAAGAGCACGGCCGGCCGCGTCTCTCTTCAGTAAGTTCTCGACAAAGTGACAAAGCGAATAGGCCCAAAAGCATGAGGGGACGCGCGAACAGTGTGGCGCAGCGAAACAGGATTCTTTCCGAAGCAGGGCGTCTCTCCACGTCATCTGCATCAAGTCTGAGCGCAGGTGGGGGTATTCGGGCGCGTTCAACGCGCGAGGAGAGTGTTATCACTCGCGCTGTTGCGGCGGTTGAGGAGTACGCAGGCCGCCTCCGGAACCGAAAAGGCGAGGGAGATTTAGTGGGCCGAGAATCAGGGCTCCGCAATCGCACGAGCACTGCGAGAGGAAAGAATCGGGTACGGCGTACGACGGAGAACCTGCGAAACGGGTACGTCCGACCTTCGGGCGTCTCCACTATCGGAGCTTCGCTAGCTTCGATGTTTGATGGTTTGGCCCCGCGCGAAGATGAGCACCAGAAGGGCAGTGACGGCGACGGCTTTGAGGAAACTGCGGATCACGGGAGTAATTCCCCATTATTCGAAAACATACGAGAACTTGAGCCCGCGCGTCCACCAGATCAGAATAAATCGGAAACAAGTGTGAGGAGTTCCTTGAGCGCATTAGTGTCTTCACTTACCAACTCCAGTATGTCCGGCAAGGAGAGCACAAAGAGCCCGGTGACGATGGTGCCGCCAAAGGCCCGGCAGCACTTGCGGCTGATGCCCAACATCGGGATCGAGATTAAGGCGGCCACGATGGGCATCGTCGTATCAGTTGCTCCACGTCCTGATCTTGCTATCACCATCAGTACGCCGTGGCGCCCGACCAGGGTAAATTTAACAGATGAAGACCACACTGCCGCGCAACTGGACCAATTGGTGGAGGAAGTTACTGCCGAGCTTATCGCAGAGGAGGCAGCGCTGGAGCTGGAGCACAGGGCTTCGGTCACCGCAAGGAGGAAAACAGCTGAGCGGCAGGGAAGTGGTCGCGCCTCTTCTGATTTGCTGGAAGCCTTTGCCAGAAGAAGAACCGACAATAGGGCCCCAAATTCGTCGCATATTGCCGAGCGGCAGTCCAGGGCGCTCTCTAGTCGTGACAACCATAATGGCAACGAAGATCGCAACGCGACAGCCGGAGTTGGTAATATAGCCCTCGATAGCAATGGCGACACTGCCGACAGCGATGGGCTTGACCACTTTCCCCCCGGGGAAGCGGAAGGAGGTGGCCTGAAAAAGATGCCTGCCTCGCAAAGTTCGCCTTGGCAGACGCCTCCAGAAAAGGCTCGCCAGCGCATGGCAACGCTCCGGAGAAAGCTCCAAGTGCTAAAAGGGTTGCGGAAGGGCGGCTTCGCTCATGGCGCAGACTACAATACGGCGGCAGCAGCCGAGAGCATTCGTCGCAAGCTAAACTCTAAGCAACGACCCAAGGGGGCTCACGAGCTACCTGAGGGAGCGGAAGCACTGAGTGTTAAGGTTTTCGTTTCTTTGTTTACTTTCAGCGCCAACACTGAATCCTCGATCCACCTTCGTGTTGCTAAATAGAGCAAGTCCGAGACGCAAAACAAATGAGCTAAAAAGAACAGACATGAACTATGATAAAATGAGTAAGAAAGAGAAACAGACAGACACCATTTAGCTTTTCTAAAATGGACAATGGTGATGAGGGCTGGGACGATGAGGGAGTATCATCAGCCGAGGACACGGATGACGAGGTTAAAAAGCGCTTGCGCGCTGCAGTGAAAAAAGCGTACTTCGAAGAAGTAGAGGCGATGGGAGAAGAGTCCTGTTTGTCGGACAAGGAGGAGGAAGTCGGGGGAGGTCTAACCGTAGATGTGAATAGGCTAAAGACCTACAGCCAGCAACCACGCGCTAGTCAAGCTACCGCAGCTCGGAGCAAGATCCCGACGGAGGCTACCACTGGAGGCAAGCAAACGGCGCCCCGAAAACGCCCCTTCGTGGACCACAGCAAGAGTAAGTTTGTCGAACGCACCCTTTCAGGCCGAGCCGGAATGAAGAGCGACATTAATGCGATGATAGAGCAGGAAGCCGAAGCAGACGGGCGCCCACAGATACCCAAAGCGGAGGGTGAGGCTGCGTTCGGAGCCGCGGCTTCTACAACTCACACATTATTTTATGGCCTTCTCGAATGAATCCATCTCCAGATGAAGCATCTCTAAACCGTTCCATAATGATTAAATGGTGGAAAACTAGATCCGAGATGGGTATGAAGATGAATTGGGTGAGCTCTAACTATTGCACGATCTGCAGTACCGCACCGGTACGGTGGGCACGGAGGATCGGGAGTCAATGGGGCTGGCCGATGAGCAAGACGACAGAATGGCGTTCGCGGAATGGGGGCCGACGAACGATGCTTAAGGCTATTGCACTTCATCCATCCCTGTGCCTACGGATCTCTCAAGCGTAAGCAGAGCCGACGCTACATAGAGAGACCGCTTACTTATTTCCAGGGATGGACTAGGGAGAATTTTTCTAATACAAAGATGCGAAGTCTCCATCTGGGCCTGGGGCGCCCAGAGCAGACGAGCAGCAAGGGCATCCGGCTTATACGGGGGAAGGGCCCGCCGCGCAAAAAAAATCGGGCAACAAGCATGCCACCAAGGTGTATCACCAACGAAGCGTTGCTGCGTTGAAGCGTGTGAAGGAAACGATTTTGAAGGAGCACAGTGCGATCCGTCACGGAGATTCGCTGTGGTTGGTGTACAGCATTCTGAATTGTTGCGTCGATAACTGCCTCCCGATCGCCCACGCGTTTGAGCTGCAGCTCGCCACCACGGCGAGCCGCCTGCACGATTTCCAGCACGCTTTGCCTGGAGACGAAGTGCAGAATCTTTACCTGATTGAAAGGCACCTGGCGTGGTTCGCGGGTGAGGTAGCGCCGCTCGACCGCGTTCTTAGGACACTGATAGCGATGGAGCACTTTAGGACCAGCGAAGTCAAGAGCTACCTAGAAGACGTCCAGGACGCACTCGGAGAAGTGATCTCGAAATTGCACGGCTATATGGCCGAATGCGAATCGCTGAGGCAGGAGCATGGAAATTATGTGGACGGCAATTTGAACAGGCTGCTCACTGCGCTCACGGTAATCACGGCGCTCGCACTCCCTGCGACATTGTTCAGCGCCTACTTCGGAATGAGCTTTATTGACCCGGACACGGGGGAGAACACCGTGGGCCTCGTCGCAATGAAGCATGGAATTGTCGTGTATTGGGGTTTGGTTCTCTTCGCCACCGTGTCGATGCTCTTGTATATTCAGCACAAATCGAAAGGGCATGTCCGGCAGGATTTACTCTTAAGCCTGGGGGCACTCCACTTAGTTACAACTAATAAGAGAACATAAGTACGCTCGATGATATATTTTTATTCCTTCCTTCCTCATAAATCTTGTTGGTTACTTAAATGAATTAGAATTTTTTGTACTAAAAATGTGTCCTCCACCCGGACTGCAGCAGGGACTGTGGGTTAGTAGAGTAGTCAACTTCAAACCTTACACACATCCCATCAGCCGACCAAAGCCAACGCATTGGCCCAAGACTAGGTATATGAGGACAGCTCTGGGCGCTTCTGCTCCCCAATTGTCTCTCTTCGCCGGAAGTTGGATACATCCTCTAGCAGCAAAAGCAACTGAGCCTATTTATCAAAGCATATCAGTATCTCACTCCTCTAATACGTGACGAGGTGAGAGCGATGGGAAAGGGCTCGCACTAAAGACCCCGTGGGTGCAGCCGATTGCTGTTATCGAGGAGGCGCGCATGGTGGAGGTAATGGATGCGCACACGCATGGCGGAGGTAATGCTAATGGATGAGAACGCACACGATGGATTTACAGCAGACGCAGACTCTTGCCGAGTCTTCGAAGGTGCTAGCCCCTGCCGTGACAGTGCGCACGGATCATGAAAGCACGAACTAAAGAAGGCCTAGGCCAACATGCGAAACATGCAGGGGAAAAGCGGAGCATCCTGGCTCTTCTAGACCAGCAGTTAAGTTTATAGCAGGCAGCACTGCCGCTTGCGTCGAAGATGGACACAGGAACCCAGAGTTTGGGCCCGGAGTGCTCATGAGAACATATCGTTGGGGAGCATTCCCAGAATCCGTGTGGCTCAACATGCGGAGGATGGGAACTGGTATGCTATTGGTAGCCGACGTCTCTTTCCGTTGAAAGTGCTGGGCCTGGAAACAGCGAAAAATACCCATGTTATGGCTACCGCTGAAGCGTTCCCAGCATCATGCATGGCTCCGTTTTTACTTGAGAAAAGAGCCAAGGATGATCCCAGGGGTACGAAGGCGGAAGCGCTAACCACGTGGAGTGGATGGAGGAGTTTGATTCAAAACTCCGTCAGCACATCGCAATGGGGAAAGGTCGGGTGCATGCCAGAGATGATGTGGAGTCCTATTGAGAGAGATTTGTGATTGTGCGGTACTTGCGATCGAAGAGCAGCTTGGATCTTTACGAGTCAGCCGATCATGGGGAAGAGCGAGATTCAGAGAAGTATCTGCCCTTCAAACGTGTGCTGTGCATTCCGCACCGGAACGGGAAGCGCAAGCTTCGTCTTCAATATCATCCGGCTTTCAAGGCGATAAGAAAGCACATTTTCGGCAATACGAAAGCGCGAACAGTGAGTTTCGACATTCCTCGGCGAAGGGAGCTTCACTTTCCGGCGTTAAAGGTCTCTCTGTTGACAGTCCGTGTGACTAGACACGCAGTTGACGTGCTTGGACTTGACTACGACGACCTGATTGAGAGCGCAGTCGCAAAGGTGCGGAACCGGATGATTCACCTGTGGAGCAAACACACCGATGACTTCTCTTTTTGATGCTGCCCAGCCTTCCGTGGGTGAGGGTGTGCATCGAACTCGAAGTATCTGTCAGGATATGCGTTTGCGTGTGTCTTCAACAGCAATAAGTGTACTTACACAAGAGCATCTGAAAAAACGTGTAACACGACTGTCGTGCAAAAGTTAGGCAGGGCATCCTAACCCATATCTAACCTCTGCATCGTCTTACTAGTTACTGTGTTACATCATTTAATGAGTCTGTGTGGCAGAATTGGCTGAGGATTCCAGAAGGTCCTGCATTAAAAGTCGAGCCATGTCACTGAGAGTCTTGGTTTCTCATCTGTTAGTTTCATCTGTGCGCAATGAATCTATAACAAGTACCTAAATTTATTAGTTCCCTGGTCCAGTGCTTGAGCACCGTCTAGTCCATTCATCGTTATATATAAATATATCTCCTTTTCGAGGAGTGAGAGCAGTGCGGAGTCGTTTCTGGAGTCTCAGGCTCTCTGTTACTTTGAGTGTGGTGCAAGCGCAAACTGATCAATCTATATTTTTGACGGGAGTGAAGTCTTCTCAAGAACT